CAGCCAAGAAAGGCGAAGAGCTAAAGAGGGTTACGAGTTGTGGCAGAAGAAAGGGGTTCTCTTCGCTTCTTGGCCAGGCCACCAAAGAAGACCATAACAGAACAGAACTGAAAAGACCACACACGAAGGCCTCTACCTCTGGCCATCTTGTACAGGTGCTAAGGTTTCCCTGCAGTTTGCCTATTTGGGTGGCGGTGGCACCTTTTTACGTTTAATGAGCATAAACAAACGCCATGGGATGTGCACACACATCCCATAGATACATAGATACATATTCCTATACCCTGAAGTCTTTTAAACCTTATCCTCTCCGGCCACTTGTAGGACTTCTGGATGTTGGAATTTTTGCGGTTAGCAGCGGGAGACATCCGTCAGTGAACTAAGCAGAGATATTGTTTAAAATAACAATTTTTAAAGACAATTACTCTTTAACCTTCTCGGTTCTGAATGACAATTTCATAATTTCAACAAAGACCACAGGCACAGACCTGGCAGGATGTTTGGGACGTGTAGTATTGTGTGTTTTGACATTTTTGTTTTGAGGCCCGAGATAAGATCTGACAGAATCTCATCCTGGGTGTTCTTCTCCTCAAGATCCTCACATCCTCAATGCGGCAAGACAAATTGTCTTTCTTGAGGATTTTTGCACATTTTATGATCCGACTTGTGTGTGCAATTTGTCTTTGGCTTTCAGATTCCCAAGAATCTGGATACTCGATCGACATTTGCATATTGCTACCTGGGGATAGAGGTATATATTGTATAATCAAAACCGCAAAGTAATAAAAACTAAAAACAGAAATCAACACAAGGCCAAGAGTGAAACTAACTGCTGCCTGGCAACAATTTTCTTTGCCCCATAAAAGCCAGGCCCAAACCAAAACGCAAATACCCGAATTGTAAATCATTATATGATTTATCACTGAACTAGTTTCCATAGGCGCGTGACAGGGAATAGGCACCGACACTGATCTCTATTACCAAACATCCAAAAAAGCAATCAGGCCGAGAGCGATCCAATCACATTGATTTGGCTCTGTTTCCGTCAATTTTCGGTGGATTATCCCCAGAAAAATGAGTATAAATTGTGCAACGATTAATGGAAATAATATATACTTACAGATACTAAAAGTTAGGCCCATAAGCGAGTGTTTAAAATAGGTAATGTTTAAAAAACAATTATCTCCCAGAGCTGCAGACAAAAAGAAAGCAACAAATCCAAGACGGGCCAAGACGATGTCAATGATGACGACAAAGCGCAGATTTCTATGATCGCCAACTTGGCTAGCAGCGAGTGTGTGAAATGCGGAAAGCTGCTCCAATCACTCATTTTGTTACATGAACAACTTAAAAATAAAAAAAAAAAATAGAGAAAAAAAAAAAGATTGTGAAAATGTGAAATGTAAATTTCTCGTTTGGTTCGAACTCGAACCGACAAAACCAAAAACCAAACCAAAACGCCAATTGCTGCAAAGTGATTACGAAAAGTCGCTCCGCTCTTTCTCTCTGCCAGGTCTGCTTCCTTTCTCTGTTTCTCTGTTTCATTGGAGACTTTCTCTCGCTCTCTCGACAACAAAAAAGTTTCACCCGCGGCACGAGTGCGGAAGTGTTATCCCACGGCAGCGTATCTCAATATCTTTTGGCGCTTACTTTACAACTCCATTTCGTATCTAACGGATGCAACTCAGCCTCGTAACTTGCTAATCGCTAGCAACAATCTTTTAAGCTTTTTTCTTTGGAGTTTTTGGTTGGATTCCCTCGAAATATCCACTCTACTTCACGAAGGCAATCAAATCAATTAACACTTTCGTCAGCAACTGCCCACGCCATCGCCTGCCTCCGATTTTGATTGCTTCGATTTCAATTTTGTCATCTGGGGATGATTACAATGTTGCACTGTGTGGCCATAAACCAAAAATGGTCCATAAATATTAAGCTAAAACGGCCAATACAAAGTGATTTTTATACCAAATCATAAACAAATATATAGAGTTTGTATTACAGACTGATATTTGGATTTCTCTGACTCTGAAGACGGATTTTATTTCAAATATGGAAGAAAGGTTTCATTTTTTGTAAGGTTTCTAAAAAAATCTATATTTTTTGTAGAAAATTTTTTATAAAAAAGAATATAAACCACCATCCCGTTTCGAACTCTATTATTTAGGCATTTAAAACCCAAACCGATACCACTGTTTCAGAGCAATGACGGCGCCTGCCTTGATTGAAAATTGGGTTATTGTCAGCGACCCATTCAAGCGGCAGCCAGGCCGTGTTATTAAACTTTTGTTTTATTTATGGAAATTAGTGTCAAGTAAATCATGTGCATGAGCATTTTGCAATATCACCATGAACGCTACGAGTACCGAGCACCGAGCCAAACAAACTCAAACACATTGGAAAGTATTTTAATGAAATTTTCATCTTTCCAAAAAAATGAATAATATTAGTATATAGGCTGGGTTATGTGAAAGTTCCAATGAAATTGAAACTCATTGAAGATTCAATGACTAAGTGAAAAGGTGAACCAGTTGCCTGGCTGGCCACTCGAGTGTTTCCGCAAGTTTTCGAAAGGAAGTTGAACCGAACCGAGATGCCCAAAGGTCGCTGAACGTCCGTCTCCGGTCTACGGTCTCCGGTCTCTGGCCTTTGATTTCAGAGATGAGCAAATCGCCAGTTCCCCCCTCTATATGGACGATGTGGTATAATTAGTCGAGTGGGCGGCGATAACTTTGAAACTGATCGTGATGATCGCGTACTCACACATGTTTCATGTTTGTGTGCCAGACTGCCTTGGAATTTTGGCTGTTTTATTGAAAAGACCATGAACCTTTTAGAAACCTTAAGGAATTAGATTCTCAGCTAGCAACAAGAGCTTTGAAACTTTAATGATAAATCACACAAAATACAATCTTATCTTTTCTTTAATTACCTGTATTTTTCAAACAAGCTGGAAAGATCTACGTTGACATTTTTAGGTAACTTGTCATTCGATTTCAAGGCAAACTAATATAACTCAATTACCCAACCGAAGCCTGAGACCCCCCCTACCAGCTTTCAATTGTAGTTGCGACTTTCAACACCTCTGGCAGCGTCGCAACTTCAAAGGGTGGTCGGTATAACGAGGAAGGGTCGCATTACTGTCCAATTTTCACACATTCTGGACCGGACCTGGACCGGACCTGGACCGGACCTGGACCGGACCTGGACCGGACCTGGACCTCGACCATCCATCTAACTAATGAGCCGGCAAACACTCACTTACCAAGCCACACACATGATTTGTGGAACGGACAGAAGCTGAAAACCGATGTGATATGGGATAAGGCAAGTGCCCTGGGAGATCTATCTATGTATATCTGAGTGTGTGTGTGGCCTTTGTCCAAAAGGACACACACGAAGCCTTTCGGCCTTATGCTAATTTGCACGCCATAAATGAGACGAATGTGACGAGTGATGGCCTGTGAAGTGTAGTTGCTGTTACAGCTGTTAGCAGGGTCAGAGGGCACTGAGAGAAAATTTGTACAAGTTTTGCAAATAATTATAATTATCCATATATATTAAAAAATATATTTCCATCATAAAACTTGATATTCCAAGGCCTTTATATTTTTTAACATTATTTTTGTAAGTGTTTGTGGCTGTGTCTGTTGCAGTTGCAAGTGGAAAACGGCTGCGGCTTGCCAGGGATTGAGTGGATGGAAAGAAAGCAGGGGAGTGAGTAGTGGAAAGGAGGAGGGTTTTTGGACACGGTTCTGGAGTAAAGTACTAGTGGAGTGTGGAGTGAAAAGCCGGCAATGGCAACTGCAGCTGGGTGGCCCGTGATGATGGGCCCTGCCAACGACATGTGTTGCTGCCTTTGTATCTATGTATGTATGTATGGTTATTGCTAATACCACCGACTACGCCCCATTTGGGATACACACACACACAGACACACTCTGGAATCGTTACAAAGGACGACAGCTTATGGTCTCCGGCGTTGGTTGTCCAAGGGCTGTTCCAATGTCAACGGTTCCTGCAGGAATAAAAGGCAGGATGCACTGGGAAAAATAGAAAAACTAATGAAAAAATTAGCAAATAATGAAAGCTTTATGAAAATTTGGAAGGACACCCCTTGGAAGCACCAATCCCCTTAAGAAATTCAAGGAAACCTTGAGATATAAGACCTTGAAAGCACCCATCCTCTCCAGAAATTCAAGAAAAACCTTTTATGCAAATTTTGCTCATTTCTTCAAGTGTATATTTCGACAAACCCCAACTCCCTAGCATTGTATATATGGCGGCACTGTATATTTGTAACCACAGATTGGAGAAAAAGGAAGCCCTTGAAGGTTGCGGCGGCGCTTCCATTGATGAGGCTCGAGGAGAGAGGAGGAAGAGCAGCACTGGATCGAACCGCCTGTGTGTGACCAAGTGATTACCGTTTATCGCTACGCCAAGGACCGCCGGCAAGCGGCCTCCATCCTGCGACCACACACATACACCAATAAACTATGTATATATTTTTGTATATACATATGTACTATGAGCAATAATTTATCAGCTGGCCCTCAACTTAGTCCATTCTCTGGCGGGTGTTCTCTTTGGACTTGCGCTCTCAGTGGCCTCTTTCCTTGTTTTTAATACCCTATGATTCCCTAAACTAAGCCCCTTTCTGGTTCGAAATGGTTCACTTTTTTGAGATATTTTTTAGTATCATAATTAGGACCCATATCTTATAGATACTTTTCGAAATATATCTCATAGATACTTGTAATAGGGTACAATCTCCTCAGGTTCTTATTTGCCTTCCATATGTGCTCATCGACCACTCACCACACCAACAGCCAGACGCACCGAAACGAAAGTGTAGGTGTGTTACAAGAGAGCCAGCATTACAAGAGAGAGATACAGAGAGAGAGAGAGAGCTCCAACCGCTGCTAGCTGCGCTGCCAACGCTGAGCGTCGCAGCGACCGAACTGACATGTTGCCCAGAGCCGCCACAGAGCAACACTCGGCAACATTCAGTTCAGCACACTCAAGCGGAGCGGTTCGTTCGTTTTTCTGCCTCTGCTCTCAGCTCGGCTCGTTTCGTTTTTCGTTTTTCGATTCGAATCGCTTTTGTGTGTCGCCCCACCAATCCAAAAAAAAACCAAAAAAAAATAAATAAAATACTAAAACTCGACACACACTCGAAAAATTATACAAATCGTAAAGCTGAACGCGGGGCATGTGGAGCATTGTGTGGCAACAAAGAGATTTGTTGATTTTTTAAAGTAGTTCAAATGAAAAATTTATAACCACGAAAAGTTGAGCAATTTTTATACATCAGAAATACCATATATACATATATATATTTTTGGAAAACCAAAATCTAAGGTGTGTGAGAGTGTGTGAAAAGTTAAGAGAAATAAGAGTGTCGTCTTGTCGCATATTTTGAGAAATAATTAAAGATTTCAAGATAAAGAGTAAAATGTTTGAGCCCTATGTGAAAATAAAGAAAAAGCGAAATGTGCATGAAATCTATGAAAATGAGAATTTAGAGCAGCAGCAACAACAACAACAATCTGCCACAAGCGATAATTGTTGCTGCCAAAACGGAGAGCCGCAGAATGTGGCCAACAATACGTTGAGCAGCATTTTGGCCACGCCGCCTGAATCGCCACCAGCAGCAGTAGCTGCAACATCTGCTGCAAGTGGAGGAGCCGCAGCAACAGCAACAGGAGCAACGGCCAGTAGCAGCAGTAGCGGCAATTGTAGTCGCCTTCAGCAATTGATATCGACGCCACCAGTATTATTGCGCAGATCATCGCTGCAGCAACAACAACACCAACAACAACAACAGCAACATCAAGCAGCAACACCTCCCACACATCAACAAGCTGCGCCTTCAGTTTTGCAACAGCATTTGGGTCACCTGAATTACGAAAGTGGAGCAGCAACTGCAGCAGCGACAGCGACGGCAGCAACAGCAGCAACGCCAGCAACCAGTAGAAGTGGCTCGGCAACACTGGCACAGCATTTGGCAACACCCAGCAACATATTGCAGGCTGCATTCGGCAGCAGTAACTTGCAACACATACTGACACGCTCGCAAAGTTCCTCACCCTCGTCCTCCAACAACTGCAGCAGTGCCTGTGCCGGGAATACCCATTACAACGGTGGCAGCAACAGCATCATTGCCAGCCGATTGTTTGGAGCTGCTTCCTCTTCATCCTCGTCCTCGATAGCTGCCTCTGCCACATCATCATCATCCTCGTCGTCGTCGTCGTCGCATCATCTGCATAGCCACCACTCGGCACTGACCAACTCGATAACGAATCGCATCAATCAGTCGATAAGGAGGCATCTGAACCAGCAGCAGCACCAGCATCCCCTCAGTGCCTCCTCTTCAACATCCTGCTTGTCCTCCTCATCGTCATCCTCGTCCTCCTCATCTTCGCCAGCAGTGGCCCACTATCAACACTATAATTGCGCTCATCCTGCCCAGCAGCAGCAGCAACCTCATCATCATCACCACAACAGTAGCAGCAGCAGTAGCAGCAGCAACAACAACATCATCAGCAACAACAACAACAACAATCAACAGCAACCACAACAATCTCCTCTGTGCCTAGTATTATTAGTTAAATGCCCCAATTCTAAGGAATTTTGTAACGCCGCCGCAAATTTCTGTGATAAAAGGTAAATATTTTCAACCAAATTCCAATTGGAATGGCCCTGTCTCTCTCTCTCTCTCTCTATATATATATCTACCTCTCTCTCTCTCTCTCTGTAATTAAAAGAAAACTAAGGGCAAGAGGGGTCTTAAGTAGGGCATCTAAATCTTAAGGCCTTTAGACATATAAATATTATTGAAATTCTCTGATTCTTAAATGCCAACTGATGACATTTGTGGCATGTGAGGTGGTGGCTTAAAAGATATCTAGATATCGGCAGTCATGTGAACTTTAAACCAATATCTGATTAAAAGAAGCCCTTTATAAAGCCATCTAACTTAGCAACAAGTAAGATATACCTTCTAGTACAACATGTACTGGTCTGACCCACTTTGGTTCTGCCAGGACCTTACCACTCATATCCCTGAACTACTTGCCACAGGCCGCCTTGTGAGTAACCTTTGAATTACGGCCACAACAAACAAAAGTTTGTTTTGTAAAAGTTTCTTGGGTAGTTTTGATTGTTTGAACTGCATATATATATAAGCTATATAAGCTACATAACCTCTATAAAGTATACCTACATATATATTTAATTTTGATGACTTGTAGTTTCGGCTCGTTTCGATTTTAGTTAGCAACCTCGACGTAACCTAGATGGTTTTTTGTCGATGACCTTACTTGCGTAAGTAATTGGTTTCTTTGGAGGGTGAGTGGGTGACAGTCTGACATTGTGTGTGTGTTTGTGTTTGTGGTGGTAACCTGATGATTTGCTTACTAATACTATTGATCAGCCACCACCCTCTATGACCCTCTCAGAGGCAAATAAACAAAACTTAAGTAATTAAGTTGTGGGGAGGGTGCTATCTCACACTCTCATAAAGACCATCCACCACCCACAACCCACCACCCTCCAGCTACCCTTAAACTTTCTCTTTGCTGCTTTCACGCAGTGACCCCAAACAGGCGTTCGGCTAACCTCAAAAAGATGAACCAAAAATATAACAAAACACCCAACTTGGACAGTGAGTGGCTCTCAATTTTTGGTTAATTATTGGGGCGTGGGCGGTTGCATGCCAACCTTTGTCATTTGGGGTCACAGCTGCAGTTGCAGTTAATAGCAACTGCTTCTTTGTCATTGAAGAAGAGAGCTGTTGGAGAATCAAGAATCGAGACCATGGCTCTTAATGCTTCTGACCATGTGCCAGTAATTGTTATTATTTTCTTTCTGCTTTTCATGCACTTGTTGCTCTGTTGCTCATTTTCTTTGGCCTTCCTGCAAATTGCCCGATAATCTGCTATATATTTTATAAAAAAATTTTACTTTGTTGGAACCGCAGGACTGAGTCACAAGCCGAGTGATGGCTGCACTTTATCAGCAAACAACTGACGTCTGTTTTTTGATTCAAAAATATGCTTTTTAATTGTATCTACAAGATACATATACAATTTTTATAGAGGTACATATATAGGGCCTTTCCTTTTTGTCTCGTTCTGCGGTTTTGCTCGACTGGGAAGAGACGGGAAGTCTGCTTGAGTGACTTTTGGCTGTGAAAGGGCCTGAAAGCTAGCAACATGTTGCCGCAACATTATGCAATGCTGCCATGCCAGGGACTTCCGGTTCATCATCATCTCATACTAAATTAATATTTGAACTCCTTTTGGTACTATTTTGGGAAACTTTCTGTATTTTCACTTTGGTTGTTTAACACATTTCACCCAATAATCGTAAAACCGAAAATCTCTCTCTCCTCTTTCACTCTCAACCCACATTTTATTTAGAACAGAGATCTCTTGAAGAAATCAGCCAAGAATTTCTAAGCCAATAAAACAGAAAAAAAAACGAAGATCTTTTAAGCCAACAAGATCACGACGCATGCGCCTAAAGAAAAAGTAGTAGAAATCCCCAACAACAACAACAACAACAAAAAGGGAAATAAAAGAAAAAGAGAGAGAAAAAAAAAAGAAAGCACGACAAAAACAAAATGTGAAAACGCATGAAAGCCAATTTCTTTCGTTCCTTCTCTCTCGCATCTGGCCAGCCGCACAATTTGTTTAGAAAGTGCAGAGAAAGAGGTAAAAGCGGCAAAATGCAAACAAGCCATCCAGTTTGGGCCCAAAAGCGATTCAATGAAAAATTGGGCACACAACATGTGGTTTATTATTAATTTATTGATTTCAAACTAGTTTGCTTGTGAAAATGTATTATACAACAACAGCCAGCAGTACCAGCAGCAGCAGCAGCAGCTGGAAGCACAAAACCATTTCAAGCCACGCGCTAAAACGGCAACGTGCTTCCAAAGCTAAGAGAGCCACCAAAGAGAAACACCCCGCGAGAGAGAGAGGCTCAAAACCTACGTCATCAAACAAGTTTTACGATTACATAAACTTGCTCTCGTTTTGAGCTTCGGCCGATCGGGTGAAACTCTCTGTCGCAGCTGGCTGCTCTGCCGCGACGACGTTGGCGCACCACGCCTACGCGCCTGCGCAAAGCGCTCGCTCTCTCACGTTGTTTGTCGTACAAACTAGTTGCACAAATTAGTTACAAATTAGAGTGAACTTTATAAAGGTTTATTTTTGCTATGAATTATTATTTTTATATATAAATTTTTAATGTTTTCTAGGTTTATGTAACAAAAATATATTTTTTATAATGTATCAAACATGTTTTGGTAGCGGCACGGCCTAGTTTTTGGCCACAAACTGTGACACAGCTGTGATTAGCATTTCAAATAGCGGCAGTTATGTAAAAATTAACAGCATTAACCTTATTGGTTGGTTGAGATTGTGTCATGGCTTAGATATTTGGTTTTATTTTAAAACTCTTTCACTTGCATCTCAAATACGATAAAGGTTATTGCCTCAAAAGTCAAATCATTTAAGGGTGTAAATTTGGAAACATAATTTTCCCAACTTTCGATTGTTTTCATTAGTGGGGGGAATAAAAAAAAAGCAATTGCATAGGCCAAACAAGGCAAACAAAAAACAAAAACAAAAGATCAGGCAAATTTCACTCTACTTACATGATTTTGTACGCTTTATATAACAACAACAACTACGCGAATCGACTTTCACGAAAAACTGCAAGCTAAATTGCAGATCTATAGCTTGTGTGAAAGAGAGAGGGTGCTGCAGGGGGTCACTAGCAACGAAAGAGACACCACGAGACGCTAAGCTGCGCCTGAAGCTTTCTCTCCCTCTGATCAGGAGGGGAGGAAAGGGGGCAAAGGCAAAGGCAAACGCAACGAATTGACGACCCACCGTGTCTTGTTGAGTGAAAGAGCCAAAAACGAAACTTGGCCAAAACGAAAACAAACGGCATGGCGGGCTGGCGGTCTAAAAAAATGTTGAGCGTGGGAGTTTTTAAAATTAATATGCGTCAAGCTGTTGACACAACTCTCCACCAGGGGGGGAAAGTGGGGAAATGAGTTTCGAAATGAATTTTTGTCGTGAAAAGTTTAAGACACTTGGATTAAAGGGTTAACTAGCTAGATAGGTTTTGTAAGATTAAACATAAAACAAATACTTAAGGAATTGATATTTCCTAAAAAGGATATATTTTATCCTTTTTTCTTTAAATAAAATTAGTCAAAAATGTTGAATGGTTGTTTAAAAAGGCTTGTTTTATCTATTATTTATTACTATTAAAATACTATTTTTTTTTGGTTTTAAAATTATACAAGTCTTCTTAATTTTTAGCAAAGTTATACTATAGTATTAAAAATAGTTAAAAATAGTTATAATTTTATTGAATTTTAAACCCAGAAAAGATTAAACGTTTTTTTAAAAGGTCCCTTTTTTTTAATCTTATTTATGTATGCAAAATTTAAAAACAATATAAACGTTCGTAACCTTTTTTTTAGAGAAAGAAATGAAGAAGAATTGAGAAAACTTGAACTTTATCCCTATTCTTATTTAAAAACGTAATAACATAAGTTATTTCTCAGTTTTAAATGAATTTAAAAAGTTTATACTTAAAAACCAACTTAAAGATTTTAAACTATCAACTTTATGAAATATAAGTCTGGCACCCTTGCTTCCTGCTGCTCCCCCCATAACTTCCATATCTTAAACTTTCTTCAACTTGGGCATTTTTCTGTCGCTGCATAAAGATAAACTATCTTTTTCATGAGTGAGTGGGTGGGTGGTGGTGTGTCATCATCATCATGACGTTGTTCGAAGGTGCCTCTGCCTTTGCTGCTTCTGTGGCCTGCCACTGTTACTGTTTTGTTGCATTTGTAGCGGAAGTGAAGTTGTCGAGTTTGTTATTGTTGTTGTTGTTGTTTGGGAGTTGTGTGGCTGGGGACTGAGTTGCGTTGAGTTTCTCTTTTGAAATCATTTTCATTGGCATGAAAGTTCACATTATTTAAATTAAATTGCCAAGCGGCAACGTCGGCGGCTACCGCTGCCTGCTTCGACTCTTCCTCAGCTGCTGCTCTGCCAACTTGAATGTATCTTTGTATCTGTATCTGTGCATCTTTATGTTTGTTTGTATCTTGTGTTTTTTTTTTCGATGTCGGCGCCGTATTTATGTAAAAAAAAAAAAAGAAACAAAAAGAAAAAGCAAAGAAAAGCGTTTCCTTTTGGCTCGAAAACAACGGCGACAACTGAAAAGCGTTTTTCACTCAACTCGACTCATTTGTTGTTGTTGTTTAGGCGGCGAGTGAAAGGAGCATTCATAGTTGTTGTTGTTATTGTTGGTGAAAACGCCTGCAAGTGAAAAGCCATGCGATAATTTGAAAAATTTTCACCATTTTTAGTTTTTTGATTTTTTTTGTATTTATTATTGCCTTTGTCTCTCACTCTCTGGCGCGTTTTATCAAATTTCATTTAAATGCTAATGAAAAGTTGCCGGAAGTGTGGAAAGCGGCGTTGCGAGTCGCCCGCTGCTGCTTACCCGCCAAATTATATAACTTTTCCTTTTTTGGCGGAAAGAGTCGAGAGTTCGAGATGACGACTTGAAACTTTTCACCAAATCTCCCCGAGCCGCAGCCGCAGCAGCTGTCCATTAATTTCTCCCTCCTTAGCTCCATCATCACAAAATCAGAAAAAAAAACGAATCCATAAAGTAAACGTGTTTTTCTTCATTTTTTCTTTAAAAACCGATTTATGAGATTTCTTTAACGCGTGCTCCGATGACTATCCCTTCCATTTGTCATAGAAGGATGGCATTCTCTGTCTGTCAGATCAGAAGCCCACACAATGGGAGGACCAAAGGATCCCCCATGGCGAAGTTGTGTATACTTTGTATCTCCTCCCCCTCCCTCATCTAAGTCCATGACGAACTGCATTCGTTGCATCCCAGCTGGCAGATGGACGGATGTGATGTTTGTTCAGGCCTTTTTCAGACCTTGATCCCTGATCCTTGACCATGTTAGTGTGTCCCGTGTGTGGGTTTGTTCTGCAGTGGAACTAATGACATTTTGGGGTTTGGGCTTGTCTGTAGGGGTTTACTTCGTAGTGTTGGCCAAACAATTTGCATTTATTTACATTGGAATTTTATACGAAAATGGGCAATGGCTTTAAGGGTATTTCTTCCTATCAGTTCTAGGTGGTTGTTACCTGTTTTCCCTATAGCCCTTGTAATTTTTATCATTTGCCTTGTGGCGCCACACAAATGTTTTTCAATGTCATCACAAAACCAACAAATTTTCTTGGCTTTTTTGGTTTTTGGGCCCTTGGCTTGGAGAGCCCCCCAACCAACCAATCATGAGAGCAGAAGCTTAAGGTGGAGTGGTAGGTAGTGTGCGTGAGGTCTCAATGCCAAATCAATGTCATTAACATTAAGGCACACTCACTAAAATTGAATAAAACCGAGAGTCAGTCGACTTGGGCCCCGTGAGTGCTAAAAGCAATGCTGCCGGCGCCGACTGAGCTGTTGGCTGCGCAGTCGGCAGCACGGTTTTGCGTTTACGGCTTACGGTTTACGGTTTGTTCACCTTGACGAGCTGCGCGTCAACCTTTTGATGGCTCACACATACACAGCAATACGCAGACATATACACATATACGAACGAGGCCCATTGAAGGTCCTTCAGCTGGATTTGATGATGGCCATCAAATCGCCAGCAGCCGCAGAAAACGGGCAGCACCTTGAAAATCTCAACCTTGCTGCTGAACCGAGAACTGAACTGAGCTCTGAGCTCTGAGGCTGAGCGCTGTAAGCGGCTGGCTCGTGTGCTGCAGCCTTGCACAGATTTTTCCGACCTTTTTTCACTACAGAGAGAGAAATAATTTTAGAAACAATATGAAAAACAAAAGAGTTTTGTTGAAAAGTAAAGAAAAAAAAATTTGGTTCTCTCAGAAAGACAATAAAATTGAGAAGTAATAGCTGGGAATAAAAGATTTTGTTAGAAAATTAAGAAACAAATATTTATTCTTCTAATTTTTATAGTTTATAAAATATTCTGGCAGTGTAATAATACTCAGGGTAAATATTAGCTAAAAATAGACACTTCTTCTTGAATATATATTGATAAGATATATTTTACCTTAATTTTTTTTTATTTTATATGTTTTTAATATATTTTTTTTTTTATAAAAACTCCTAGTTTCTCTCAGTGCTCTCTTTGCCATTTGGCTTCTTCCATCTGCATCTGCGCACACACACTCCCATACACACACACATGACAAGGGGGAATTGTTATTTTTGTTATTATGTGTCAGAGATCCCTCCCGCTCTCCCGCTCATCATCTGCTCTCTCACCTTCTTCTAAGGTGAACCTTCGCTCGTCGCCCTCAACCTCTGCGCCGACTGACTGACCCATTGTTTGTCAATTTTCCACTCCTGGCTACAATTTCCTTGGTCCATTGTTTGTTGTCATCTGCCTGCCGAGATTTTCCAGACCAGGTCCTTTGCCAAGACCAGGACCTGGCAATTTTCATCAGTTTCCATTTGCTGCTCCTGCGCAACGGTTGTGTGTTTTTCCTCACTCTTTGGTTTTGAAAGAATGTTTCTATGTTGAGAAGCTTTCAAAGCTTAGAATCTATAAGACGCTCTTCTCAGTTACTTGTGTGCCTCTCTCTTTGCGGAATAACGGTTGTGTCTCCTAATCGCAGTGCCCTTTCTGCTCCATTTTTGGGCTCCAACTATGGACGCTGCACTTTTTGGCGCACTTCGTATCGTGTCGTCCCAGCGTTTGTGTTCCGTCTTTTAAAAAGTCGATTTTATTGCGATTTTAATTACATGTTTTGAGAACATTTCTTAAAAATCGTACAAGTGCTCGTTTACGTTTCTATTTTGTGTTTATTTTTTTTATTAAATTATTTAAAAAAAAACGAGCGGCAAGCTGGAGAACTCTCTGCTGTTGAAGCTGCTCAATCTTTTGGCCAGGAACTCGAATTCCGATAGCAATTTCGTTAAAGTTGAATTCGAGCGCAGCATTATGGATCTAATACAAGAGCCAAGGTGACAACCAGAACTCCTATAGAATATAGGAGAAAAATTTAAGAAAAATTTAAGAAATGATAACTTAACCTCAATGTAGGCTCCATTTTAGAATTATAACTAATATATATATATGTCTATTATCCTTGCAGATTGCCGGTGAACGAATGTCAGGCAAGCCAAACAGCTAGAGTCACCTCGAACCTGCACGCATCCAGTAGCACCATGGCGGTCAGCCGTGTTCCCTCGCCGCCCTTGCCGGAAGTTAATACGCCAGTCGCCGAGAACTGGTGTTATACGCAGGTAAATATTCCCAATCCATCACCCAATCCATCTTGAATTTCAACCCAAAAGACAAGGCACATCCTCTCCTCTTGGGTTGTTTGGTTTTGCATTCCTATGGATTTGCGTTGAGCCGGGCGATCGGATTACAAAAAAACCTGAATTTTTGTTTGTAAACTGAATCCCCCTTTTGTTGTAAAATGCATTTCCGTTGTCAGCAATCCTCAGGTGTATTAACAATATCCCTACAATTTTCCATTCGCAGGTCAAAGTGGTTAAGTTTAGTTATATGTGGACCATAAATAACTTTAGTTTTTGTCGGGAGGAGATGGGTGAAGTACTCAAATCGTCCACATTCTCAGCCGGTGCTAATGATAAACTGAAATGGTAAGAAAATATTATTCATAAATTAATTAAAGAGTTTATTTAATTATTATATTTAATTATAGGTGTTTACGGGTTAATCCCAAGGGCCTCGATGAGGAGAGCAAGGATTACTTATCTTTATACTTACTGTTAGTTTCTTGTAATAAATCAGAAGTCAGAGCCAAGTTCAAATTTTCCATTCTGAATGCGAAGCGTGAGGAAACAAAAGCCATGGAATCCCAAAGGTAAATTAATATTAAATTAAATGTTAAAAATTAGTATTAAACTTTATTTTTATTGCAGAGCTTACCGTTTTGTTCAGGGCAAAGATTGGGGCTTCAAGAAGTTCATTCGCCGCGACTTCCTGCTGGACGAGGCCAACGGCCTGCTGCCGGAGGATAAGCTGACCATCTTCTGTGAGGTCAGCGTTGTGGCGGACAGTGTCAACATCTCCGGACAATCCAATATCGTGCAATTCAAAGTGCCCGAGTGCAAGCTATCCGAGGATCTCGGCAATCTCTTCGACAATGAGAAGTTTAGCGACGTAACGCTCTCGGTGGGCGGACGTGAATTCCAAGCGCACAAGGCCATACTGGCAGGTAAGGATATCTTAAACTATGCTTCTTAAACTTATGTTTTTATTAATATTATTTTTTTAAATTTAATTTAGCGCGCAGCGATGTCTTTGCGGCCATGTTCGAGCATGAGATGGAGGAGCGAAAGTTGAATCGTGTCGCCATAACCGATGTGGATCATGAGGTTCTTAAAGAAATGCTGCGATTCATATACACGGGCAAGGCGCCCAATTTAGAAAAAATGGCTGATGATCTCCTAGCGGCTGCTGATAAGGTAAGTCTATTATAAAAACCCCCTAATAACAGTTAATAATAATTATATTTTTTGTAAAATATAGTATGCACTTGAAAAGCTGAAAGTGATGTGCGAGGAGGCGCTGTGCGTCAATCTCTCTGTTGAAACGGCAGCCGAAACCCTAATATTAGCTGATCTCCATAGTGCGGATCAATTGAAAGCACAAACGATAGATTTCATAAATACGTAAGTTTTTAATTAATTGACTAATTGAGATAAAATTATTAATTATATTGTATTTTTTATAGTCATGCCACCGATGTAATGGAAACCTCTGGCTGGCAAAATATGATCACAACACATTCACATTTGATAGCGGAGGCATTTCGTGCGCTCGCAACCCAACAAATCCCACCAATTGGACCACCTAGGAAACGCGTGAAAATGAGCTGAAACAACAATGCAATTACAACAAAAACAACAACAACAACAACAACCACAACAATAAGAACAACAAACCATACACCAATAAAACAAAAGAAGAAAAGCCACAACACCAACAACAATCGATTCAAAAATTGCAATATAAATAAAAAGAATTTGAAAAGATGGAAACATGTTAAATATTTATTAAATCGATTGGCAGCTGACCTCCAGAAGGTATGCGGCAAAACTACAAAAGCAACAACAACAACAACCACAATAAATTATATCAATAATTACAACAACCACAACAGCAGGAAGAAAAAGCAGAGAAAGCAGTACCGTTTATTGTTTCGATTTCGAGTAATTTAAATAATTTCTTTTTTAAAACAAAAAAAAAAACTTGATTTTAATTGTATTTTTATTTTAATTTTGTTGATTTATGATTATGTATGATTAATATGTTTACGAGTAATAATAATTAAATAATTCTAATATTAAGTCCAAACTTCAAACAAAAAACAGCAATGAAAAACACACAACTTATAAGGATAAAAAAAAAAACAAACAAAACAGAGCATAAAAAGCAAAAAAATAATATAAATTAAATTTAAAATTAAAATAAAAAAAACTGAAAACCGAAGGCATAAAATATAAAAAACAAAACAAAAAATAAAAAAAATTCACTGAGAAAAAGCAACTATTATTATTATTATTATTATAATTATGATTACCGATTACCAATTAACGATTACCGCGTATAATTACAAAGCGTACATTTTGATTGTGATGTATATTCGATGAGTATGACTATATGAGTAAATGAGTAATGCATAATGATACGGATATGATAATGAAGTTGATTTATATATTGTGTATATGTAAACTCGGAACAATTTTCAATGCATTCAAGGTTTAATTCAAGGCCCTCGTCGTCACCCACCAAGAAACCCCCTACCTTTCCAAACTTCCTTCCTAATTTCTTTTTTTTTTATCGAGAGTGCTAACCCGCTTAAATATTAAAAAATTAAATTAAATTGAAAACCAAGTTCTCAATTGTACCACCGCCGTAATCCTTCCACAACTCTTTCCCAAAACTTTAAATAACTATTTCTTAATTTTAATTTCTTTTAATTTCATTTCTTCTTTTTTTAAGTATTTTGAAACCTGCTATTTTTTTCTCTTTGTTTAAGCGCAAATGTAATTAATTTGTTGTACAAAACTTAAAAAAAAAAACAAAAGAAAAGAAACATTGTCGAAATAAAAGCAAAAAGTAGCAATTTGTGTATAGTAAGCAGATAAAAATTGAAACAAACAAAAAAAACCACAAAAAACATAAATGCATCAATTCATTTTTTATAGAGATGTGGGACACAATTCTCTGGGGTGGTGTGCGGTGTGGTGGTTTCTCTCTTCAGACCGATTCTGAGCTTTTCGAAAGAAAGTTAAAAGACGAGTAAAAAGTAAACGTGATACCAATATATCTAATAACTATTAAATAAAACGAAAAGCGCCATCGCAAAGACGAAATTTTTATACGCAGGATAGGAGTGTAAACCGAACTTAAACTTGGTGTGGTGTACAATTCAGGTATTCAGAGCAAGGGGGATTTTGAAATAAAATAGATACGATAGTAGCATTTCCATTCTATGATATATGTGTACTTCCGATCGGCTTCGCATGTGTAAATAAATTAGCCTTAGTCGCTGCGATCTAATTTCGTTTCGAGTGCACAATTAACTAGTTACAAGTCCAATGCTTTAAATATCTACTGTACTGTGTGAATAGTATTTAGGAAAGGACAGTTTAGAACAGCGTTGGCAATAAGAATCGGGATAATGAGGATGACCATATCATTTATAATTTTTGGCATGCTTAGTCCACCTTTGTTTTGCTTCGAACTATCCTTTTCTAATCAAACCACGGTCATCCTGAGAGTTGCTCCTCTGAATAAAGACAAGAAACTAGCGATCTAAAATGTGTATCTAGTCGACCGACAACTTTTATGCATGCCAATCTAAATGTGTAGAATTTGACAAGAAAATAACAAGTGCAGAATCTGTGCACATTAGTGGGCAATCCAGCGACAACACACATTTTTAAAAAGCGAAATTGTAATTGTATTTAACAATATTAGATAATAAATGAATATGTTCTAAAAAAAACACCTGCCCAGTCGGCCTATCTTATTTCTTATCCTGCTCGTCGAGGAACTGCTGCAGCAGTCCGTTATCGATCGGAATTGTAAGCTGCTCAGAGCCATCCACACTGCGCTTGGATTTGACCAGTTTGTGATCCAGGAACTCGGTGAGCTGGGCGCGCAGGGCCAGATCCGAGCTCACCAAGAAGGCTTCGCGACAGCTGGAATAGAGGTCCTTGAACGGCATGCCCTGGTATGTGGCGTTGCCCTTGTTCTTCAGCTGATATTTTACAATCAGCATGTAGATGCCTCGGGAATTGGTGGTCAGGGAGGAGAAGACGCTGCGCATAGAAGACAGAGCCAGTTCACCAGAATTCTGGACCAGCAGCGAGTTTTCGAAAGCGGTTTCATCCGTGTACGGCAGCATGGTGGTGCAATCCCACCAGGAGAAGTTGAAGCTGCTTAGCTTTCCTTGGTCCCAAACTATTTAAATACATCACTTAATAAACATTTAAATAATAACCTTTGGTACTCACGTAATGGGGTATTGATATGATCAATGGAAGCCAACAGATGGATATTCGGAACCCTTGCCAGCCTGGACAATATAGCCTGAGCTTTCACATTCCTCAGCATAGACCCATCTAGGTTGTGGACTATTAGAAACAAATGAGTCTCTGGTATGAGTGCAAACTCCTCCTCAATCATGTCCACAGCTTCGTGCGGATTAGCAGGACTAACGCCTGCGTCCAGTATCTCCCCTATAATGCTATCCAGCACATCCTTCAGTGTGAGACTGGGAAAGAACCCATTGACTACCAGAACCGTCTGTTGAGATAGGACTTCCTGGTGGAAAGACTGTAGTAGCTGACGCTTGGAACCCAGTCCATAAAGCAATATATTGAATCCCTCATTCAGGATGCACATCCACTTGGGAAAGTAGGAGCGATACTCCTCCATTATGGCATTTATGGAGGTCTCGTGCTCGGAGGACAGTTTCATTTCTGCCAGCAAGCTAAACAGGCGATCGGCAGCCAAGCGAGGATTTTTGAGACGATCTAGAGTGTGATCTGAGGTGAGGATTTTGCTGCTGGCGTGGGAATGGAAGTAGCCGTCGCTTTCTGGGACATATTCATTGGACTTCTTGGTCCGCGCTGATTGGCGGAGACGAGCAGCAGAAGGGGTTTTTGGCAAAACAGGCACCACAATGGCACGTCGGGCTTTGCAAGGGGTTTTGGGTTCATCATCGGCAGCATCGTTGTCGGAGGTCTCGTCCTCCCCACCATCACTACTGCTACTGCTTGGGGAATCCTCATCACTTGGCTGGAAGTCGCTCTCGTCTGCGGAGAAGTCCTCGTCTGACTCAACCACCTTGGACATCTCTGAAAGTTGGGATTTGAATTAAGATATTTTTTGATTTCAGATTTACTTACGTTTCCTAATACGGGTGCGCACATGGGCCGGGGTTTTTGGCAAATCCAGAGACTTGGTGCGCTTCGACTCGGGCGTTTTCACACCCAACCGAGGCGTCTTGGGCGTCTTTGGAGTCCGTGGAGTGGCATTTAGAGCTGCCAGAGCCATGCCATCCCGTTTTTTGGGCGTGTTGAAGCCAAACATACTGGTTCCCGCCACATTATACTCAGATTGGATGAGATTAATATCTTTGCTTGAAGGTCTGGCGGCATTCTCCGCATCCACCAGCGAATCCTCCTGCTCTTCCTCTTCGTCAACATTGTCAGGCTCGTCGTCCGTGACCTCCACATAATTCACAACAATATGCTCCTCCTGGGGTGTTTCCTGATTTTCCATTTGGTAGGCCTGATACTTTTTGGTAGGACTAGGACGTCGTGTGGACCGACGAGCCCTAGGTTTAGCATTGTTTTCATCCATTTCACCGATTCGGGCCGTATCCAAGTCCGCCGCCGATTCATCCGAATTGGTGAGGTTCTCGATGGATTTCAAGTTTCGTTTCCGCGGGGTCTTGTACTCGCTTTTGTTGGAGGAGCTCATGTTGACTTGACACTCAGTAGAAGCTTGTGATATTATTAATTTAAATAAACAAACAAATTGGAAGCCATCCGAACCAGGGTTGGATTTTTAAAGCAGTAAGAGGCGGGATTTATCGTGATCGATAACTTGCCCTATTCAGTGCTGCCCATAAGAAAACTTTTTAGGCGGGGTTTTTAAATTTAATTAGGATCATATTTTTTCGAGATTTTCTGTAGTTTGCTAAAACTATTAAATAAACTTTTACTCATAATTTATTTGATAAAATTAAATTTGCCATTAAATTACGATGCTTCAAAATGCAAGTAAAATCGATGTAAAAAAAAGTCCGATTCTTCCGAGTGGACAGTCCCAACCAAACGATATCATTTGGATACAAAAAATATCGATATATCTTTATTGTAATAGATCCCCACGCTTTCTTGATCTCCTCTCTATCTTTTCGTTGAACGTGCTGGAGCGCGAGTGCTTAAAGTTCAAACCTATTTTCAGTGTAAAGTGCTTTCGACTTATAACGTTTATAATTTTGTATACGGTAAGACGCACTTAAATATTGTGCTACTTCATTGACTAATTTAGCAAGTATTCCACTATATTCACTAATATATGTAAATATATCACTTAATACTGATCTATTAAAGTTAATTTCAATTTCACTTAATTCGAATCAAAACATCTTTACATTCATTAAAACTTGATTCAAAACTTATTGTGGTAATTCGCTGACAAAATTTTCATTCTCCGAGCATCGAAAAGTTTTCGTTTGCAGAACACTAGAAACTTCCGTTAGACGGCCATTTTGTTTTTTTGCACTCGCTTTGTCTTCCATGTTTGTATGTATGTATGAATGAATTTTTCTGTTCATATTTAGCTCAAGACGCGTACTGTGTGATTTTCGCTGTTTGTTCGACATTACTTCAAAATGACTCCTTGTAAAGATCCAAACCCTTGTGTGATTTGTGGGTCTGGGGCCGAGTTGATGTGCCACCGTTGCGGGGAGCCCTATTGCAGCGCAGACTGCCAGCAGCAGGATTGGCAGCGGCACAAGTATTACTGCACCCCCATGCCGTAAGTACATAATCTTAATCTTAACTCATACCTCATAACTTAACTTTTAACTATCAGCGCTTTGGTGAAAATAAACGCAAACGTTAAGAAACCCCTTGAAGAGGTGGAGGAGGTGCAGAAGCCATTACCGCTCAAGACGCTCGAGTCGAATGTCCCGAAACCGACAGTCGAATCCATGGACATCAAAAGTCCTGACCAGAGATCCAATCTAGAGGTGCCGAATGAAAAACCGCTCCAAGAGCAGGTGCGCGAGCCTAATGCCCCGAAACCGACAGTCGATTCCACGGACATCAATAGTGTCATCGAGAATGTCGAAAAGAAGCCGGTTTCTGAGCCGTTATCGAAGGCCTGGCGCGAAGCCTACTTGCCATCGGGCGAAGACTTCTTTGAAGCCAGGGTGACGTACATGGAGAAAGAGGGTCCGTTCTGGGTCGTCGAGGCCAGCCATGTGGAGCGCCTGGAGCGCCTTATGGACAATTTGATGAGACAAATGATCCTTAAAAAGCTCGAGCGGGTCGATAATGTTGAGAGTGGCTCACTGGTGGCCGTCGTTGTGGACGGCAAGGTCCATCGCGGACATGTGGTTGCCGTCAACGGGCAGGAAAAGACGGCCGAAATCCGGATGATTGACAACGGAGCTCTGGTTGCCGTCCAGTTTCAAGACATTTACAAGGGAATTCCCAAAATGTTCGACATAAAGGCTTTCGCTTTTCGCGTCAAGCAACCAACAACCACGGGCGTTCAGCTCAATAAAAATCTAAGCCTTCGATTCGTTAGTAACAAAATGGCGGAAGGGTTTTTCAATGTACAAATGAAGCCCAAAATGACCATACCGCTCAACCTACCCACCGAGCTGCTCAAAGTAACTCCCGAGCTGACCGTCGTTAAAGTCTTTGAAAAAGACATTTCTAATTTGAAGTCGGAGACGATCTTGGTTCAGCTGAAGGCTCTGGACAACATCAACCATGAATTGAACGAAATTTTGACCAAAAAACCTGTTCAAAATTTGAACGGACCATTTCCGGATGAAAAGTGTACATTCTTTTTGGCGGCTCGCACCAAGGATGGCTACCGCCGTGCATTTCTGCTAGACCATATCGAGTTCCCGACACCCACATTCCTCGTCTACGAGATGGACGAGGGGAAAGTCACCTTATGTAGCGATGTTTGTCGGATTCCCAGCCAACTGCTGGGTCTGCCCATGCGAGTGTTTAGCATCGCGCCCCAAGAACCCATCTATAGCAGCCTGAAGGAAGAGGGCAGCGGTGATGAACTTTCGGTCAAGTTCAAACAAGAGCTTCCTTACGGCAAGGACAGGCTGAGGACTCTGAACGCCAACTTGTTGTCCAAGAACGGGAAATCCTATGGCCTCGTGCGTCTGAATATTTTCCTTGGTACAGTGGCTGACTTAGGACACAAGTTCTGGCGGCATCCCATCAATAATACGGACTTGGTTTATATCACCCACGTGGTTAGCTACCGTGAGCTTTACATCAGCTCCAAAGACACCCAGCGGTATGCCAGTATTTTCAAAAGTCTGGAATCTAAATGCAGCCCGTTTAAGGAAAACACTGAAATCCCTGTTGGAGGCATCGTGCTGGTCGTCTGCCCCAAGCTGGGAACCTTCCGTGGAGAGGTTAGTTTTGTTGTTACCCATTTTTTTTTTATGAGATTATTGATATTTATTTTTCGTTTTTTAAGATAAAAAATATAAGTAAGAATGGCGAGTACGATGTGGAGAACGTGGATACAGGTGCCCGTCACACCGTGGACTTCAAAGTGCTGCGTGTGTCATGCCGCTTCCTGGAGAACTTGCCGGTGAGCCTGATGCGTGTCAAGTTGAAGACACTTCGCGATATTCCGGAGGCAGCCGTACCGCCAAACAGCGGGGCCCCATCCTTGCTAAATGCGATCTGCGCTCAGCAGGAGATCTTTGTTCTGGACATGCCCAGCTCCAATCTATTGGTTGATCTATTGCCCAGGTCCGGTGATCAGGAGTCTTTGGTGGGCCGAATCCTGCCCGTTATGTTTACGCCGGCCAAGAGTGAGGAAACTTCACCTCCAGCCAAGCCTACTCCTTCACCAAGCACGGAACAAGTTTCTCCTCCGGCCGTTTTATTGGAGCCAGTTTCGTCGGTCAAATTGCCACCCTCTCCACCAAGCTCTCCTGATCAAACTTTTTCGGTGGATGCTCGGCAACTTCTGGAGCTTTCCACAGCCAGTGTTAAGCAGATTATGCCTTTTGAACGCTTCTACTACGCCGATTTGACCAAGCACCTGGTGCCATTGGGGGAGAATGTCGAAATTATTTGTCTCAATGCCGTCAACTTGCAGAAAACTGGATTTATTACAGCCTGCTTCTTCCTTAACGAAAAAGTGGCCGAAAACTTCCAGAACTTGCTTGCGTTGGTGGCTCACCACGGCACTTGTGTCCATAACTCGGTCACCACCTACACTCCAGGGTTAGTTCTATAAAATTAAAACCATTTTCATTGAAAAATAACAAACGTCCTTGATTGTAGAATTGGAGAACTTTGCCTGGCGATCTATAGCGGAGATGATGGCTGGTATCGTGGTGTCTGCCTCGAGAACGACAACAAGATGATCAAGATTCTGTACTGCGACTTTGGTAATATTGAGACTGTGCCTTTGGAGAAAATCAAGCCCCTTCCCAACGATGCACTGCATCCTGTGTATGCCACCAAGTGCTTCATTGATGGTAAGGCTCTCTTAGAATACCCACAAAAAAACGTTATAATAATACCGCTTTAAACCTGCTATAGATTTCGATAAGACCGAGGACTTTACCCCTCTGGAGGAATATCTCACCCGTCACGCCCAGATTAAGTGCCATGTTCGCAATGGACCGGAGACCGACACACGTATCATAACCATCCCGAACCTGGACAATATCCTGACTAAAGTCGAGACCTAATTTAAGAATTTTCAAAAACATTGACAAGATTGATTCCTTTTCGCTACTTTTTGATACTTATTAGGTTTAAGTGTACACAGGATGTGTACTTACCAAAGGCTTTGAAAGCCTTGCCTATTTTTTTTTTTATCCATATTTCATCTATTATTTACTTAAAATTTAAAACCTTAAACTAAAAAATACTTTGTAACATTGCACAACAATTACTTTTTTTTATTTGACGCGTCAGAGAGAAATAAATTGTTTTGCCCTAAATTCTGGAAGAACATCTTTTGTACTCTTAACATGTCTATCCAGGCGCTCTTATTCTCTCCAACATTAATAGATATATAAAATTAATTACAACAGCTATGAGACTAGACAGCAACATTTATTGCTCCGCCAGCTTGGCGATGAGTTCCTCCACGACGCTTACATCGCGAACAGCGATGATGCCACCTGCATTTCGTTTCCAATCTGTGTTGGATTCGGCCTCCTCCGATAAATATGTCAACGAGGTGGCCTTCTGCTCCGCAACACTGGCCTTAAAATCAAGGATGTCACCGCCAAGAGCCCGTAGAATCGCCTGAGGAGCGCATGTGTCCCACATAAATGTGGATCCCTTGCTTAGCAGATAAACATCCACCTCGTGAGTAATCACTTTTAAAGCCTTATGACCAGCTCCAGCCGAGAACGCGAACTCATATCCCAGTTCGAGAAATCTTTGGAGGATGTCGGAGTTCTCCGAACTGGAAAATATTCCCAACCGGCGACCTTCGTCACGCGCCTCGAACTCACAGTTGTGGGCCTGCAATGTGGAAAGACAGACGCCCCAAAACATGGAAGAGTTGTACATGTTCTCCTCCACCTTCTCGCCAAACGGTTGGGCCACAACTCCAATGACAGGAATTCCGGTATCCCGTTCGTAGACACCAATCAGCACGGTGACGCAGTCCAATCCTGTGGACGTGATGCCCGGAAAATCGGTAAACATGGTGTCTCCAGAAATGTACTCAGCGGTGGCATCTGAAAAATAATATTTTTAAAAATATTTATGGTTTATTTTTTAAACATAACCAACCGATGGGATCGATCCAGATGCCTAGGTTGGCGTAATCCAGTTCCTCCGGCAGTTCGGGAACTTCTCCCAGCTTTTTGTTCTCAAAGCTAACCACGCGGTGGACTTCACCAGCCAACGCCCCGGCCGCTCCATCGTGTCCGCTGAGTACACTGCCCAGGCAGTGGGCGGTTTCCTCCTCAGTTTCTCCAACGGCAATAGTAACGCTTTCGCCAAGTTTGTTGGTGAAACTGGGCGACTCCTCGCCCAGGATGTTGTCCTTCATGTCGGGAAACAAAGCACCCACTTCATGCTTGATTGTCTCTTGGATTAGGACATCTGCCAAGGTCTTGAAGTCGTGCTCGAATCGCTCATTGGCCTCCGCCCCGCTTTTTTCTTGGACCAGAAGACCCAGGAGCTCCTCGTTGGAGCGACATGTCCTGGCAATGTTGGCCGCCTTCTCCGCACAATTAATGAGTACTCGCAGCAGGTTCGGCTTGTCCTCTCCGCTCATCCTGAACCAGTTTTCAATACCTAATCCACTTACATAGGTTCCATACTTTTATGGGTTTTCCTCCAGCTGCAAACTTCTTGGGCTTCCCTTGGACAGTGTTACCAGATTCGGCCGCTAAATTGGGGGCCCTCTAGGTACATTTTCAAGGTTGGGGCGGGAAGTTTGAATTTGTAAAGAAAATTTGTTCGTTTTCTTACAAATTGTACAGATTTCTGCATAGTAAATTTATTTGAATTGTTAAAAGTATAATTTCTTATGACTACATTAATATATTGCCCGATCATTTTTATCTATAACACAATTATACATTAAAGGCAGCATCCTTTAATTATGCTCCGCGTTCATGTCCAGAAGTAGTTTCTTGGTCTGCAGATCGATGAGTCGTCTCTTGGCCCTGGCAAGTTCCGCCATTTCATTGTAGTATATCGTCTCCGCCTTGAGCTTCTCGTCCAGTTGGGTGGTCGACTCGGAGATGGAAACGTTATCCGGTGGAAGAATACTTTGGACGTCCGTTTGGTCATGATCATCGCTTCTTTCAAGTACCACATCCGAGTTGTCCACAACGTACTCGTAAAAAGGTTCCTGTAGCGAAATCGAAGTAACCTTAAAATAAATATCAAAACTGCTATATTGAAATGCCGAAACACGACTTAGAATTGTTGAAATGCCAACCCAAATGATATATATTTGGTCAAAACTGACATATTCAACAAATCTAACTGAAACCATGGACAAACCTCATCATCTAGGTGGTCGGCCACCTTCTCGATTATACTGTCCACATCGTCGAAGTTGACTTTCTCGAGAGGATCCGCCGCCGACAGCTGCCGGCGTTCTATGCTGACAACATCCTTTTTGGGGGACATCAGATGATGATGCGAATGATTCAAGGTCTTCGCCAGGTTGTTATGACGTCGGACGATGTGGCGCATTAGATTGGAGGACGAGTGCTTTGAGGAGAGCGTCTTGCCACAGTGCATGCACTTGGCCATAAACTCGGAGATGCGAATAAAATGGGCCCACAACTTGTTGTTCTTGCCAATCACCTTGTTTCGCATTTCCGACTCCTGGCTGTGCCGCTCCAGATCCTGCTTAACTCCGATTATTGTGCGAACTGCTGTTTTAGCCTCGGCTTCGCCTTCGTTCATGGTCATGTTCAGATCCTCGGACGCCGATGCCTCAAGCTCGTCCTTCAGCTCGGCGAGCATTTTTCCCTCCTCGCCGGCGAATACGGTCCGGGCCAGCAGCTTGTGGTTCCGGATGAGATGGCGCGTCAGATTGGACGAGGTATGCTTGGAGGAGAGTGTTTTGTCGCAGTGTTTGCACTGTACAATGTATTCGGATAGGCGGTGGAAGTGGGCGAGAGCCTTGACGTTTTTCCCAACCATAGTTGCATGAACGGATCAGAGCTTGTAGAACCGATGGATTCGGCAAGCTCGGTGAGGGAGTTATCAATTTTTTAAAGATTTATTTGCGGAATTTGAGTTATTTTTTTGCTTATGTACAGTGTACTCGATGAGACCGTTGCTTGAAAGCCTAAAAATACTTTTTGTTTTGGGGAAAAATACCAGGATTTAGTTAGCTAAAAGTGAGCCGCAGCCGGTCACACTAAGACTTCATTATACCGCAAATGTAATTGTTTTATTATTGAATCAAATAAAAGATTGATTTTTAATCGATATAGAATTATTTAGTAAAGGCCATATCTAATAGTTTTTATAATTTGATATCCCCGAGTAGTGTTGGACAAATAAAATATAGCTCGAAAATAGCTAGATCCAAGAGTAAGTTGGCAGCGCTTCTGTCAAATTAACCTCACTTTTTTGACACGAGGTGCTTCGTGGGCCTTTTCCTTTCTTTCTCGCTTTTTACTCGAACATGGGTAAGTCGGCTCGCGCGAAAAGCGTGAAAATATCAAGAAAAACACCTTAAAATGGGATGAAATGACCACAAAACTGCACACCAAGTACGTCCGCATATGCATCATTGAATAAATAAACCGGGATATGTGAATTTTTATGGAATTTTTGTGAAAAGAGTGCACGCATTTGCAATGCGGTGGTTGTGTTCCCATACAGTGTGCCATGTTCTTGATATTTGATTATATGCTATGTGAACTTAATTTACTAAGTTGATTTTGTTTTCTAATCCAGGTATTAGCCGTGATAGTTCACACAAGCGTCGCGCCACTGGTGGCAAGCGCAAGTCGCTCCGCAAGAAGCGCAAGTTCGAGTTGGGCCGTCCCGCCGCCAACACCAAGGTGAGAATATATTCCTGGCTGCCTTCTTCTAAAGTCCTTTTCTCATAATCCATTTAAGGTAACACTTTGGGGTACCTGGGCCTAATCTTTACGACTTTGCAAGCTGAAGAGCTAAAAATGTGACTGATTCAAGACAACGTGCTTCGTTTACACAAAACATTGTAGCATTTCAGTGGCCTACCTATCACAGGTGGCTCCTGTATTGTTTTTTATCATTTGGATAAAAAATACTAACTAGGCTTTAAAATGATTTGTTTTTAAAGCCTTTAAATCTATTTAAATCCTTTTGTCTGAAGCCTTAAAAAGATTATTTTGTATTTAAAAAGTAGTTACCTTAATTGTATTATGAGAGGACTCTAAACGAATGATGTTATCGCGTGTCAACTGTACGACTCTTTTTGAGACGTTCATGATGATGGAAAAGCATTATGTTCGGACTACTGACTACTACTATTCCTACAGAACTCTTACTCTTATATGTAACAAGTGTTAATGATGTATTTTCTTTAACCTTCCAGCTTGGCTCCAGCCGCGTGCACAAGGTGCGCACTCGTGGTGGAAACACCAAACTGCGCGCTCTGCGTCTGGAGAACGGCAACTTTGCCTGGGCCTCTGAGGGTGTTGCGCGCAAGACCCGTATCGCCGATGTGGTCTACAACGCCTCCAACAACGAGCTGGTCCGCACCAAGACCCTGGTGAAGAACAGCATCGTTGTGATCGATGCCACTCCCTTCCGTCAGTGGTACGAGTCGCACTACGTGCTGCCCCTGGGACGCAAGCGTAACCCCAAGCACGCCCAGAAGGAGGACGAGAACGACGTGCTGACCAAGAAGCGCAGCGAAAAGGTCATGAAGAAGTACCTGGAGCGCCAAAAGTACGGCAAGGTTGAGCAGGCCTTGGAGGATCAGTTCACCTCCGGACGTATCCTGGGTATGTATCCAAATACCACTCATGAATCGAGCAACTCAAAGTGATGTAAAAACCCTAGCGATCCTACAACTTTATTGCAAAGTTCTTGTTCTAAGAACGATGCAAGCCTGTTGGGCGTGATTTAGCTTGTCATAGTTACTCTGATTCCAAATCTCAAAGATAATTCTTATAATTTTAAATAAGACTTTGACTAATTACTGAATTTTTCATCTTGCAGCTTGCATTTCCTCCCGCCCCGGACAGTGCGGTCGCTCTGATGGCTACATTCTGGAAGGCAAGGAGTTGGAATTCTACCTTAAGAAGATCAAGTCTAAGAAATAAACACGGCAGTAGATAAGCTTGCAAGGTCCCCGGACTTGCAAAGATGAAAAAACAAAATAAAACAACCACTTGTTTTTTATAGGAAGAGACTATTGGAATATTATTTGTAATCAATGCTTTAGTTGAATGGCGGGACATAGCATCCAGATTTAAAAGAAAAACAAAGTAGTTTCATGGATATCGGAGAGTCGAGGACTTTCCCTTAACTTTCTATTGAATTTTCGTTTCATAAGTATGTTACAGTAATACGTAATTATTAACAATAGTTTAAATATCATTCATATTGGCTATAATTACATAACGCAGACAGGATCAAGAATCCCATAAAGTACAACAAATTCATGTGTAATTTTAAAACTGCCAGCCACAATCTTAGCCCACCAGAACTATGGTTCTAGTGCCTAAGACTGCGACTGGATGAATTTTTTCGCTTAGAATGCTGTCGTCTTTAGTTCCTAGTGTTCGAATAGCATGGTCATCACGGCCATTAACGCGATGCCGAATACGAGGGCTAGTAGCTGCTTAATGGACTCCTTTCGCTCCTCCTCCTTTAAGAGATCAGGTAATACTGTGACCAGGGCAATATGCAGAAAGCCGCCGGCGGTGAACGGCATGATCCACGAAGTACGTGCCTCTGAAAGAGTATTGATAAGGTTACCCACCGACTCGTCACCTTTGTAATGACACCTTAAGCTTACCCATGGCCGATGTAACTCCGGAACCCCCGATAGCCACCAGGGCACCCAGAAGTCCAGCTCCCGCTGTCAGAAGTTGGGCGCGTGCTGCGTCCCAGCGGCTGAAGCCGGAGCGAAGGAGGATAGCGAAGTCACCCACCTCGTGAGGAATTTCGTGCACTGAAAGGTGGTTATGGTTTCAAGTTCACGGCTGGTCATTGGTGTTTATCTTTGAAATACTCACACAAGATAGCAAAAGTGGCCAGAACTCCGTGCCGGAAGGAAACAAGGAATGAACCGGCCACTGCCAGGCCGTGTGTGAAGTTATCGATCGAGTTTGCCAGCAGGTTCAGATATCCAGCAACCTTCTTAGGTTGTTCCTTCTTTTCCTTTGACTTCTGCTCTCGCTCGCGCAGGAAGCAAACCTTGTCCACGTCCTCGATGTCGCATGCCCCACCGCAGCTATCAGGGGTCTCGCCTTCCGGCAGCTTTCCACCATGACGGCGAAGCAGGCAGTTGGCGATTTCCACACATTTCGGTTGGGGATTCTCCTCATCTGCGCTCGCGTAGCCAGAGAAGATCTTCTCCACGATGGTGAAGATGAGTATGCCGGAGAGTACCCAAAGTCCCGAGCGCAGGGACGGGTGACTAGATGGATCTACAGTAGGTATATTACATGAAAAAAGGTCCCATTTAAGGATGATAAGTTAACCACCTTGACTATCGCCTTCCCAGGCCTCGGGCAACAGATGGAGGAACACATCGCCCAGCAGTCCACCGACTGCGAAGCTTAGAAGAACTCTTAGGAGTTTTGATTCGGCAGCTAAAATAGGATTTGGAATTAATTAGGGTTCTAGGGACTCCCTTATAAGGACTACTTACGATCCTTGTAGCCCTGTTTGGCCATTTTCTCATCCGTGGGAATGATGAGAAGCGGGAATATACCGCTGAGGCCAATGACCACCGATCCCAGGAGGGAGAATACCCATGGCGTATACTGGAAACTCTTGAAGTATTCTGGCATGTACTGCTCCATCAGGCTGTTGTATATGATGGCTATATGTTCTTCAAAGAAGCTACTGTTGCTGATGGTGGTCATTGTTGACGGCCTTACTGTGGCTACTTGTGCGCTTTGGGGGTCTGGGCTTGTGCTGGAACTGTCGATTTGTTGGTCACTCCCTGGTCATGTCCTGTGACCTTTGAATGAATACTTCAGTCTCTTATATGCACTAGGAGTGGGAACAGCTGATAACCAAAGTGGAAATTATGTATTTTTTATATCAAAAGTAAGAAACTATAACTAGAATTTTGACACAATAGTAGCGTTAGTAGTCACTTTATGGAATCCGTCACCTAGCAACAAACTCATCGAATACCTAGATGCGCTCCTTCATATCGGACATTGGGTGATGGGAAAATCTCTATTGATATGGTCAATAGACGCCGGTGTCAGCGGCCAAATCTACAAGGGGGCTGGCCAGCAACCACCACTCTCCTAACCACTCGCACTCTTCTCTTCTGGCTGTTGTCATGTTCGATAAGCGTTTTGCCTTTGTAAAATTTAAGTCTGCCAGCTTAGGGGTGACTAGATAGCTCCTAGGAGAAGCAGCAGTCAATCAAAGTCAAGCCAGGCCAAGACCATTGCCCGATACTTTACTCAGTCAGGATGAGTAGGCATGGGATGCACGAGCAGTGACTAAAATAAAAGTGATCTTTAATCTAAAAGAACCACAATCAGGGGGATTAACAAGTGCATCCGTTGGTTAAGATCGGGGAGGCACACGCATTTGTAGAAGTCTGTTTCTTAGTTAGATCATCCCTTTAAGTTCTTATTCATAAAGGGGGAAGTACCAAATGATTATGTCCCCAAGTTACAGATATTGGGATGTACTTCTAAAGAATGTGTCACTTTTGTCCTTTTTTCTTATCAATTATTACAGTTTACGATATTTTCATTTGCGGATGGAAGGAGTTTTAGGTAATTTCGACATTAAACCCTCTTTTCATCATACTACTTCTCACAAGATCATATTATCGACAAATTTTTAATGATAGTTAGAAACTAGTATTCAATGGCACATTATTTTAGAGATAAAGGGTCTATTATATATCACTTTATACACTTTCAGTTTGAAAAACCAACACAGACCATAAATTAACCACAAAAGTAGCTCCAGTTGGGAAGAGCAATTCGGCAATACGATAACCGCCGCCCTTAGTGTCCACAAACCGACTAACTAAACTCTAAACAGACGCTGGTCTGGAACGCCCACGTCAAGATACTTTGTTTCCATTTGATTTCCAATTTGATGTGCACGATGCAGCTTAAACTGTTCGCTGTTCCTTCTGATAAGATTACGGACGATGTCAATGTCGATGTCGGTATCGTTGGAGTGCTACGGTTTTGGAAGCTTTTGTTAAACGCCACTACATACAGTTTATTGGGGAAATTGAAGGAATAGATTTTAGACAAACTTGCAGACAATATGCAAATACTAGTACTAGTTAGAGGTCAGACATCAGAAGAGCTAACAGTTTAGCTTGGGCCGAATCTTATCTTTCACAGTCATTGCCATTGAACTATCACAAAGTAAATTATTTAGATTAGATTTAAACTTCATTATATTTGAATTACTATTTGTGGACAAAGGGAGGAAGTAGAGAAACTAGAGGCTGTAAAGATCTGTTATACTTTTAAGAGTTTTAGTTCCTTCGTTAAAAACTGTATTAAATGAATTATAACCATAGGAAAAATAATTAAATTCTCAAGCAAATCTTATTTATGGTTGAGCTTAAAAACGGATTATGTTGGTTAATTTATAGCAGTCGAAATTCGTTACGAGGAAGCCGTTCAAGTTGTTTGCATATATCATTCGATCACTTGAACAAACACTCCAATTTCCACACAATAAACGCGAATATGTATTTAGCTGTTGGACTTAATTATTGTACTTTCGAACGAGCCTTCGAAAAAAAGGCCTAGAATCTAGATTTCACAGAGAAATGCTTTTCACTGCATTGTTCTTTTTTTTGTGATTAACCATTCAAGTTCAATAAACACATTCGAGAAATGAATTTTTGCACAAAGCATGTGGGTTTTGTGTAATTTCAAACACCATTGACATCTAATAAGGGAAATTAAATTATTTGCACAAGTATTCATACAATTTGGGGACAATAGATTCCTTCTGATCTTTATAGTTGATTTGTGGCTTCCGAGTACTTAAGAATACGACGCTACTAATGCGGAAATTTATGCTTGGAGCTCGAAAATGTGTTTCGTGTGTTATCGCGCCGATAGCTGAGCTTGCTGTGAGAGCAACAACGTTGTCTGCTGGCGTTCTTATAGGTAAATCGAATTGAAATAATAGTTCGGGGCTTCCAGATATATTCTCAATTAAATATAGTAAATGATCTAGTTGCTAGCTGGCTGTTTACATGACGCATTGTCGCCGATACATGGCGTAACTTTTCCAGTGGACATCATCAAAATGGCACAGATTATTTTGCACGCTGCACTAAAAATGAGACATGGGTGGTGAGCAGGCGCTGATTATCAATGAGAAACGTGTCTACGATTCGATTTAGCTTGGAAAATGTCTCCCTCGTAGATAAGCGAACAACATACATACATATTTGTATAAAATTTAACAAGCTGGGGAAACCTTTATGATAGAAAAGCGAAAAATAAACTACATATGTATTTTCTTTGCAAAAATAATTGATAACTCCAAGCAGCGATATCCGTTGAGGGGCGTTCATTAAACCAGGAAAGTAAACAATGTATGTACTTTCCCCAGCTGAAGTTTAAATGGGAGGCACTTCTTCATTCAAGGAATATTACATATTTTTTTGGGGTTTTAATTACCACGCAATTCAGGTTTATTCAGATTATTAAGAGAGCAGAGCAGCAAGACCCTTCAGTTCTCAATAAAAATTAATAAACACGATCGAAGCCGACAAACTGGTTTGCAAAACAAGTTGTCATTTTATTGTTGTCTAACAAAGTCTAGAAATATATTCATAATACATGTACCTGCAATACATATGGCGCCGATTATCAGCAGTATAGTCACATAAAATAGTGCTTAGCGCACAGATTTGAGATTAGATTCGAGTGCTGCTTGTGAATTTATCAAATATGGCCGCTATAAGTGACGTGTGGATGATTATGCTAGGTTAGTTATTTTTACTTTTTAAAATAATTAATTATTTTGTGAAATTGCAAGCGTTTAACACACTTGTTGCTTTTCATACAAAGGAATGGTGAAACAATTGCTTATCACCCTTTATCCGTCATGGGTAAATGGGTATATATGTAAACGATATTATATACACTGTGTACAAACAACAGATTAGAATTACTACTTGAAGGAATTTAATATAACATATGGGAGCTATTTATTGTTTCAAAGAAACGGCTTTGAAATTCCAGCTATTTCTTTTGTTTCCGCGACTTCCGTGCAGATTTTGTTTCTTTTTTTTTACCGTAATTTAGATTGCTGGAGTAACCGGGTCAACGCGCTGTTCAGTTATCAGCTTTGTGATAAATACAATTTTATAAGCACAAACTTTCAGTTTTATTTTGGATTGTTTTTTAGTCTTTGACGTACTGGCAGGAAGATTGTTTTGTGAAATATATTGCTAATGCGTAGTTGCGATCATTTTCTTGGCACCCGTTTTACTTCGCAGTAATTGCACGATTCACTTTTATTTTTTAGCTCTTTTTAGGAGCTAAAACGTGCACTTGACCCCTCGGAAAACTTGGGTCTAATGATACCGTTGCCCCGCCAGTCGGATCCAAAATTACAAGCTCGCCATTATCACATGCATATATATTTTTTTTGTTTACTATATTCGTGCCGTGTGGAAAATTGAAAAACAATAACAACAAACAGCAGTGCATTAGAGATGTGCAACGGAATTTGAAATGTAATTGTATCGAAAAGTTTCAATAATCGATATATGATAGAATTTGAGTATTTTTATTTAAAAATTTAAAATTTAAATATAGACGTTGGTTTTGATATGTTGAAGGAAGCTCTTCAAAGTAAAAACTAACAAATTAACGAAAAAATTAATTTATTTTGAATATTCAGTGTTCAATATAACTAAGATACTGCATATATCAACCTTAACTTCAAACAATACATTCTTAATATTTATCTAAAATGTAAAACTATTAAAAATTTATTCTGAAAAATAACTTACAAATTAGAGGTAAGATAACTCATTTTGAATTTACAATAATTCGATAGCTAAGCTAGAGTCTTGGTGGAAACAGTACATTATCATCAGCTGATCAACGATTTACCGATAACCTATGAATCATACTAGATGTTATCGAAAGAGCTATTGCATCTTTGACACCTCTAGATTTACGCTCCGCAGAAAGTCAATTAACATTAGATTTCAACTTAAATTAATAGTGCGATTATGTTTCCCACCCCTACGACTAACGAAAAATGTTGAATTTAGTGACTTTTGGGCTAGCGCGGGAGCGAGTGACGTCACAGAACTAGAAATCAAGGCTTCGCAGAAAAGAAAGCAAAAGCAACAACTCGCCGCGCCAACAAAAGGGAATCAATAACAAAAAAACGAGAGAAAACACGTAATTTGGTTGTCAATTTGCATACAGCTCAGCTCAGCCGTTAGGTAATAGCGATACCCATCGCACACGCACAAATTTGAAAATATGAGTAAGCTTGAAACGGACTCGGATAGCTCTGAAGAATTTTTCGATGCCGAAGACACAACGCCCAATCGTCATGCGACTCTCAGGTACGTATCTTATAAAAACACCGATGAGGCAATAGATAAACAAATATAGCTTTTTGCTTTCAGTCGTAAACTGCCGCATGTTGTCGAGCAGGAATTTATATTCCCCGAACCCGCGGTGAGGGTTAATGCAGCTGCTTCTTCCGACAGCGATGCCACTCCCATTGGCGCAGGAACGCCCGCCACCAGGAGTCCAACGAATAGTTTGGGGGCTCGGCTAAAGCAACAGGATGCGGGAGTCTTCGCTGAACCCAAACCCTTGTCTGGACCTGTAAGTAAACAATCGGATTGTCTTTAGTCTCAGTTTTCTTGTAAAAAGATTTTAGTCATGGTGACTTTAGCGAGAAGGTTTAACTGTAAGAGTTTTTTTTATTTTTAATCGATTTAATCGAGATTAGTAATGAGTCATTACTAGTGGCATTAGATTATATTTATAATCTATGTCTTAGTTACCATATATCTAAAAAACTATAAACTTGGGTGCATACCTTTCACCTTATCGAAGCAACAATCGTTCCCATCAGTTTCTCTTTAGTTGGAGTGCCTTATCCATTTTGTGGTTTGCCATCCATAGACTACGTTTTATAATGACTATTGGTGTTGGAAGCCATAAACTGTTTAATTATAGCCATTAAATGTGTTTCATCACCACCATAAGCATTTGTTCAAAGGCGATCGTTTTTTGACTTTAAAATACATTTCCGATTTCAAATATTATTGACACTCCAATGGAAAACGAAAATTAGTGTTCATCCTTTAGTTAACTATCTGATTAAAAAGTAAGCCATTCTTTTTGGATCCTCTATTGAGCTTTAAGAATTTTGATTTACTCTTATATTGAGTCGTAAAAAAGTATTTTTATTCGAGAAGCACTGACCAATGAATCATCCATTTAATTTTGTCTCCATATTTGTGTTCTTTACTTTCATATTTTCTCCGCTTCATTTCCTAAAATTCAACGAAAAAATCAAAACCGAATCTTAAATAAAATGGAAACTCAACTTAAATATGCATATGCATATTAATATGATTAAATAAATGAAATATCGTAGTATGGTAGACAGCGCTTTCACGAACTACGTCAGTGCATGCAAAACGATGAAGATGATAATCCAGGAAATACACTCACACCTGATTCTCAGGTATACATATGTCTTATCCAGTTTTTTCTATCATATTCTTTCGCATATGTTTGGATGATTTTAAAACGTTTTATTGACATTGCAGAATAGTTCCACAGACGGAATCTTCACCAACCGATCGACTCATCCGTTTAAAGTCATCGAGACCGATGCGATGAGTATACAGAGCATGACGTCCCTTGGGCGTGTCGGCAGAATATTGGCAGGCAGCATCGATCCATCCGGTATTTTTTCAAGTTATATATTAAATAAAAGCAGTCCCTGACATTTAATCTACACTTTTTAAAGCTATCAGCGTAGACCGTGAGTCTCTTGCCTCGATGAATGCGCAGCTGCAATCCCAGCAAAAGCAGCAGGCACAGCAGGCGCTTCCTCTCTCGACTGTCAGCTCTGCAACGCTTCCGACAACTGGTAACTCCTCCTCTGCGTCTAATACGCCCCGGGTATCCCCCAAGCATATCCAGAGTGGTCAGGAGGTGGCAGTCGAAAGTGCTGGTGTGGCAAGTGCGTCTGCAACGCTTCAGACCTTGGCCTCTACAGGTATTATGCTCCAAGAACCAGATGTGATAGCGAGCACCAAACTGGCCCAGTCTAAAACAACAGATTCTATCACCTCGTCAGGACCCGTGGCACCGCCACGAAGAAAAAAGAAGTCACGGAACTTTTCCACTAGTTCGTCGGAGCATTATGGTCTCGTACCGGCTGATACGGAAGACACCGATAGCGATACCCGTTCCGTGAAGAGTGTGCAAAAGATGTGCGATGACATTTTGGAGTTTGAAGGCAACGATGTAAATACTTCGGCGTCTACCAATACCCTGACCTGCTCCTCAACGAATACGATTGTTTCGGCTTCAGCTTCGATTACGGCGGTATCTACATCTCTGCCACCGCCCAATACAATTCAAATGCGAACGATGGCCACGTCAGTGACGATATCCGGCTCAAAACCGTCGCATTCCTTGGGCAGCAGTGCCACATCGGTTCACTCCAAGCCGAGCCCATCAAACTCTGGAAAGAGTAACTCAGCACCAGGTCGTGTTAGGTGAGAAAAGCAATTTGAATAATTGTGTGTATATTTCATTAAACAATCCGTCGTTGCAGTTCCATTGACCCTAACCAGGGTCTCAATCTCTTCAAGGCAATTCAGGGAGGTTATATTGTTAAACCACGGGATGAGGCAGGCAACAAGGCACAGGGACCGCCACAGGATGAGATCGAGCGAATTGAAAAGATGCTTATGGAGAATGCCAACCGCCCGAAACTGGCAGGCACGGGTTCTAACAGCTTGGGCAGTGCTACGCGGTAAGTTTCTCTAACTCTGATAGAGATTATTTTTTATATATTTTTCCCACGCAGCTATCCGGCTTTGTTACGCGGAGTCAACGACAAGGAACGGCGCAAGTCCGCTGGAGACGAGGATGAGCTCAAGCAGTTGAACATTTATGTGCGTACTAGGACGAGCTCTGGCAAGCAGCTTACCGATTTTGAAATACTCGAACAAGTTCCTGTGAAGAATTTAGACACCGGCGAGAACATGCCCCTCTCCGAAATGCGATCACCACCCGTGCCCGAAGGCTGGAATCCGCTTTCGCTGCACATCCTTAAATTAACCTCGCACTTGGAGGTTATTCAAAAAGAATCCGACGAGGAGAGTGTAGTTGGCATACCGCCGAGTATCGAGGGCCAGCAGCCCGACGAGGAAGAACTCGAAACAGAAGATGGCAGTCGACTGAAAAAGAAAACGGCTCGAATCAAACGCTTCTTTGGCACTACAATGCGTAAAACTGTGGACAAGGCCAAGTCCATTGCATCGGAGGTATCGCATGCGCGACACAAGGAGGATGTGGCGGACATTGTAGATGCCATGAACCCCGAACAGAATATTAAGATTAAGGCTTCATCCTCGAATAAGGGTCCGTATGAGTTCACCAAACTGCAACATGTCCAGGATTTGAGCGGAGAAGATACTAGTGCTGTGTGGTGCATGAAGTTTAGTTCCTGTGGACGGTTACTGGCTACTGCTGGTCAGGACAAGGTTCTCCGAATCTGGGTTCTTAAAGATGCCTATCCATTTTTTCAGGTAAGCCTCATTCGTGATTTGAGAAGGATATGTTTTTTAATGCCCTTTCTTTTTAGGACATGCGCAATAAATACAATGCCGATCAGAAGTCCTCGCCCACTCCTTCACAGGAATCGCTCGTTTCCCAGCATTCGGCGGAAGAGGCCATTGCCATGGCTACGGCTGCGGAGAAGTGCCCTGGTCCGTTCATGCCCAAGCCCTTCTGCACCTACAACGGCCACACCTCAGATTTACTGGACGTCAGCTGGTCAAAGAATTACTTCATACTGTCAAGTAGTATGGACAAAACTGTGCGCCTTTGGCACATTTCCAGAAAGGAGTGCCTCTGCTGTTTTCAGCATATCGATTTTGTCACCGCTATTGCGTTTCATCCACGTGACGATCGCTACTTCTTGAGTGGCAGTCTCGATGGCAAGCTGAGGTTGTGGAATATACCTGACAAGAAAGTGGCACTGTGGAATGAGGTGGATGGCCAGACTAAGCTTATAACGGCTGCCAACTTCTGCCAAAATGGACAGTTTGCCGTAGTCGGGAGCTATGATGGACGATGCATATTTTATAATACGGATCAGCTAAAATACCACACCCAGATTCACGTTCGTTCTACGCGTGGCAAGAATCGGATTGGTAGAAAAATCAGTGGAATAGAACCCATGCCTGGAGAGGACAAGATCCTAGTCACTTCGAATGACAGCCGAGTCCGCCTCTATGACTTGAGGGACTTAAACTTGTCCTGCAAATACAAGGGTTATCTGAATGTTTCTTCGCAAATCAAGGGTTCCTTTAGCCATGATGGAAAGTATATTATTGCCGGATCCGAGAATCAATGCATCTACATATGGAAAACCAATCACGATTACTCCAAATTAAGTTCGGTGAGTTTCATCGAGTGTGATTACCAAAAACAAGTTCTTAGTGCCTTGTTTACAGGTTCGTCGGGATCGCAGCGACTTCTGGGAGGGCATTAAAGCACACAATGCTACCGTCACTTGTGCCATATTTGCGCCACACCCAGAGGCAATCATTAAGCCAGAACCGGATGAAATCTCCAACGAAAAGGTATAAACATATTGATATTTGTATCATGTTTATTTCTGAAACACTTGTTTATTGTTGCAGTTGGCTCACAATCAGCCCGATCCACTTGTAGAGCAGCACAAAAAGGGATGCGGATATGTGCTTGTTAGCGCCGATTTCAATGGCGCTATAAAGGTGTTCATTAACAAGACGAAGCCGAAACACAGCAGTCTACCATACACGGCCATTGCGGATTAGTTTTAGGTAGAAGATGTAAAGCTAATAACAAAAACGTAAATCATGTATTTTATTATTTTATTTTTATACTTATGTGTGACATTTTGTAACATTAGTAACTAGCGCCATTGCTTATTTATTATGCATTATTCGTTTCTACACTTTCTATGTTTACTGCACCTTTTTTCCTCCCTTTGTAAAAGTTGTTAACCATTGCTGCTGGCGCGAACTGTTTAATCTTACGCAAAATATGTTATGTATTTTTAATGGCGATTGTGTGAATATGTGTACAGATATTTGTTTAACAAGTTGATTATTTTCAAAGTCAATTGTATATTGTTATGCCCTTGTAAGGTAAAATTTTGACTATACAGAAGTTTTGATTTTGATATTCCTGTTTATATTTAAATCAGTCCTACTGGCCTTGACTTTAATATCTAATCTAGTTAAAAATTAACTAATGGCCAACCTTCAAGGGTAGGAGGGGCTCGGACAGCCGAGTCGCGAATAAGTTATTTTAAAAGTCGACATAAAGTAACACATTAATTATAATTAACTTTAAAACAATATATATTTTGTGTAAAGTAAAATGTACATCAAGGATATATCGTGTATGTCTTCTCTGTGAGCTGACTTTGAAGTGCTTCGGGATTAGGAAGTGCTTAAAAATTGCCTCCAGGCTGGTTTGCAATTTAGCAAAAGCTTAACCTTCATATTTGAGGCTTCCTAGGGTGCGTGTCTACGAATGGATGGATGTAATTGGATATTGACAGTAAGAGCTCTGCGTGCATTTGTTAATCTTATTTTTCATAATTGCAAAGAGGGTCCAAGTAGTCGAAGTACATCGAAGACCAGACACTAACATGCAATGCTATGTACAAATGATTTGGCCCCAGTTGACTGGTCATTTCATTTCTTGATTTTCTCGTTTTTGGAAGTTTGGGGGTTGACTGCCGGCCAACTCAGAAGTACATGCCACTTATTCTAATGGAGACACCCCAAAATTACTGCATTCAGCAGTCCAGACATTATATCCAGACATTAGGTAACTTTGCAAGGACATTGGTAGAGTTTCGTCGGAAAGAAAAACAACGATTAGAGTTGTAACTTTAACTGGTGCGGCCACGTTGCTCTGTTAGGGTGGATCAATATTGAGTTTTGTTCTGTTTTTAAATATTAAGTATACGCCGGGTTGAGCAAACTTTTTTGTTCTGTTTATATTTTTGATAATCTTTTAAAAATTTAAGTGAACTCTGTTGTTGGACGCTACTCTTATCCATAGAATTTTTTATAAACTTATATTTTCAAGTAATATGTAGTTTTACTAGGCGTATGAGTTATTAATTTTGGAGATTTTTTTTTTTAATTTCAACAAATACACCCTAAGGCTATAAAGATTTTTGCATTAAATTATGTACAAGTCCACCTCATGCCACATGCACATGCAATCAATAAAGATTTGATTTTCTAGGGGGATGGGGGCCGTCGGGTGAATTGTCGCGATGCGGCAACAACAGCTGTTGTTGCAACGGCAGACGAACCGACCGACCCCCTCCAAAAAATGAAACAAGAAGAAAAAAAACACAAAACCAACAGCAGCCAGACGCCGGTCGGCGGCTCTCATCGTACAACATACCATACACCCGTTTCAAAAAGGCAATCAATGCACTTCTGGCCATGTTCCAAGTTTCTCTTTTAAACATTTTTGGAGAGCCCCCGAAGAGCGGGCCTCCCGAAGTGTATAAGAGAGTTTGTAACTTACTACGTTTCCGATTCGGTTCAACAATTTAAGCTAGTACATGTTGAAATTAACAACTTTAAAAGTTTTAAACAAATGTTGGTTAGAAGTTGTAATTAGCATTTTAATTATTGGGATTTATTTTTACAATCTTTTACAATGTTTCAGGTTCGGAAACATTACATTATTTAGCTGGATGTAGTAAAAATATACAGGTATATTTTTTATTCTTCTGGAATTTCTTTAGAAAACTTTGTTGGTTCCATCCTCATCAAATCATCTCTAAAATAAAAACATATTTTGAAAGTTTAAAAAAATTCAAAGCAGGGGGCTTATTGAAAGTTCTCCCAAGTTTTTAAGATTCATAAATAATTTCAATAGCTGCTTAAATTAAGTTTCTTTTAACAAAAGAGCTTAAATTAGTTTGTATGGAAGTAAATTTTAAAAATTGTCGATTGAAAAATATATATTTTTTTAAATTTTTTCAATATTTTTAATGGAATCAAAAATTTGAGGAACCTCTCCTTAAAACTCGAATAACTTTATAAAGTCTTCATCGTTCGAGTTTCGTCGCGTCACTCATTTATCCGTGGCACCCACACTGCGGCACGGGCACGCACACACTCCAAGAAACTTAAAAACACACAGATTCAAAAACTCAACACTATTGCAGACACGCGGTCGTGTAGCAACAACAATATTGAGCAAGGTGCGCTTAGCTGGCGCTCTTTCGATTCGTGTATCTCAGATACAGTTTATTTCTGACTCTCGTGCCAAGCGCAACGTCTGGCGGACCACGTATCTTTTAGTATCGTATCGGTCAGATACTTTGTCCCTGCGTGTGTGTGTGGTGTGTGTGCAGTGAGTGCTTGGGTGTGTTGGTTTCTAGCAAAAATGCAATATTTACCATTTGACAACATCAGATGAATCAGCAGCTATAGCGTGCCAGTGACAGAAAGTCGCCAGTTCAGATCGGCATTTCAGAATTTCCCCAAGTACTGGACTGGACAGTTTGTGATTCTCGGCTTAGCACATTTGAAAAGTGAATAATTGGAAATGCATTTTTAATCGGAATACTTGGCCTGAAAGAACAGGCTTTAAAAATTCAAAGCAAACCTTTCGTATAATGTATCAAGTACTTAGTTCATTATAAAAATAACAAAATTGCAGCTGCAATGTTTTGTTTACCACATTTTCTCGTTTAAGCCATTGTTTCGGTTTGACTTTGAGATTGTTTATTGGAAATTTTCAAGTCAGGTGCTTGATGCGGTTGAAGCAATAAGGTCTTAATTACTAAAAATTAATCATTAAAACCTTCCAACTTACCTTAGGCATATTGAGAAAAAACAAATCAATCAAATCGTCAGCCCCTTCACTTTAGAGTCCAAACAGACACAAGATAAAATAGATTTTTCATAAGGTCATTTCTATATGACTAGCCCAAAAGGGATATTTAAATAATTTAATATAATTCTTGCTTTGTACTTTAGTTTTGTGTTGCTTCAGGCCTTGTATAGCCAAAGACCAAAGAGTTCGCATTGAGAAAAACGGAACCCTTTCACTTTAAAGTCCACAGAACCTCAAGATCGTCAGTGCAAAAATAAAAAATAAAAAACCACGAAAACAAGTTTCGCAAAGAGTCGAACGTCGCAGAGCCGCGGAAAGCAGTCTGCCATATTCCATATCGAATAACCAAAACCAAAACCAATATAAGTGTTTTTCTCGGTACATCGTATCCAACTAGCACCGTTGCAGCTAGTTCGTCGTGGCCTATATTCAAAATAGATCAGCGATCGGGGGATCGGTGCATGTAACTGCAACTTCAACTGCGACTCCAAATCCGAATCCTACTCCAACGGAAAACTGCAACAAAAGATGAAGAGAGCGACTGGAGCCATGTGAGAACTTAGTCAGCGGCGAAGAGCTAAACTTAAAAACTAGTTTCCCATTTGCGCGCTTATGCTAAGTAATAATAATAAATAAGCGAAGTCGTTGTTCGCCGTTCGTTCGAGAAGTGACCTAAAAATACTGGTTTGGTGTGCGGTTTGCGTGAGAACATGGCCACAACAGCCGCCGGAGCAACGGCCGTGGTGAAGCGGCCCGGACCACCAGTGCCGCCCAGACCGAAGGCAGTCGCAGCCTCCTCGGCCGCCTCGGTTGCCAATGCCGTCCCGCCGATCATCCAAAAGAAGCCCACCTTTGTCAGCCAGCTGAGTGCAGTGGGTCGCACCCTGGTCTACAAGTCGCCATCGGTGCATTTGCCCAAGAAGCAGGCCCAGACCCAGACACCAACCACAGCGGTGCCGTCTCCGACTCCAGGTCAGACTCCGACTCCGTCGCCAGCCCAGACGCCAAATCCTACGCCTCCCGTCAAGCCCTTAAAGCTGCGAAAAGCTCCAGATGTGCCAACAGCCAAGCCCAGGGAGGCCCTGGCTACCACTTCGGTGGTTACGGTCAATAGACACAACTCCATCAGCGTCCTGGAGGGCACTCCACACACGACTCCCCGTAAGGACACCCGCTTGAGTCTTGGCAAGGTGGACTTTGAGAGAGCTGGACTCCAGCCGGCAAGCCAGCCACTTCCCAGACCCAGGAAGATAGTCCAGTTGCCAGTGGCGACACTGGATGTGGAGGATATACCAAAGCCGACACCCGCCCCATCCACAGGCCTATTCCGGCGCTCCAAGACCACTTTGGATAGCTACCAGAGGGAGTCGTTGGGAGCCGCCAACAACGGGGGATTCCTGGGTGGAAGGACAGTGGAGATAAAAAACAATCTTAAGAATGCAGCGGAGCGTCTCTTTTCGGAAATCATCATCAATCAGGGACAGAAGGGCCAAAATGCTAACGATACGACCATAATAACCAAGCACGAGGCATTGAAGCAGGAGTCGGAGGTCCTCATTCAGACTACAGGCAACTGCATGAGGATTAATGTGAATGGAGGTGCTCCAGTGAGCCTAAGTACCATTAAAAGTTCGATCAGTGTGGGAAATACCCCGGAAAAGAAGCCGGCCTTCCACGAAATGCTCATCTCCGAGTTGGCTGCCATGCGTAATAAGTCCTGCTCCATGGAGCAGTTGCCCACCAAATCCCTATCGACCCTGACTGCTTCCACACCCAAGAAACTGACTCCGCGTCGCCGTTTCAACTCCATTGAAGATCCCGATACAGAGGATGTGGATGCGGACAATGTGGAGGATGCAGATGGAGATGTGGACGAGGAAGATACACTAACCTTCACGGCAAGCAAGAACCTAAAGGATTCTAATGGAAAGGAAATCTCATCTACAAGGAAACGTTGCCCTTCCGGCTGCTCGACAGATTCCTCGCCGTATGGAACTGAGAGATCGCAGCGCATTCGCACCTCGGACTGGATCGAGGTGGGTGACAATGGCACTCAAGTGACTTTGACCAGTTGCCACATCAGTCTGGAGGACTCTGGCATGGAGGATGAGGAGCGGTTGGACGATATGTCGTCGGGAGTGGGAGATAGCTGGGATAGCGTCAAGGAAGCCGAAAGCGAGAAGCGTTCACGCAATCCAAAACGGTGAGTTATTCAAAAATGTCTTAATTTTATAAATGGGGGAAGTATACTGTGTAAGAGTATTATAAAAAAATTTGCCAATAAATCTTAATATGTCCTTGTAATAATTATTTAAAATTATTCAGTTTATGGGGCACTTGTTTCTGTTTGTAACTTTTGTTTGGTTTAAGGGTTTCCATCGTAAGGTATTCCACTAAAGATGTGTACATATAAATATATATTTTTAGGGGCTACCGCAATTATTTCACCGAGTTTCGCTCAATTGACACGCTTTTTGTTTTATTTTTGTATTTTAATGGTTTTTGTTTTTATTATTTTGATCGGCGGTGCGCATCCCACGGATACTTTTCGAACTGTAGCACCTCTTCACGTGCATCTCACGGCCCATTGTGTTGGGGCCCTCTCTCACCGGAGTGCGATCTCACATGGGTTTGGTTTACATTAATTATTTGCCGAGCTGCCGAGCTGACATCATTTGGAATGTGGTTTGCTGTGCATCGCATGTGCGAGCATTGGGCTTGATTGCTAGCCGCTTGTGTTTGTGCCGCAATGCCGCTTGCGATATTAACAATTTAGGTTTTAGTTTTCTCGCAGGTATTTTAACAGCAGAATCGAAGTAACCGAAAACCCGTTTCGAGGCACTCTTTACGACTCTTGAGTTTCGCATTTTAGCGAGTACAACACACAATGTGTTTGTATTTTTATTAACATATAAATACTTTATATATATATAAGTATTCCGTTTGCGGTACGTGTTTGTCGCGACGAAAAGTGATTATCGTGACTCAGAGAGCTTGGCATTTGTGCCATCGCAAACTCCACGGCGATATTCAAAATATCGTGCACATATACTACATGTATGGGTAAATAATATATATATTTTCCATTTTATTTGCTTATTGACACGAAGCTAGCTTTCATTGGCAGGCCATCAGAATTGCCGAAAGAAGTCGTAGATACTCGTACACTCAGAATAAATTAAGCTGGATGAAAGCGGTTTCAAAGGGGTGTCTTCAATTATACAATAGATCTTCGTTCATATTTTAACATGATTAGTAAACAGGCAGCTATCTTCCAGACCTTTTAGCCAAACATTTCTCATTCTGTTAACAAAAAGATTTCCTACTAAAGTGGTTTTGTTAGAAAGTTGGTTGTGATTTATAGGTTTTTATTATATACATTTTGTGGGCGGTTTTGGAATTGGCTTATCTTTATTAGCTATATCTTGGTTGATTTCTTTTGAATACATTCTGAAAGTTGCATTATCCAGCCATCATTTTCTGGAATGATGTGATTAGGCCTTACAACAGACATGGATGTTATAAATCAGACTCCCATTTCCCATTGCCCAAGGCGCATTATATGGCGATAATAATGTATTTTACTATACTTTATGAATCGCTCACACGCTCATATAATCAATACGTATTCGAACGAATACGAATGTTGTCGAGGAGCCATTTCCTACTGCGAGATTCAAATAGTAAATTGCATCTTTCAAATGCCTGAACGTGCGGATCGGGTCTTATGCATATGAAGTCATTCAGAGAGATAAGTGAACTCACATATATACCTATATACATTTTTTTATGGCATCCACTGTGGCTAACTGTTGCAACTTGGGTGCAAGCATTATAAAATAAATTCAATCACAACTCGACGCGAAAGCAACTGTGCCACCACCACCAGTCCCACATACCATATAGCTGCTCGATCGTGTGGCCTCTGATATTGCTACTTCGATTTCAATTTGCATAATGGTTGCCGTTATCAAGAATGGTTTACCGTTTCCTCATTCTTTTATTTGTATTCAGAGATCATACTTCTATGGTAGGTACCGCCAAATGTGGGTAGTACAAGGAAATGAAAAAAGTGTTCCTGAAGAACTTATCTAACACATTTTATTTGGAAACTTGTCTAGCTAAATGCAAGCTATTATTAAAAGTGAAATGTAATGAGTATTTGCAATGGCTTGAATAACGATGACAACAACTTGATTACTACTTGGATTACTAGTTGGAGGCAATAATTTTCCATAATTTTCTGGGAATTGCAATGCCAATCATATGAAGTCACTGAGATTTACATAAATTTGTTGAAAATTTGATGGAAATGAATACAACATTTCAGTGACTTTCGATTCAATATCCCAAAGATGTCTTAGAGGATTTTTATATGGTTTATTAAAGTCTTTTTTTACAGTCAAAATTGATTTTTCTTTCAATTTCAAAGACCTTCAAATCGTCAAGCCCAAGAAACTAAAACTTTACAATTTGGTACAAAAACACCTTCAACTACGATTAAAACCATGGCCGGTTCAAAACCAGAGATTCAGACTCAGATTCAGATCCAGGGGCTTGATGGCTGTCAGCCACTTGGCCGCTTCAGGTGGCAAGAGTTGTAATTTTGTGTTTGCCAAAGATATACAAGTCAGGTTTTTTCTGACTCTCTGTCCGACTGTCTTATTGTCTGTTACGAGTGTGTGAGAACCGTTAAAGTACGACAGGTGACTTGGCAAAGTTGGCCTGACTTTCAGCCAGATACGGGCGTAAATATGCCTTCATATGTACCCGCGTAATATGTTTCTGTTTCAGTTGGCTAGCAGCCTAATACCCCGAGATGATGCGACAGATATTTCGAGTTCAACTACCTCGGGTTCTTCGTAACCCTTCGTGGCAACTACACAGAAAGTTCTTCTCGGCTAGATCAAAGTTTAAAAATCAATGATTGCTTTTGTCTTACTGCCTCAGTGATTCGAATTACGAACCAGAAATTAGTGTCATTCAATTACAAGGTGAAAATAGTGCCCGAAAAAACGACTCCCCAATCAATATGTGCCAGTTGAATTGAAAAACAAACTTTGCCAAAAACACACCAGAAACTTGATTTTAACGGAAAACAAAACATGCGGAAAAGCAGTCTGGGACCTGGAAGCCAAAGTGGATGAAGTTTTTGGACTCCACTACTCCACTTTGAACATGTAGACTCGAGTGTAGGTTGTTGGTTGGCCGACTGGCTGACTTGGCTTACATAAACCGAAAAACTCGACCAAACATTTATTTGTATACACTTTTAGAGTGCCGGCATAAATCAAATTTACACTACCCTCTAATGGCTATCTCTATAAGAAATTTTCAAAATATTCACATCGTATCATTATGAATAATTTTATCAAGCGAATGATTGCCCTTTCTGGCGAATTCCCACCTGCCCACGGCCGAACCTAATTTCCATTTAATTTGTCCCTCACTTAACACTTGTTTCACCTATTTTTGCCTCCAATTTTATATTTTTTTTAATGCCACAGACATTTCCACACAGATGTCTGGCCAAAAATAGTGGCCCAAGCCAGGCTGGCGCAGATTTTTATCTCAGTTGCCTGAGTATTGCTCAAGTTTCCTGTTCCGTTCAATGGTCAAGTGGACGGATTTATTCGTTGGTAATTCGCTGCCAAGCTGCACACTGAAAACTTTACTTTCACTCAAGGAAATTTGAATGGCACCCACATATGCTAATGTTTTATTTATTAGTGTGCCTTATGTTTATTTATTTTAGATAGAATACTTAAACACAATAGTATATTTTTCATTTCGTGCAAGACAACGTTTATTTTTTTATGAGGTTTCATGCTCTGTTTAAGTCTTTTGTTTTTATACAAGGAAGCCGTACATTTTTTTTGTTTAAAAGTTTGTTATTTTTAGCAAATACTTAGGCCCTGACTATTTAATTATTTTTTATACAATAAAAGTACTTTTGACCATGGTATCGCAAGGTTCACAGCTTCCAGAATGCAGTTAAGCTTTTATAATCCATTAATCATCAAAACAAACAATATATGCACGATCTTTGTTTCTTAAAAAAAGACTTAAATAGTGTGTCATATTTGTGTTTAGTATTCTTGAATTAAATCGAAAATGTCCCGCTCATATTGCGGGGCTTTCGCTTTTGAGAGTCGCAAACAAAGTCTCAGCAGTAAGCCAAAGCCACGTTAACTGAACAATCCGCATAAATTAAGCCATTCGAAGAGGTATTTGTATATAGTATAGTAAGGTGGCGGCTTGGCTCTGGCTCTTCGTTCTACTAATCAGGAAACCAAAATCAAATTTCGCTTTTTGTTGGATTCGAAAGAGAAACCCGCGACTAATCGCATGCCGTCAGTCGCACAACAAAATTTATTTGGGTAACTAAACCGAACTGAGCCAGCCAGGGCTCATTTACATACGATTGGTTCGGTTATTTGTTTAGAAACTCTTCAGCCGAGCTAGGAGAAATAAAATAAAAGCTAGAAAATAGAAATTTATGGACTCGGCGGTGAGTTGTGAGCTGGGCATTCGAATGAAAGCGAAAACGGTTCGATATGAGCAATTTTTGTTACAGCTTTTAGCTTTTTACATATAGGGTTTTTTTTGGGAGTGTCCAGAAAAGGGCGTTTGCACGTAGGGGGCGACAAAAAACCGAAAGAAAGATACGTGAGTAAATAGCCGATGATAAGACTCGTAACTCCGCAACTCAACAACTCTGCAACTTCTCACTTAATTTTGTACGGAACACTCTACTCCGCCCGTAAAAGACAATGGAAACGATGCCTTATTAGAATGCGTGAGAAAGTTACTGTGAGAAACTGGAACTCGATTGTATGCGTGAAGTGGCTTCAACTTCAACTTCACCATCAGATTCACAGTCAGAGTCAGATTCAGTCGATTCCCACTTTGAGCCGGTGTTATTAGTCTTTAGCTTGCCCTCATTAAATGGCCGAGAGAAAGACACAAAGAACTGACCCACAGATTTCTACGCGGCTATTTAAATCCCCCTTTATCACCTTCAACTCCGACATTGTTTTGCCAGCCATTTATTTGAGCGAGGCTCATAAATACAGTAGCGGTCAATAGCACTGAAAAAAATATAGAATATATTTCAATCTTCAAAAATATTAGTTGGTATTTTTACCAAAATACCATTATTATGCACCATTCTGCATCAAAATAATGAGACAAAATATTTTTTAGATTTTTTGTCCATTTTTCATGATGGGATCCCTTGAAAATGGGTTTTCCCGTATAGGGCCTATTGCGATGGCTGCATCATCCCCAATCCTGATCCGAATTTCAAGCGGAGTACCTTAATCGATTTGTGGATCGATTCTCCACCATTCTGCATCAAAATCCTGAGACAAAATATTTTTTAGATTTTTTGTCCATTTTTCATGATGGGATCCCTTGAAAATGGGTTTTCCCGTAAAGGGCCTATTGCGATGGCTGTATCATCCCCAATCCTGATCCGAATTTCAAGCGGAGTACCTTAATCGATTTGTGGATCGATTCTCCACCATTCTGCATCAAAATCCTGAGACAAAATATTTTTTAGATTTTTTGTCCATTTTTCATGATGGGATCCCTTGAAAATGGGTTTTCCCGTATAGGGCCTATTGCGATGGCTGTATCATCCCCAATCCTGATCCGATTCTCAAGCGGAGTACCTTAATCGATTTGTGGATCGATTCTCCACCATTCTGCATCAAAATCCTGAGACAAAATATTTTTTAGATTTTTTGTCCATTTTTCATGATGGGATCCCTTGAAAATGGGTTTTCCCCTATAGGGCCTACAGCGATGGCTGTATCTTCCCCAATCCTGATCCGATTCTCAAGCGGAATACCTTAATCGATTTGTGGATCGATTCTCCACCATTCTGCATCAAAATCCTGAGACAAAATATTTTTTAGATTTTTTGTCCATTTTTCATGATGGGATCCCTTGAAAATGGGTTTTCCTGTATAGGGCCTACAGCGATGGCTGTATCTTCCCCAATCCTGATCCGATTCTCAAGCGGAGTACCTTAATCGATTTGTGGATCGATTCTCCACCATTCTGCATCAAAATCCTGAGACAAAATATTTTTTAGATTTTTTGTCCATTTTTCATGATCTCTTGAAAATGGGTTTTTCCCTTTAGGGCCCACTGTGATGAGTATATCTTCCCCCATCCTGATCCGATTCTCAAGCGGAGTACCTTAAACGATTTGTGGATCGATTCTCCACCATTCTGCATCAAAATCCTGAGAATTCATATATTTTAGATGTAATCTCTAAGACAGAACATTAAATTTCTAATAGATACTATAACTGAAGTAATAAAGAATCTAAAAGATCACTATAAAGACTACTAAAAAGATTAAAGACTAATAAACATTCAAAAGATCACTTCCTTAGTGCTATTATTTTTCCCGCAACTGTTTCGTTTATGACTGGGGCTTGGCGAAAATTTTGTGGGTCAACTAAATTATTATTATGGTTACGTAGGTAGCCGTAGTCTGTCTCCACTCGAGAAATCGGCCCACTGTCCGATGGCGCCGATATATCGCATGATATATACATCTTTATATATGGTATATATATTTTTTAAGGCATCCTGTAACGTGCGTGCTCCGATTTCCCACCTGCACAATTGTCTGTAGAATTTTCCAATTGGTCTCAGCGGATGTCGCGCCGGCAATGCGTGAAGCGACTTTTTACGAGTATTCTTTTTTTTCCTGGTTTATATGGTTATATATTTAGCATAGGCCGCATTCCGTGCTCCCAATTTCGCTTCGGTCTCACACCGAGACCGAGAGCAAGGCTAAAACAAATACGCACAGTTGGGGGCTCGAAATTAGACAAATTTGACGGCTGCATCACTCGACATCGTCTTTTGGGTATTTTTGAATGGGAATGGGAACAATACTATTGCGCTAGAAATACGGAATTCTCTGTTATTGCCGGCGATGTCGTACAGCTGCCCTTAAAGAGCTGCTTGATTATTTGGTACATGATGTACTACACGTCGGCGTGAGCGTGTTATTTTGTTTTGTCTAAAAATAACTGAAGATTTGCTGGTGACAGGGGCGCTACAGGGTGGCTATTGGACATGGGATTATCCATGAGGATTTCCTTGAATTTTAAATAGGCCCCCATAAGTACGATTTTAAACAGAGGCTCAAAGAGGCTTGTTTATTGAATCTATTCATTGATATCTATTTATTTTTCTCTTTAAAACTTCAACTCAACTCGACAGTAATGATCTTTATATATATGCTTCTTTGCTTTGGCGTTAAAATGTTGTACAATTATAAAGTATTCAAGATACTATCAAAATATCTCAGGTATCTGCAAGTCGTTGAACTTCTATTTCCGTGTTGACGTGTCTATTTTGGTGTCGTGCCTACACCCTGTTTTGTCGTTTGATGTTTTTTTCATTTTATTAAATCAATTTACTCATTTCTTATATATTTTTATTTTTGTCTTGATTTCTAATACTCTTTGCCACTCAGAGTACTGCATTTGTGTGCTCAGCTCGCTTGGATTGGGTCGGTTTGGGGTATCTCTGTTTTGGATGTTCCTTGGAGGCTCTGCTCTCTCTCGGGCATCTGAAAGATGTGGCCGAAACGTGGCCGAAAGTAGAAGCGTTTAATTTTTTAGTTGCACGCGAATTTCAGAGCGTTATCGAGCAAAAAGCTCGCAGCGAAATAAAAACAATATATCCAAGCAAAACGGAACTAGGAAATCCAGATTATATGTTCATTATTCCCATACTAATTGTAAAAATAGTGATTTGTGAGTAAGCGCCGAAACGTTACCCGAAAAATAAACAATATCTACGCAGCTGTGTGAATTCTTCAGATAAAAATGACAGATTAGCAAACGAAAATAGTCATGCTGCGTAGAGTAATAATAACAATCAGATCTGTGCTGCTGCCAAGCTTCGCTAAGAAAATATGAAATATACGTGTTGATTTGTGTATCGACTAAGATAAATAAAATAATGTTGCCGCAGTGTTATTTCAATGTGTTTTTACTTCACAACATCAGCTATTTAAAGAGTAATATCTTGCGGATACGTAATATACATGTGTTTTCTCTAACAGACATGTGAGGCATTTTAATCATAGCATAACTTGTGTTTCCCATAAAGACATTTTTTCATGACCTCTGGCCTTGCCCTGAAAAGAATTATTGTTTTGTGAAAAATCCCCATATGACGTAACTCGAATTATTTATTTTAATCATCCCTACCTGCTTTCTCAACTAATTCCTATTCCCAAAGTCTGATTTTCTGAATATTACTTTGATTTGAGATTCATTAGGGTTGGAATTCAGGTGGTCAAGATATCTCTGGCCATTTATAGACATTATTGACTTAATTAATTCCGAATTTTCAAAAAAGGCAACATGTGTGGGTAGAAAATAGTTGAAAGGTGTTGCCTATGATGTCTGTGACGGCATTTAAAACTATTAAAATAATATAAATAGAAAATGTTTAAATTACTGAATGAGTTTTATTGAAGGACGGTCATTTGCTTTGCTTGATTTTATTTATAATCTATTAAGAAAATGGAAACAATTGAATTATAATTAATTGATTAAAGTTCAATAATTATTGATTAAAGTACTTTTTATGAAGACATTACCAGTTTACAACTGGATCGTAAATAGATTTATTTTACTGAGATATTGGCCTTTGATGCAACGGGCTGAAACATTTTTGAACCCGTTTGTTAGCCATTTGCATTCTAAAAGCCATGACTGGATGGCCTTCGTTTCTCGTTACTTGTCAGAATGAAGTTTTTGCCTGCATTTATGTACAATAACCTTAACTTTTTGCATACTGGCCAACATATGTTTATCATGTCATGTGTTGCATTTTGAATATATGTTTCTGTCAACTCCAGTCTTCCAGATTGTCACTCAAACAGAAATAAATCTCAGATTAAAATAAGTTTACAGCATAATAGGTTTTATATTCATATTCGATTTGATATAAAATGTCACCAGGCTTTGCAATATTTGTCTTGAGAATTGTGATCTTTTTAATAGCCATTTTTATAAGCAATCTAACAAAATCACCATCAACTTAAATGCCAAACCATTTGAAAATGCCCCACCTGTTCCGCTGACCTGTTTTCTGTTTTCTGTGTTTGAAAGCTTATTGTTCGCTTGAGTTTGAATTATTGGCGACTATCTGGCAGTCACATCAAGCCCAGTTTCGGGTATAAAATGCTGCAGCTATCCGCTCCAAAATCCAAAAAGAGGTTTAAGATCCCCATTTCTCTTCTCCACAATGGACACTTTGCAGCTAATGTCATAGGTCGTTTGAGGCGCAAGATAGCAAAGCCACCGAAAATGTCCGAAGACCTGGACGAGCTCTTTCTGTCGCCCATTCCGGCCCCCTCGCCGGTAGAGCTGCAGCAGTGCATCCTCTTCGGCTTTCGTCGACGCCTCTATCCCGCCCAGATCCTCGAGGAATGCCGCAGTGCCTTCGGCCCCTTCGCGCCCAGTGCCCAGTACGTAGCCAAGTGGTATCAGCGCTTTCAGGACGGATTCTTCAACATTGACGAGAAGGACGAGGAGTATCAGAAGCATGGCGAGACGCCGACCACCTGCAGTGACTATGAGGAAGAAAGCGAGTGCGGTGAGGGGGCGGCGGTGTTGCCCTTGGTCCTCCACGACATCTATCGTAGTGAGGTTGAGGAGGATGATGATGAGGAGACGACTGATTTCGATGAGGAAGATGATGGTCATGTGATTGGTTACTGGCAAGGTTATGGCTATTTGGGTGGCAAGCAAAGGTATAGTTGGGTTGCACATAAATTGTATGTATTACAAGTGTCTCTAATGTATTTCTTTTAAACTCATGTGTTTTTTTAACTTCTTGTCCTTTCAGTGGAACATCATCGTGCGAGCTACCACCCCTGCCCAAGTCCCTGATTGGCTTCAATAAGCTACTCTGCTCCGATTCGGGATTACTTAGCGATGTCGAGGGTAACAACAATAACAACAGCAACAACACATGCAGCGAGATCAACCAAAAACCAAACGATAACCTGGACAGCAATGAGAATGCCAGCGACAAGTCAACGCCCGCCTCCCCAAACGGAAACCAGGCAGTTCCTGCACTGGAAACGGAGGCGAAGACCACCTGTTCACCGGCCAAAGGAAGCCCCCAGGTCGTCGAGGCGGGCAGCACTCTGGATGCACAAATTGCGACGCTAAGGAAGGAAATGGTAAGACTTAATGCAATTGTGTTACATTTCGAATTGTCTTTTAAAAACGACATAAATATTAAGCTTAGAGAAAGGAAAAGTGTAAGATAAATTATAAACTTAAAAAAATCAGATAATTATAGCTTATACCAATAAAGTTTTTTTCATGTTTGTAGTAAAAAATTGGTACCAATAAGGAATAAAGTACCCTGTTTTTTTATAATATATGTATAAAATATTATAAACAAATAGGTTGTCTAACTTAAACAAATCTCCACCCAAAAGAACAAGTTAATAAATAATAACTCTTTATATGGCACACTGAGATATAAATCACACAAAATCACAGTATCAAATGACATTTTGAAATTGAAATATTTCAAGTATCCGCCTGGTAACAAAACACCATTTTAACCCGGTTTGGGGCAAATCAAAATCTAACCAGTTCGGTGACGAATAAAGTTATTTTGGCATAAATGCTGTCATTCGTTTGTAAGCGATAAAAATGTGCCTGTATATGCCTCCAGAGTTTCTGGCTTCTTTGGGGGATAAGCTGCATTTGAAGCTGAACTTTATTGACCTGGCTTAGTATTTCGGCCGCCTAATGCCAAGACTAGAAGGGGCAATATCTGAGGCCCGGATAAACCTTTCACATTTAATTTCGTTGGTTGGCGCACGGCGTTTTGTACAATCCGAATATACATATTTGTACATATAGACTCGGTGGTATTACGGCCATAAGAACCTGTTTAATACTCGTGCCGGCCCGGGCCCGGGCGTAGGTGTAAATACCCGAATAAGCCTTGAGTTAGGAGCGGCCAATCGCTGGAATAAAATCAAAAACCAAAACTAAAACGGAGTTTCTGTTGTTTCTGTATAAAACTGCCGCCTTTTTCGTGCTGCTCCAATTTGATGATTTGGCGATGGTGGTGAACAATTGGAAATAAACACTAAATTGTTCAGCATTTAAAGCATTTTGTGCAATTTGCATGTCTTGGCCATTGTGCAATGTGGCCGGCGATTTGAACTGAAAGTGTAATATTTGTGGGACACATTTCCCACCTCTTATTGTTATTACGATTACGATATTATTACGATTGCCCGGGGAGGTGTTCTATCTGAGGCATGTACCAATGTATTTATTTTCTGTCGCCTTCCCCGATGTTAACAACTATTTTACAACCGAAGGTGGTGGAGGAGCGATCGCCGACGCAGGCCCAATGACACTTTAATTGGTCATTGTATTTGCCCAACCATTTATTACTGTGTGTTATTTCTGCCGAGGCATTTAAATTTATTCGTTGCCACAATAGCGCCATGCCAGGCTAGGCCGGGCTTCGATAATCTAACTCTGCCGGGTCTCAGTCATTTTTCAAACGCAATTTAAATTAAAGCTCTTGTTGAAATGTGTTGAAGATAAACAAAATAATTGTTTGTCTTATAGATTAGAATCAAAGCGGAAGATATTTTGCTGACTTCTTGTGCTTGTTCAAATATGTGGCTTTGAGTGTCTCCGGTTTTTGTTTATTAAACACAAACATATCGTTAGGGTATCCATTTGCTGACCTGGCCTCCCAATTATTTTTCTCGCTTTTCGCAAATGTTTCGGTCGGTTGATTAACGATTCAAGCTCTGATCACTCGGTGGGTGTGTAAGCCCCTAAGTATGGGGCCCGGTGTGTGAATGTGTTTTGCAATTATGTTAGTTGGCCGCTCTTGTCTTAGCTTTTGCTTTCGAATGCCGCCGCACTGAGCTCTGCTGAACTGAACTGAACTGAACGGAACCGAACCGAACCGAATCGAATCGGAGCGAGCCAAGATATTGTGGTTAGCCTTCTTGGTGAACCCAACAGATATTGATATGCATTGTTCGCTCACATCTATTCATGTGCACTCCATTTGATATAAAGCCGCTTTTACCCAGCTAATTTTTTTGTGTTGAAGAAAAATTGAAAGTAAATATTTGCTGAAGGTCAGCGGTGGGGCCTGATTGGGTTATTAGATCAGCGTGTTGGCTTTGGCGGAGAAATAGTTAAAAATAATAAAACTTTTTATGACGGATACATTTAAACACATTCCGTTCCCGGTTAAAAATTTCAGATTTAAGATCATCTAGTCAAAAAAAATCAAGTTAGTCATTTTAGTTATTCAATATCTACTCCAATAACTTTCACACACCAGTAGTTAACAGGTCGTATACGTAATGCTAATAATGGGTCTTCATATTAAGTATACGACATGTTGAAGAACTGTTCAACTTTATTGAGAAGAAAAAGAACATTCTCAATAAGCGTTCTTTTAAAAATTTCCTAGGAAAAATTAAGTATACGACCGGTTTAACAATTTAGAATCTAAATTTTAGATAGATATGTGAAAAAAGTTTTCTTTATTTGGCAAGCCCTTTCACTTCCTGAAAAAAAAAGAAATTGGTTACAATGGAGTACGTTTGCTGTAGAACTCAAGCAACCTCATTAAAGTACCTCATGTGCCATATTAATAGATGATTGTCAAGTCAAATTACGCTCAATTGTTAAAGCCGTTCCCATCGCCATAGCCGTCGCCCATAACACATCACTCGCACCATCTCTAATGCGCACAACGATGAAAATGAAGTAATAAACTTGGTTAATGCAACACAACGCATCGGGGAGAAATAAAAGGCCACAATGGGAGAAAACAGGAGTAAGACTAATCAGCGCATGCGCGGAGCCATTAAGCGCAGTAAGCAGGCAAGCCAGCCAGCCAGCCAGCTAGCAAGCATGCTGGCCTGGCAAGCTCAAGCTGCCAAGAAAGCAACAAAACAACAAAGCATAGCAACAAAGCGAGTCCGCTTCAGCTAATTTATGTTTCTTGACTTTGCCGGAGTGTTGTTGTGGTTATTGTTGCAGTTACTGTTGTTTTTGTTGTGTTGCCAGATACCTCGGTTATGGCAGCAAATTAAATTTATGAACAAAAACAAAAACACTGAAAAAGGCAGCCAAAGCAACAGATCCAGCAAAGTGGCCAAGAAAAAGCATAAACAGCGGACAGTTTGTGAGAAGAAATGCATCAATGCATGAAATGGATTTTTATGGCTTATATAAAATGGCCTTGAACGACCGCATTCTTTTGCCGGCCAGCGATTAAGCTCATCTTGGCCAACTAAGAGCTCATTTGCAGGCTAATCGCTTCTCACCTGATTACTTTATTTGGCACAAACGAATCGATAAGCCCGGTTAATTGGACTGTAAGCCACTCGAAGACACTACCAGAAGTTGTGGGTTGCTTGCTTAATTAACTTATTGTATTTTTTTGTTTTAATGTAAAAAAAACTCTTTCCGGTTAAAATGGGAATAACAACAAATTTTAAATACTTTCTTAAAACTATTGCGTGCTGAGAGAAAATATTCAATTAACAGTTAAGCAAAAGAAACAAATTTAATAATTGGGTTGCTATGTTTTCTTGTTTCGTGACTCGGTTAAATGTATACTTTTTGTTGCTATACCTTTTACTACAATGTTTTAACGAAAGATGGAATGCAGAAAACAAATAAACGAAAGTATGAAGAAACACTATTAAATAGAGACAGTATGCCTCGGGTATGCAGCTAGAAAGAAAACACAGTTTTACTTTGCCGATTTTCTTCAGCCAATTAAAAAATGCAAATTCTGAGGTGAACAGACATCTCGGACAGCTCTCCCCTTATCCGAAAATAATTGCCAACATTCTTGGCTGGAAGCGTACTATTTCCCTTTTTTCCCTGATCTTCCGCATTTTTTGCCAAAGGTGCCGCCTTTCAGCTGCAGAGTTCACGCATCAGCGCTGAAATGTTTAATGCAAGCTGAATGGCTTCCTGTCTAAAGATAGAACACCCCATCATTTAAAAACTAAAAAAGCAACGAAAAGCTGAAAAAAGGGAAGAAAATCTGTGAGGTACATAGAACATTATATATGTATATTTTTGTACTTATAGATCGGGAGATGGGGCAGCCTTGTCTGGCATTTGCAGCGTTCATTGCCATTTGGCGCTGTTGCATTTTGAGAAATACTTTTAGGGCTTCTGGTTGTGTCAAAGCCTCCTATTACATGGGCCGTATGCCGCATGCCCCATGCCTCTTGTCTCTTGCCACATGCCACATCGTAATATAAGCACTTGAAACATCCCTAAGAAATTTCACCGCAAAGAGCTTATTGCTAATTAAATTTTCAACAATATTGATTTGATTGAATGGAGGAAATTAGCATTAGAAAAGAATTTCTCATTGCATAATAATAATAGGGTAATGAATGCATATTTTTTGAAATTAATTACTATGGCTTAAGCATTAATTAAATATTTATAAGTTGACCTACATTTGCTCTCCGCCAGATCTGTAATTTCTGGTCAAGCCGACTAATGTCATTAGCACAATTCTGCTCGGATCTACTTCCCACAGTTAACCCTGCAAGTATGTTAATTTGCGTCTAATTCGGAATCAACCCAAGGCAACACCTACGCCAAATGCAGCGAAAAAGGTTTTGTTTAAGCCATTTGAGTCATTTCAGCCATTTATTTAGCCGTATGTGGCACACATTCTACTATAAGACTACTAGTTGGCCCACAGAGAGACCCAGAAACACGGGAATGAAAAACCGCAGATAGGCAGATTTACTTTAGAAATTGCGTATTTCCTCATTGTTTAGAAAGCTAATAAAAGAACTGCGGAAAAAGGAGTGTCTCTCTCGTACGGCAACGCAAAAACTAAATTTTCTTTTATGGCAGCAAATAAATACAAAATAAAAGTTAATTTAGACAATACTTTTAATAGCACAGACAATTTATGTGAAGGCCTTTCAAATTCTATATTCCATAAAATAAAAGCCATAAAATGCAAATAACTTTTACTTCGTTAGTTAGAGTCATATACATACATACATTTATTTAAAAGCGGTCACTAACTCTGAATACATTAGCAGCCAGGTGGGAGTTGGTTAGAGCGAAAGATGCCGACTTGATCGGATTTGGTTAATACCATGCCACGATGCCACAGTCGCAGCCACAGTGTGGCAGAAAGTCTTGCTGCTTTTCTTTTTCGCGCGATATTATGCCGCGATATTAATTGACAAATGAGATTTTTCCTTCCTACTCGACAGCGACAGGGGAACTTTCATTTTGACCACAAGCGTCATGTTGGCAACATAAAACACAAACTAAAAGAGCCAACAAAAATACAGGCCAAGGCTATAAGAGGAACCACTGCTTGGGATTATTCATTGCAAGCTAGACGATCTTTTTTCGATAAGATAATCTTGTATGTTGTTATTAAATGTTAAAGATAAAAGATCAATAATACAATATGTGGGAGTGAAAGGGTCATTTATAGTTTTATAAAATAACTTTTTCAAAAGGACATGTTTTAATGGCTTTCCTATTTTCAGAACGGATTGCGTCAACTAGATCTCTCTTTGCTGTCACAACTGTGGGTGCTTAACGAATCGATCCAGGAGTTTCGGGCTCTCATCGAGGAGCAGGAGAACGAGGACGAGGACGACGAAGATGACAACCTGAACGAAGTGGACGAGGACGGCAACCCAGCATCGGTGGAGTCCAAGGCAAAGCATCTGGGAACCATACCAAAGGTGATAACCACACAGCCAAAGGTGATTCGGGATGCGTTGGCCAAGCAGGCGCAGTTGCAGGGGCAGGATCAGAAGCCTGTACCCAGAATGCGAAGTGCCCCACCTCCACCACCACCGGTCACCGTTTCCGGAGTCCAGAAACCACCGGCCCCCTCACGGCCCACATGATGTTACCTCTCGGACTTCCTCGCCGGAGTCAAGATGGTCATGTGCAAGGCGATTGTGAGTGATGTGTCTGCTTCCTCCACCACGACCTCGACTTCGACCTCGATCTTGTCGACCCCGTCGGCGTCATCCCTTTTACGGAATGGAATCAGATCCTAACCCGAAAGTGTCGGGACCAGAAGTGGCTACGGAATCGAAGTGCTACCATGCATAGTTATAGTTAAGTAGGATCGACTCATGAGCGAACTGATCATAAATTTTGAGTTTAGCACGCTAGAGCTGAGCTTCCATTCAGATAAGGGGAATCGTTTCGAAAGTAAGGATATCTACAAAAATAAATCCTACAAAGCTATGCTTACCTCAATTTAGGAAGACCCAACATATAATAATGTAATCGATAGAATTCGTAAGACCAAACCTCTAGGCTCTAGAACGGTTAGGAGTCCTTTGTGATCTTCAGTTTTAAGCTTAAATGTACATTTTTTCTTGTGGTTTTCGGGCTTGATGATGAAATGGGTTTACCAATTATAACTTTTTGTTTTCGTTTTAAGACTAGCTGTCGAGATATGTCTGATCTTCTGCCAGTTACATGTGTAAATAGCAATTTTCCCGGCTAGCTGCTGAACATTTTTTAAATCTAACGAAAAGCGTAAACAATAAATAAATAAAAAATGTAAAAAAAATTAAACGAAGCACTGGTGTATTTTTTATTTTTTATAAGTCTTGGGGTGCAACTCTAGGATGACACTAGACTGACGCCGTCTAAGCCCACCTGGACACATGGAAAGTTATAGCCAACGACCTGATTAGTGTTGTAGGAAGTATAGAATACCGGACAGGCCTGTACTCCCGACAGTCCGGCCATCTTTAAGTTAAGCTTAAGACAAACGTCGAGGCTAACCATCGATACAATGGGAAGACAAGCCGTTGGCGGATTTTTGGTGCTGACTGTAAACTGGCCCACCGAAGTTCCATCCAGGGTGACGCCCAAATCCACAGAGCCGCTAAGGACGCTTAATTTCACAGTCAAACAAACTAAAAAATGTGAATTAAAACATTTGAATTAAAACCATTTCGAGTATTATATAACAATATTACGAGTCTTGTTGTCGTTCAAGGCATTAATGGTAACACTTTGGCAGCAGTTGCAGGACATCGACAAGGAACAGGAACACGAGGCCGCAGATGGAATGGATATTATTCCAAAATTCATGCCAGTGGAGGAGCTGCGACCAAAGGCAGCCTCACTGATCGACACACAGCCTAGTCCAAGGAATAGGGCGAAAAGTCCTATCGATATATCCTTCGAAGTCCCCATTTTGTGATTTGGTGAAATAACTTGCACGACTGCGAATCTGCGAATAGAGCAGTCACTTTTTGTGGGAGAAATCTAGTCATTTTGGTACATAAATATTAATGCCGGATATTTAAATTATTCGCAATTTAATTAGTTTTTTGAAAGGGCTCATTTAGCTCTCAATGTTTGGACATGGGCGGTTATAATTGAAAAAAAGTTATCCCGTGACTTTGTATATATTAATTTTAATAATTTTGTAATAATAACAATTAAATCTAATGTGTTAGAATTTAAATATTAATAAATATAAATCTATGCAGATATTCCCTGTGAATGTTTAAATTTAAAATGTATCTACACAATTTTTCGATACGAAGCGCCATCTACTGTATTTTACATTACCTACTGCCTGATGGTTTTATAGCATTCAGCTTTTTGTCATTGAAAGCGTCAAGATCTCACCACCAAATTTAAAATTTAAAATTGTATATTAAATTACCAAGTTTGTAAGACTTTTAATTATAGATTAGGTAACAACAACCTTAAATTTAAGATTTGTATTAAAAAGTTGTATAAAAAAGATTATATTATGTTGGGCTTCATTCTTTAAATGAAAACAACTATATTTTTCTTGTTAGATAAAGCATGACGTACAAAAAAAACCAGTTAAGGAATCAAACGTCAGAACTGATGACGCCATAAGCCACATTCTAAAGATTGTATTACCATTTTCCCTTAAATCATTTAAAGTTATTCAAGGTTATCTGTCCAAATCTATATTTTTGACCATTTTGTTTGTTAGAATGATTTATTGCTGTTTTCTTAAAAAAACCTCAAACAGCCTTATTAAACTTTAAATAAACAAAAAACATGAGAAGGGTTCATTAAACATGCGCTATGTTTAAAGCTTCTTTATTATTTATTAATTACAATAATTACTCATCACCCGATGAGCACTTCTGTCAAAGAATTTAATGATTCACACAGAAAAACCAATTGAATCGAAGAATTATTGGGAAGCACCATCGCCCTCATCCTATAAAAAGTGAAAACTTGTCGGAAACTAGTTTTAACTAGTTAAGCAAAATTTGAATGAAACGTAAAAATTGCCGGAATTCCCCAGAATGTCTTAGATCTTAAGGGAATAAATATTCTATAGTTCATCTCATTGATTTTTTTCATGAAACCATAAATTATAGCTAACATAATTAGTGCGATATGAGTTGGCATTTTTAGTTAATCAATGCAATCGGTTTTAATCAATTTTTAGTGGCAGATATAAAAGTATAATATAGCTGATATAAAAAAATAATACAGCAATGCAAATGTATTGAATTTTTCTTTATCTGGTCTACAGCTGGACAAAATAAAATGTCAATTAGAAACAATTTTAAACTTTTTTTGCGGTTTTCAAAGAACGTATTTTGTTGAATAAAAAAAGAATATTTAAATAATTATGAGTTTAATAACTGCTAGTTCATTATTAAGTGATTTGTGATCTTTTAAAGTTAGGTGAAGAAATGATTAATGACTGCGCAAATTAGCAACCATTAATACAGTTGCCTAAAGTGTACCGCTTTATGTTTAAAATGAAATTAATAATTATCCTTATCATAATAAAACCCATTTAACACCATCCGCGCTTTCATTAAAAAAATCATTATTCCCAGAAAAAAAAGAACTTTTGAAACGCATCCTAAAAAAAACTGGATATGGCTAAAACTATACTTGTTTTTGGCCAAAAAAATGCGATTATGTATCGACATCTTGAAAATATGCAAATAATTCTGCATAAATCAGCCAATAAATCCAAGGATAACCACATTATGATGTGAGTGTGAGAAATGGAATGCAAGAGAATTTTGGAGCACCTGTTGGAGAACATTTTATGATCCGGCCCGATCAATGGATTCTTGTCCTTTTTGTTTTGCCGAAATCGTCAATCAGCAAAACAAACATATAATAGGTTACTAAGAGGCGTTGGCGTTAGTGTTTCTTTCAGCTTTTCAAGTGAGGAATCAACTCGACCGGTTTTACTCAATAGTGGCAGCTACTAAGTAAAAAATATGACCCATCCGATGTATGTGTGCTTCACGCGAGAGCCCAGACCTCTATGCAGATCTTAACTTTTATATATTAGGGGGCACGCTTCGAATACTTTAGTATAGCTCGGAAACTTCAGCGCGCATCAACATGGTTTCTGCCAAATTGGTAAGTAACTCCTCAGGGCGGAACCCGGATAGCAAAAGGTGATACAAACTATACAGTGTCCGCGACCTTATGGACTCGGTAATAGTTGGCAATTACATTGGCATCCAAAGTGTGTGAATAATCTAAATAAAAGCAATCTGCTGGACATGCAGCTGTGTCAATAGATGATGCAAGGGTTTATTGGTTCGCATATTAACAAAGTATTGTTACACCCGTGCGGATGATGATTAAAAAAGGCATTGATCTTTTATAGACAATATTAATGACATTATTAAAAATTGCCTGGAACTTTAATTTTAAATAGCCTTGATCTTGAAGACTAGAACTTCCCAAAACGGAATGTGTCTGTGTCATTCATTTCTAAAATTTATTGGTAAAAGTATATGTACATTCGGGATATTAATGGAGATAATAAATTTAAACAGATTTTGGAATTTTAAATTCCAACAAATTAATATTGTCAGAGTATATGAGAGAAGCACAGGAAAGTGCTTCTTTAAGGAAACTTGGCGGTCAATTAAAATTACAAACCAATAGTTGTTTCACTATAATTTTAAATTGAAGGAAAAACTTAAGTGTTTAGAATTAAAAACCAAATATAAATTATCGATTTTGTTTCTTATCGTTTTAATTTCTTTCATAGCTACTCTTCACTGCCTTGTTGGCCGTCATGGCCGCCAACAGCTCTGCTGGCCTGCTGGATTATGTCTTTCCTACTCTTATGACGGAGTTCTACAACCAGGCTCCCACCAAAGAGGGTTACCGTTTCTCGTAAGTGTCATCTCCTTACTTTCAACAAAGATATTGAAACTCACAAAGTTTCTTCAAAAAATTTCAGGCAAGAGGAGCCTAATGGCAGCAAACGCGAGGAAATGGGTGTGATCATGAATCCTGGAACCCCGGATGAGCAGTTGGTGGTCATGGGTACCTACTCCTCCTACGATGAGAAGACTGACACTGAAACTGTGACGATGTACACCGCCGACAAGGATGGCTACAAGTCCCGCTACCAAATCAAGAACCGCAAGCTGAGCCCTGGAGCTCTCAAGTCCGCCGCCGGTTAAAGTTTAAATAGTTTCAAGGTTTAAATAAAAAAGATAATAAAAACAAAATAGTAATCCATTTTCTTTTTCTAAAACTGGTTAATTGGCGTCCCGAAATAACAATTTTAGTTAGCATCTGGCCAAGATCAAGTTTAGTTGATAGCGTATCATTGAACTAAACTCTGGATAGACGAGTTTTCTATTGCGTAATAGCTTTGACCTTTAGAAAATCTTTGTGCTAGACAAATTAGCGTGGTTTTATGGTGTCCATCAACATATGACACCCAAAACACGTTTCTTTTTTAGAACCTATGAAGCATTGACAACAAAGTAACGCTTTTTTGCTGCCAAACACAAAGATTTAAAGTCAAGACAAGTCATTTGGTAGCTCAAGAGCTAATAACCGCCTGCAGATGAAAATTATGAGTTAATACGACGAAGTTAATTCACGGCCTAGCATATAATCAAAATTAGGATTTAATGATTCGAGCTATCTAAAATCGATGCTGGCTTGAGCTGCTTATTTGGACTGGTTCCAGGAAACATTTAGTCCAACAAACTTGTTTTTTGCCAAATGATAAATGGTAAATTCATTGAACAAGCTAATATTTATGATTTTTTCGGGGATTTTTTGTAAGCCTACACTCAAAACCTTGTCCTATTGTTAGCCGTGTTTGGCTACATCAACCAGGTACTTGGGCGTACCAAAAAAGCTGGGAAGTGCCGCTCAACACCTAACAAATTATTATAAATTAATCAATTATTATTAATTATTACGTTACCACTCAAACCAGACAAATAAAATACATGGCCAACAATGTTTGATGTAACAACATGAAGGTCGTTTATGGTTTTTTGAATTCGTTCTTAAGGCGTAGCAGTCAGCTTTTAGACTTGAATTAAAAGCTTTTAACCAAGACAGGCACTACTATTATATATTAGTCTAGTAACGAAAGCTATACTAAGTAAGACACTTAGAAAAATCTATGTAAAACACTTTGTTGAACTACAAATACAGAATTTGTGTCAAGAAGCTCTTATTTAAAAATCTTTTAAAACTGAGAACTCATATAATTATGTATAATAATTTATTGCGTTTGGGGTGGTGCATTACAGCTCGACTTTTCTGGTATTCGCCTTTATACATATATGCCTCTGATATCAGGCATAAAACGGCCCCCACAGCGATTGGCGGGGGAATGGGTCAAAATCAAAAATTAGCGAAGCAAACATATTAATAGGTTATTATGACGCGTTAACGTTATGGTTTCTTTCGGCATTTTAATTTAGGGATTAATCCGACCGGTTTTACTCACTAGTGGCAGCTACTTAATAATTCCCAGACCTTTATGCAGATTATAACGTTTATATACATATTAGGACGCACGCTTCACATATTTTAGTATAGCTCGGAAACTTCAACGCGCCTCAACATGGTTTTTAGCAAAATTGTAAGAAATTCCCCAGGAGACTGGATTGAAAAATTTTAAAGAAACTTATATTAGATACTTGAATAACTACTATAAAAACTATACTTGTTGGTAATTACATTGGCATCGCAAGTGTACCCAAATACAAAAAAAATAAATATTGTCACCAGTAAATAACAAGTAGATGAGATATAATCCGATATATAGTCCGACAAGGAAAATATTGAAATTTGTGATCTCTGATTTGTGCTCTCACTTTCGTTTATAGCTACTTATCATTGCCATGTTGGCGATCCTGACAGCCAGTAGCTCAGGTGGCGTGCTGGATAAACCCATTTCTTCTATTAAGACCAAGTTTTTGAACCAGACACCCCTCAAAGAGGGTCACCGCTTCCTGTAAGTGCAATTTTGTTACCTTAACTAGAATAGGTAAAACATAAAAATTAAACTCACAATTATATTTGTTACATTTTAGTTTGGAGAAGGCAAATAGCAGCCAACGCGAGGAAATGGGAGTTCTCAAGAATCCTGGCACTTTGAATGAGCAGTTGGTGGCCATGGTTAACTCCTCGTACGATGTCAAAACTGATTCTGCGACCATGTATAATGTCGACACATCCCGCTACGAAATCAAAAACCGCACATTGAGCAGTGCAACTCTCAAGTCCTTTTCTGGTTAAAGAAAGTTTTAAGTTACAACCTAAACACAGCATAACGTGTTTGGTACCTCAACAATTAATATGCGAAGTTTTTTATAAGCTTAGAATATGATTTAGAATAAGTTGGTATGATTATATTTATATTTTTTTTGTTATTTATATATAAAAATAATATATAACAGAAATATTTTACAAGTTTCAAAAGCTGTCTAATTAAGAAATTTGTTGGTAAAAAATCATGAATTTTTTCAGTTATACCTTGCAGTTATTCTTATTCTAGTCTAAGCGGCACTACCATTAAGTAATTATACAAATTTAGTACAGTAACGAAAGCTGTACTAAAAAGCTTAATGAGAGGCTCTGTTTAACCACAAAGTCAGATTTGGCAACATTTTCCGGTAGCTTTTCATTGTTTACGGAAAAGCGGGGTTTGCGTTGGCGCCTTTTTCTGGTACAGTGTGTATTGTTTAAAAACCGAGTCCAAAAAGGTTCAAATGTAATCTAAATAAAAAAATGTATAAATTTAAAAGCTTACTTATGGAAATATAATTATTTGTTAAAATGATGGAGCCTTCTTTCATAAAAAATTACTTTTGAAAAATTATGTATAGTATTTACATGAACTGCATTTGGGTGGTGTATTGCACATTGAGCTGCACTGTATTTGCCTGTTGCCTCTGATATTGCCGTTGCCACAGGTAACTGACCAGGCATAAAGCGGCCCAAACAGAGAGCGTTATAACAATGTCACCCATGCGAACCACCACCAAGAGGGCCGAGAATGTTTGGATTACAATGGAGCGTTTAGTTCCCGGACAACGTTCGACAACGACAGCAGTGAGGCGACTCTGAATCAGAAACCTATATAATATACCCCGCAGACTAGAATAATTTTCCCTTAAAAAGAGACTAGACTAGTTCCTACAACGGGGGAAATGTGGCTAGAAGTGAAGAGACTTGAAAGTGCCATAATCCTACATGAATAATCCAGTGAAAATGAAAGCCAAAAGTGCGATTGTGTTGATATTATTTTTGGGAATTTTAAACAATTCCAGAGCCACGCAAAAGTCGCAGCAGCTTGGTCAGCCGCTTATACAATTAAGTCACGGTGAGTTGAGCATTTGAGTGAAATTTTATTCGACTTTTTTTTTGGCTTTTGGTTCAAATATTATTCAGAGGTTTTTAGGGCTCTAGTGCGGCTGTTGGGTGGCAAACATGTTGACCTTTAACGCTTCCTTTGCTTTGCACGGTTTGTGGCATTTCTGGCTGAAAGCATTTCCACAAAACATCAAAAATTCATCATTGCTCGAAGCCAAAAATTTGGGACAATCAATACAGGTTAATTGCAAAAAAGAAAAGTAAATGAGGGAACTGACCCGAGCCAAATCAAGGCAGGTGGTCAGTGCGTTAAACCTAATTGCACACCCAACACGCAAGCCAATTGTCAAGTTCCTTCCTATTTTCCCATTTTTTTGGGGTTCTCGGAAGTGAATGTGCTAATCGATAAATTTATTATTGTCTGTATAGTTGGGAAGAGAAGGGGGGTAAACTGCGGAAGAGTTTAAGTTAGTTCCCCAGCGAGCATAATTCTCGCAGAAGCACTGCACTCGATGACGGAAATATGTTGCCATTAGAGCAATTGATCAAACAAACTCGAAAAAATGAATCCAAACAAGCAGTAACCAAATCAAAAGTCAATGAGGTAAATACACGAGGTGGTTGAGTAGCTAATATTGTCATATTTTAGTTGAAATAAATTTTATTTGGGTTATGAGACAATGTAACAACTATGATTCTAAATGTTTAGGCTATAAAAAAGTTAATAATTAAAAAAAAAAACAAATTGAACATAAACACAAAGTTTTCTTTTAGTGTTTTGGAGTCCATTTATATTTATTTCATATCATATTGTTTATTTTCTATGGAAACGGGTTGAAAGTTCAAGAAACTAAAAGAATAGCTGCACAAATGATATGATTCCATTTCCAGATAACACTGAAGACGATTATCCCGATAGCAAGGATGAGGTGCATTTGGAAGACTTCTTTTGGACTGGTTCTGGTGATGGGCCCCCGGACTTCCTCAAAAAGGTTCACACAGGAATAACTAAGGGAAAGGATGTGATTGTCAAGACGGAAACGGTGGTGGCCACCGTCTATGTGGATGGTAATAATGTAAGTCCATGTTTTTGAGGAGGCGGAAACAGAAATACAAATTTTCCTTGTGATGGATATCTAGGAAATTGACATTCCCATTTGCATTGACTGCAAGCCGGATGATGGCGGAGGCACCTGGGAAATGGGGCCTGGAATGCCGCCCCTTAATTATTCGGCAACCGATCGACGATATTGGTTGCTTACAGTTATGTCAGGATTTTATACAGCCAAGGATAACCCCTTACTGGAGGAGAAGCTGGCGCGACTATATCGGCTGGCTTTTACGAGGTAAAATATAGACAATAATCCTTATTTTTTCCATTATTTTTTCTTATTTCTCCCAAGACAACAAACCCGGCATTTGGGCATAAACGGAGCTCAGCAAATCGAGGGCGTAAATGTGCCAGCCAATCGAGAACGTCGAAAATCAATTACTGATAATCCGCCAACTACGACAGGATCCCCTTCGGATGACGTGGAGTTGCTGGACATGCCGGAGGATAACGAGCCCTACATAAAGACCGTGAGGAGGCTGGGTGAGGATACTGAATGGTCTAGTAATTCCGAGGAACAGGAACCGGACGTATCCGATGAAAGTTTACCCATTGGGGTCACGCAATCGACCAGCACGGAGAACATCGATTATGGGGCATTCGTTACCCTGATCCCCTGGGAGCTCATACAGCAGAATGGGAAATCGGAAAAATTGAGGGAAGTGCACGAACCTTTGTTGACGAAACAACCGCATCTAGAACAACAAAAACAACAACAACAGCAACAATCATTTTATAGGGACGAGCGTGTTAGAGTTGTCATACACAACCTGACGCAAATTAGCGAGGCGGATGTGCAAAAGTGGAGCACCGCCAGCACTGAGGAAAGCAACTACGTCAACCTCAAATTGTAAGTGTTAAAAAATAAAGTTTTGTTATGACTTGGATGTCATGAACTCGATTAATGGATTATGAAGCTAACAGTCATAAGAGTGCTTACAAAAGCTTACTAAATTTTAGATGGCCGGAATACTACTCCATATTGAATACTTCTTATCGAGAACATACATATATTCTTTTAATACTTTAAGAAAACTATATCCCTAATACTATAATTTAATAATAAATATAAACATTATAGCAGCAACGAGCGACCTGTGGCCAATCAAACCGAGTTGATTTACACTGTTTTGGTAAATGGTCGTCCTATTTTGGCCACAACTGCTGCCAAGGATATGGAACTGGTCAGCGAAGATGAGGCGGTAAAGGCATTTGGACAGGCTGTCTATATGAAATCGGAACGTGAGTTATTTTGATAATTAGATATTAGTAGTATCCTAACTTAACCATTATGAATTAGCTTATATTAGAGAGCCCACGGCTACAGCTTTGGCGCCAGTTCCTCGAAGTGGGCAGGCTGGTTTCTTCAATTCGGTTAAAAATAATGTGGCTCTGGTGGTTATTAGTTCCTTGGCCATCCTCTTGTTAATGCTACTACTGGTGGCTGTTTTGCTTTTGGGAAGAACACGGGCCCAGCAAAGAGAACTCAGCGCAGTCAACAGGTAATAAAATTAGGAATTTATTTATTTTCTTAAGGGCTTAAAGAATTATAAACTAACCTACATTTGAGTTCCCATTTCAGAACCACTTCCCGCAATGAACTACTCTCTGAAGGCACTTCCATGCGTCCAACTACAGGCGATAGAAGCGAGGAGGCTCCAACTCCGGGACACTCTAGATCCTCGGGCGGTGTTCGGAATTTCTCCTACGAAAGGGAACCAAGGATAACCTTCCCTGCACCACCGGCGGAAACTAGATCTCGAAGGGATTCATTGTCCTCCTCCACGGACAACACTTCTGATTCTTCCGTGTACTGTCCCATCAATCCGCCGAGTGCTGACGTGCAGAGGATCCTGGACGATAAGGCAGCCCGCCTGTTTGATGGCCACAAGAGACGACATCAGTACGACAGAGCTGAGGGTCATGAGGAGACGGTCTACACATCTGTGGTGTCCGAGAAAAAGGGCGATAAGTCAAGACACAAGTCGAGGAGGCGCTATTTGAATGAGAACCGTGTGGGGTCATTGGAAACGAGTCCTGTTCAAGGATCCCTGGCCGGCCGTTCTTCGTCGATAGAAAATTCACCGGAGACCCTGCGCCGGAGTTACGAGAACTTTCAAAGGAACGAGGCCTACAATCCGCACAACAACTATCACCGAAACAAGTTGCTTGTCCAAAAATCAGGCAGTGGCATTTCCCCGGAGGCCATAAACAAGGAAATAATCAGGACACTGCAGCCATCCGACAAGTCCTCCGATACTGCCAGTGTTGGCTCCTTCCTATCGATGGCTTCCGTGCGAGCTTTTCCCAAGGGTAATCTGCCGGAGCCGCTGAATCGCGTCCTGGATCCTGTTTTCGTAACCTACTACGATAATGTTAACGCCGTGGCCGGAGCATCGCACCACTCGACGCGATCCCTGAGATCTCACAAGTCTCTTGGCAACAAGGACCCCAACAGCACTATCGCCACCATAGCCAGCTTCCCGAGTCCGAAGGCTCCACCATCCAGCGTACGGAATGTTCGTTCCGCCTCCCACAGCGATAATCCGGATCCGGGCGTGGTCGGTCCTGTGGTCTGGGAGAGGCACAAGAAGAAGCACAGCCAGGGTGAGGCGGGTGGAAAAAAATCGAATCCTAATAACCACAATAACCACGATAACAAGAACAAGGACGAGGGCCAGGACGACGACGAGGAGGACGACGACAACGGGGACGTGCGATTTGGGGAGAAGTCGAGTCCCCGTTACTAGGGCAACTGTAGTCGTTGATTTTATTATTGTTATTATTGTTGTTGCACCAAAAAACCAAACTAGACTTGATTAACCAAAGTAGAACTAGTCCCAGTCCCGTACCAACCGACCACAATGCCAGGTCAGCATGTTTTCATTGAGTTCTCATCATCCCATCAATCTTTCCCAGAGGCCCTGACCTACGCGGACTATAATGCCAGTCCGGTGCACAATCCTTCGGCCATAAGAACCCACTACGAGGGCCTACTGGAGGGCGCCCTGCAGATGTACTCCAGCCAGGACGACATTCCCATGCCCCTGCCCACCCAGAACTTTACCAACAATCGCCGAGCCACGAAAAGGGAGCACCGTGGGTCCTCGGCGGGACTGCCCAGGTAAGTTCCTAAAAAATTATTATTTTTCTTATATTCATCTCATTGCCTCTGCAGTTTCCAACCGGCGGCTAGCATCCGGGCAGCTGCCGATCGTCCGGCCACCGCTCAGCCGGAAAAGACGAGCAAGTCGGCGCAGTCCACTCAACCACCGTCGCCGTCGTACAGCGCCTGGGGTGGTGGGAGCATATATAGCTCCCACTCGACCTTAAACCGACCGCTGATCGCAGGACCCATTCACAGAGTGGACCACCAGATGGACCTATCCAGAGGAGGAGGCGAAGAGGCCACAAATGCCAGTGCGGGAACTGGGACAGCGCCACTTATCGAGGCCATTCAAAGCGAGTTGCGAAGATTTAGGCAACAGCAGGAGTAAATCCGAACAGCTTTAGATCCTTAATTTGTCATCATCATCACGAACAAGAAAATAATGTACCACAAGTGTTTGCAATTCATTTAGAATAAACTTTTCGTAATACTCCAGAATTCCAGTCAAAAGTTTGAAATGAGCTTCGAATGCAGGTTATGTTATTGTGTTTATTGTATTTACATAATTTAAGATTGCAGGAATGAAAACACACAAAGACTTTAATAGTAGCTCTCACCAGCCCTGATTTAACCAAAAAACATATTCGTTATATACCCGTTACAATATTCAATTAGAAGCTTCGATTCATTGATGTACAAAAAGTGATGTGCTTTATCATCCAGAGAGTGTTCGATCCGAGTGCGGTTTCTACATTTAATTGAATTCCTTTTGACCCTTGGTGCCTTCGGCGAAGGACTTGGGGTCGACACTTCGCTTGCCCAGCCGGGGACCAAACCAAAGGCCCGACGAGGCACTGGGTCCTGTGCGCTTGTCCAGGACCTGTTGCAGGGCCAACAGGTGAGCAAACTTCCGCAGCTCAGCATCCCCGCGTCCCACTCGAGGAAAAGCTACTAGGCCACTGGCCCGCTTTTGGAATTCCGACTCTGAAAACGTTTAAACAAATAAAATATGAGGTCCCGCTAGGATAGTTACGCCATCATTAATCCTGGCCAGGTGGTTGGCAGGCTAGGGACTTACCATTATAATCCTCCTGGGAGGCATCTGCGTAAATGCCATCGAGGGCCGCGGCATCTAATCCGTCGCGCAGACTGTTCCCAAAGCTGGGATCTCCGCGACCAACACGCGGGAACGCATACAGCCCCAAGTTAGCGCCTCGTCTGTTCTTATCATGCTCCAGCTCTGGATGGAGAGTGTTTTTTTGAGACATTCGATTAATTTTCAAGTCACCACGGAATTAAATTAGTTCGACCAAGAGCCCACGCAAAAATATTTTTTGAAAATAATTAATCTTGTGCAGAAGTTACCACTCAAAATTAGTATTTCTTTTCTGCATGTCATGGACTGCATTTCGGATCATTAATTGGGTGCTTTTAGAGGAAAAGTTAATTTACCGAAGACTTATAATATTTTCAAAAGTAAATTAACAAATTTGTAATCTAAAAATGTATCAAGATTCAGTATCGTTTTAAAGTTAATTGGTCTGGAAATCAAATAAAAAAATAATGATACGGTTCTAAAATGGTTTAATTCGGATTAACATGCTTTAAAAAATGTGCCTTTAAAATCAAATTTAGCTGAAATTTTATTGAGTAAAGACTTAAAGATTAAAATTTTGAGAGGAACTACTTTGAAATGTAAATAAATAAAGTATGAAAGGTTATGGATGCAGTATACCTTTAGTATTAACAGATGCTGCAAAATATGAATGAAAATTATAAACATTTTTGATTTCAACACTTTTTTAACTTCTGTCTTTCACTTCTTCTCCAAGTAAAGTCTTAACCTTTTTTATAATGTATTGATTAAAATTAAACCTTAAAACTCACCAGCTGCACTGAACTCTGCCAGTAAAACAAACACCAATATAGCGCTGACCAAGTTCGACATACTTAGAATGAATTTCATTTTAAAGGAAATTTTTAAATCCAAAATGTTCAATTTAACAAAAATTTCTTATTTTCTGTGGTGTTCTCCCGGTAACTGGCACTGGTTTTCTGATGCTCCTGTGACCGGTACATGGCCTTTTATAGTCCAAAAACAGGACCGGGCAAAACCGATGGCAGGCAAATGAATGGCCAACGGGGCGGCTGATGAATGTTTCAACACTATGGGGATGCTAAAATGCCAAAAGCTGAGCAAAAAAAAATGTGTAAGTGTTGCTAGCAACAGGCGGCCTTCGGCAACATGTTGCCAGGATATAGTTGTTGTTTTGAGATTCGTTTATTGTTCACACATACATTGACCTTAATGCTACCGTAACTGAAACTGAAAATACGGATGACCTGTTTTCCTTTAAAGCCAGCCGGAGATCATGCGACCTGTTACCGTGGACTTGCCTCTTTCTCCACCAGCTGCCGCACTGCTCTGACCCACTTTGATCGCCGGCTTGAGCGGCGCCGGAGCTGCACCTGGCTTCTTGTCCTTATCGTCCTGGCCCGGCTTCTTGTCCTTGTCGTCTCCAGGTTTCTTGTCCTTGTCGTCGCCTGGTTTTTTATCCTTTTCATCCCCTGGCTTCTTGTCTTTTCCATCGCCAGGTTTCTTGTTCTTATCATCTCCCGGTTTCTTATCTTTTTCATCGCCAGGATTATCCTTGCCATCACCTGCCTTCTTGCTCTCATCTGGCTTTGTATCTCCTGGCTTAGAGTCTCCCGGCTTCGAATCGCCAGGCTTCTTGGTCTGATCCTGTCCGTTCTTCTTCGGGTCATCCTTCTTGTTTGCCTCATTGGCTGCCGTGTTGCCTGCGGGTGCTCCAGCTGCACCGGATTTTGTGTTCTGATCTGGCTTGGCATCCGCCGGAGCCGAAGGAGCAGCACTCTTGGCAGCTCCAGCTGGACCCGTTGGTGGCTTGGCTCCATCAGCTTTTGAGGACTCATCTTTTTTGGCTGCCGCTTCGGGTTTCGCAGGTTCTCCAGATTTGGGAGCCGAAGGCTTGGTATCCGCTGGCTTAGATGGAGGCGCCGGAGCATTAGGCTTCTGCTGATCATTAGGCTTAGCTCCATTGGTTCCATTTTGGGGTTTGGGAGCTCCTGCTGCAGGAGCAGGCTTCTGATCGCCTGGTTTAGGGCCGGGAGCTCCTGGCGGTGGTTTGGAGTCTTTGGGGGCCTGTTGTTTGCTTTTATCGTCCCCTGGTTTCTTGTCGTCTCCAGGTTTCTTAGAGTCATCTGTTGGCTGTTTGGTAGTGGCTGATTTGTTATCCTTATCTCCAGCTTTTTCATCCACATTCTTGACAGAAGCTCTCATCGCTGCCGCAGCCAACATGGAAGCTCCACCACCTCCTCCTGCACTAGAAACTGACTTTTTGGACTGTAAAGTACATATGATGTAGGATTTAAATTTTTATATTTCTATTAAAATAAAATAAACCTTACCCCAGAGGAATCCAGCTTCTTCTCCTCTTCGCCATTGGGCTTGCCCTCGTCATCTCCCAGAGACACTTCATCGGCAGCCATCTTCTTACGCATGAACTTAACATAGGCCACTCTGGTGGCTCGAGTAACGTCACCCAAGTTGGGATTGAACTCTGTTTAAGTAAAAGAAGACGTCATAAAAATATTTCATAATAATTAATTTGGATATTCTTACCAATCAATTGAGTCTGGTTCATTTGTAGGCCCTCGTTGGCCTGCTCGATAATCTTCCTCCTCAGACTGCGTTGGCTGTGACGCTGCATAGACGAACGCTTGCTGCCAATAGGATCTGCCGTAAAGGTGTTCTTTCTCGCAATGGCATTCCAGTCCTTATCGCTAAAAAAAGGAAAAGATTATAACAAAATTATGTTTAGAAATAGACTTTAATTACCCCTTTTGAGTCTTTTTACGGCCAATAACTTTGGCCAAGGATGAGAAGATATCACGACCACTTTCGCTTTCGTTCATTTCCTGTTTCAGATTCTCCACGAAACCAATCTGGAAGTCTTTAAGAATACGACGCTCCATCACCTTACCCTTGGTGGTTCGAGCCACACCTGGAAGTCAAATAATAAATGTAAGAATATGTTTTAACATAATTTCTAAAACAGGTCCTTTAAAAATTCACCCACCCTGGGTCTTCTTTTCAATATCTGGAACATCCCAGCTATTGTTTGTGAAAATCTCCAGTAGCTCGAATCGCAAGGAGCTGATATCCTGCCGCACCTCAATGATATCATCCTCGGTGATGCCGTATTCGTCCCGCCGCCTCTGCTCCGCCGTAATGTACCTCCTTACCAGCAGCTTCATCACTTTGTCATGCAAGACCTGAGCCCGTTCCATGGACTTTCGCTGCAAAAAATAGAAAGAAGGGTGGAAACTAAAGTATTTACATCGACATTGACGCACAGCCGGCTCTGCATGGGCTTGATTGAAAATGATTTTCCCACTGATTTGTCTTTATTACCATGACGTCGATGATGAAGTTGCGGTTTTAAGGTGTTTTCTTTCAACCTATCTTCTGGGGAATCTGGTCTAGCTCCTGATTTAACTTTTACTTACCATAAAGCTCTTGGTTCTTGAAGGTCTCTTGCGGCCTAAGGTTTTGCGCAACATCTTCATATTGGGGCAGAGGTTAAAGGGCGGCGGAATGGTGCCACCATCCTCGAAGTAACTCATCCACAACTGGGAGCGGGCAAATTTCCATTCAGTGTCGGCTCGCTCGGAGATGATTTGATACGAATTGGACATCATGGCAATCAACATGTTGAGTAGCACAATAATATTGATCACCGAATAAGAACCGAACATCAGAAGAGCCCAAAACCGGGTGAAGCTCTTTATTCCCGCTAGATCGAAGGACACCAGATCGACCAGACCAAAGGATGCCCAAAAAAGGGACTGTGATGTCTCAAAAAGACTAAAAAAGATTGGAGATAAATAAGTCTTCAGATATACTATTTTTATAACCTACTTGGAGAATCGCCGCCATATGGTACATGCCTTTTCCTGGTCGTCGAAATCCGCTACATCAGGATGCAGATGATAGCACTTGTTCTTCTCAAGCTCGGCATAGTACCACAAAAGTTGGTTAAGACCGCATCCAAAGGCAAACAGCACCAAGGTGTAAATGAAGAAGAACTTTATGATATCGATAATCATGCGTCCCAAAGAAACTTGTAAAGGACCCAAATGTGGATTAATTGAGAATATATGAACCAGTTTTAGATACGAGAACACCATTCCGGCAGCAAAGGCTCCTTCGGACAAGAGCATGGGATCGAAAGGATGCCAGTGCTCGCGTGGAAAGTAAGGATCTATGCCTCGGAACCAGAGATCCCGCTAAGGACGTTAAAAAATAAATATTAAACATCTTTATGAGCACTTCCAACATACATGCACTATAACCCAGGCAGTAGCTCTACAAAGAATCCACGTCACATAGAACATATTCGAGATATAGTCGACAATATTCCATAGATCCATTATATACTCGAACAACCCGTCCGAATATAGAGTCTTCAGTTCCTCAAATATCAGAGCCATAATGTAGGTAATGATCGCTAGTTCAATGGGTCCTGGCAAGGATCCTCTTTCGTGCTTGCGCCAATCTTCCAGCATGGTCAGCATCCAGGGAAAAGCCAAGAGTTCAAAGGTAATTTGTACCACTCTCAGAGAGGCGGCACCCAAAAGCACTGATAAGGATTTAAAGTTACGTCTGTGATTAAATCTTTTAATTTTGTATACGCACTTAGGAAAAACATGTAGGAGCAGGAGTGAGTAATGAACTTTACAAAGGGCTTGCGCATGAACTTAGCTCCATCGGAATCCGGGGCAAGGATATACTTTAAACTGTAGATGGGAAAACTGCATCCTAGCTTGATGACGTCCATTAGTTGCTGGGAAGCCTGTTTGCGCCGAAAGCCTGGAAGACCTTCATACCATATGGCAGCCAATAATTGTTGTACATTCGGATGGGCCACAAACTGTGAGGGAAAGTGTTAAAAAACCCTTTGAAACGAACGACATATGTTTTCCAAAATACATTCGACACTCAAAAAGACGGAGCTTACGTTTCGAAAAATATTTTAAATATTATCCTTTAATTAAAAACCCACCGTCTTCTGTTTATAGCGAATGGCCAGCTTCAATCGTTCTAGAGTTTGACGTTGGCCTGGACACCAGATGTCGTGGGATGGCTCGTGGTTAAAGTTGAGCATCACCTCGAGTTCCATGGATGTGCGTGCGTGGTCCAGAAGAGACGTTCCAAAGTCCTGCACCATTTGACGCATCTCCTGTTGGCCAAACACAAACAGGATGGTTCGGGTTGCTTACATTGCTAAACAGTGTACCATATACATATGTATATATCATACCGTGTATTCGGCACGAAACTCCGATTCCATGGCCTGCAGGCGCTTCAGTTCCCAGGACAATTGGAAGGCGGTCAGAACAGGGTCCCGAGAGCTGAGCGCTATTAGGGAACTGGCCGACAGGGCCCGGTAGGCATTGATCCTGGACTGGGAGTGTCGCAAGGAGTCGGTGGTCTGCGACGTTACGCACTCATCGCAACCGCACCTAAAGGATATTATTTCTTTATTTTATTAGTAGTTCTTTTGAAATCCTTTTTAAGGATTTTTAAGGACATTCATGAAATATTTAAGCTAAGGATAATAAACTCCCTAAACCGCGCACTCTGGTAATAAAAGTAAAATCCTGACTGAGGCATAATCCTTTTTAATTTCGTAAACATTTTTTTTCTTTCATCTTTACACTCTTTACACCCTGTTTGGAACTTTTTTTTCTGATTCCCCCAGGTCCTGATTCCCCTTTTAGGTAAAATTAGAACTACGCGCTTGACGTTGCAACGCAGATTCTGCAAACAATGGAACGTGCCTCTGAAGGAATAATGAAGGCTCTGGCTCACTCACTTGACGTCGTGCGGCATTGGCAGCGTGGCACCGCGATCCAGAAGGATTTTGAGTATCTCGTAGTTGTTGCGATGGGCCGCCAGGATAAGGGGCGTGATGTCTACGGTGAAGGTCGATTTCGAACGGTCCACCGCCTCCCAGCTCTGCCGAAAAGGATCTCATTATACGGGGCTGCTCAAGCAACAGCGACAGGATATGTGTAACCTACATAGGGCTGGCCCTCCTTGTGGTTGGTCTCCTCCCACTGCAGCAGTTCCTCGACAGCCTCCACATACTCCTCGGAAATGGCATGGAGCAGGGCGTCGCCCACCTCTATGTTGTTCTCCAACAGGAGCACCATCAGGTCGAAATTCTCATTCTCGATCGCCGAAATCAGAGCCGAACGGTTCATGGGATCCGTGCAGTTAATGTTGAACTTATCAGTGCCGATATATTCCTCGAGTATCCTTCAAGGACATTAAGGATTACTCACAAAAAAAGATAAACTGGATGAGCACTGGCCTTACTTTTTAACACCCGGAATATCACCACGCTCGCAGGCCAAAATAAAATTCTTCTCCACTTCACTGAGGATATATTCCTCGGCCATCATTAAATCGTAATCCAGGCGAGAGCCCAACGCCTTCTCGGCGTCCGATTCCGTGGTGCTGCCCATTATCCTTGATTGGATTTATTCAATTTAGGCAAAAGCGAACTATAAAGCTTCGATTTGGTTACGAATTCGTTTCACATTTATTCACATCTCACACTATTCTTTATTGATTTCCTGCAGGGAACAGGGATGTTCCCCCACACGAGCCTTGAGGCTAATCCTTTCGCGCACTGTATCCTTTAGGGTTCCATTTTGCTAGACGATGTTGAGTCTCCAATTATCCGCGTAGCACTGATGGCAAGATTCAGACACTGGCCACTATATTCCGCTAATTACATTAGCGATTGGCCAAAACTCGGTCAATGTGTTGGCAAAACGCAAGTCAATGGGCCCAGTTGACCACGGTTGGTAGTTGTGGGGCTGCATTTCTTATTTGTTCGTATGTCTATATGTCCGACAACCGATTTGAGCATAGGAATCTATTGGCATTTTTCTATATTCCCATCCGCCGTCTGCCTGCACGTGATTATCTGACAGAGCATTATGTTCGATTTTCGAAACCCTAGATGTACATTTTTTTTTAGATTCGCGAAAATCCATAGAATGCAATTCGGTCAGTGATTGAGGGATTACGCAAATGGATTGTGTAAACAAATATTTACTATTTAAAAACTATTTATTTACTATTTCAGAGAGTGGCTTAAACCAAACAACGTTTACAGAAAATAGGCAGTAACTATATTTAGATACTATAAAAGGACAATGTCCTTTAGTCCCTTTTTATAGTATCCTATACTATATAAGGATACTATAAAAGCAACACCTGGTTCTTTTTTGAATGCGACTCGCCGTTTTAACATAGCTCCGTATGTACATATGTATATTTTATGAAGTTACTATTTAAATGTTTGTATAGAATACAATTTCCTTTTTACAGAAGGATTGTTTTTTCTTTAAAAAAGGGAAACAAGCTTTCCTAATTCTATCATAACAATATTATTTATTTCCTTAGCCCCTTGCTGTATCCCGGACTATCTAATTTTGATTTTTAGTTTTTGTTGGATTTCCTGAAAAGCTATCAACGCCTACAAACTACTAGCACCTACATACACCCTCAACAAAAATAGTCAATTGACAAGCTTTTAAGCTTTTGGCTAAATTCACCACGATTTTTTAGCCACAAAACCCATTCTGGCCAAAAATAAAAACCTCCAGGGCAACAGCATTTGCCAGTGGGTCACTGATGCTGCTATCCCAATTGATTAATATTGATTGAAAACGAGAGGGTGGGAGCTCCCAAATCGTCCTTAAATCTCAACTCGTCCTTGAATGTTGAACGTTGCCTACTTCGGGGCGCTTGCTGCTCTTATTTGTATGTCAATGCACTTGGAATTAAATGCCAGCGAGGGAACAAACAGGCTTTCAAGGAGCACCCTTTGAGCTCTGTGTGCTGGTTGTGGGATGAGATGGATGGCATGGGGGAGTGAGGCTTCCATTGGGGGAGTCCAACTCCAAACGGAATGGCATCGTACGTGTTCAAGTTGTTCAGTGTTTTTAGCGGGGGCATTGCACTTTGCTCCGCACAGCTTAGCTCACATTTCTCTGGTGGGAAAGGAATTTTTAAATTAAAGCCGCAGCTGGGGACCCATTAAGAGCAAATTAATTAGAGGTTATATTTCAAACGTGAGCCAGGGAAAAAGCAATAATAGAGAATCATAAGAAATACATAGTATGTATGGACTAAGACAATTAAATTCCATTAAACACTTTAAAAAAGTTATTTACTAAATATACATATTTCTTAATAAAATGAAACAATAAAATGTATTTTTCTCCGTGTATTGTACTGCACTTAATGATACATTGGCCTCGAACAGGACTCCTGCCTTATTTAGCTTCATGAGAGCATCAGGCTCTTGTGAGTTATGTGCACAATTTTCAACGTAAGGACCCAACAAAAAGGGAAAGAGCACATTTCCCTTGGTTTGTGTTGCAGGTTGCACTTTCACTGTTTGCACAACGTAACCTGCAACATTAAGCTATTGAAAACATTTAAAATATGCTGCATTAGCAAAAATTTCGAACTTACCTTATAGGATTTCTATAAGGTAAATATTTTCAATATATGCAATATTTTCAAGTAAATACGATTGATATGGCTATTTATACCGATTTTAAATGTCATCTTGAGTAAATCAATTATACTCTTTAAGATAATGATTTTATGACTTAATCCTTATCATAAACTCTTTTAAATTAAATTTATAACACTATTCACTGATTTTTTAAATTATCAAAAAACATGTGAAGTATAAATATTAAGTTAATATCAAATTTTCATCATAAGTGCCTCATAAAATGACTTAATAAATATATTTATATTTTTCTTATCACCGAGAAAGTTTGTTTACAAATATATCATGATGTCATTAGTATGTTATAGAAATGTTGTAAACAATATTTGTGCATTTTAGGATTCTATCATACTAAAAAATATTTTAAGCAACTTAAACCTTCAAAGATTCCTCCCAAATAGATACAAAACTTGTTTAATGCACAAATCGTTTATTGAAACTGCTTAATAACTGATTCCAGTGTTGTCGCGGATCCAATCCAAGTAACCGGTAACACGGGTGAACACAGCAGGGTATCCGGCCTGGCAGCCGGCAGCAGCACCGAAGGAGGTCACGCCAACTAGCCGGTTTCCGTCATGTGTCACCAGAGGGCCGCCGGAGTCACCGCCGCAGGTGGACTTTCCGCCGTCGGTGTTGATGCAGATCATGTGGTCGTGGAGGGACCAGGTGCGGCTGCAGTCGTCTTGGGACATGATCTGGACATCCACGCTCTGGAGCCAGTCAGGCAGAGGGCTGCCGTCGTAGGTACCGCCCCATCCGGAGGCCACAGCCCACCAGCCGGCGTAGCTCTGGTACTGATCGTTGTAGCTGGGCAGCTCAACACGGTCCACCAGGCTCCAGAAATCAACATGGGGGGTGCGGATCAGGGAGATGTCGTTGTGAAGGTTGCCGCTGTTGTAGTGGTGGTGCTGGATGATGTCGCCACTGCCGACCCAGTGGGTGTACTGGGGCTGGTTGCGGATACTAGCACCGTAGTTGATGGTCACGCCATCAGCGTTGTTGGTGCAGTGAGCAGCGGTCAGGACCCAGGAGTTGCCGATGATCGAGCCACCGCACCACCAGTTACCACCGTTGCCGCTGAAGAGCAGGCCGACGATGTAGGGCACCTTGCCCTCGTAGGCGGGGTAGCCGTTGGTGATGCGACCCTGGATGTCCTTGACGGGCACCGGGGTCTGCTTCTGGAATGGAGTGGGCACAGCCGAGGCAGCCGCCACGGCCAGGGCCAGGAATACGAACAGTTTCATTTTGATCAAGTCTTGCAACTGATTGACTTTTCCAAAGAGAAAGTCCTCTTTTATAGCAAAGAATTCCCTGAATCTTATCACTAATCTAAGAGGATCCATTAACCCCCGTCATTGTATTGGAGAGTTGTGGTAAATTTTGATCAAGTTGCCATTGTCATAATAAGTCGCGACCTGATAAGAGATAAGTTTGCGAATAAGTGGCATTCCTACAGAAATTATGATCGTCCTCTTTCCGAATGGGTTTTGTGTCATTCTATTTAAAAAAAAAAAAAGATTATTTTTATTGTTTTTAGATAAATAATACTTAAAGAAATATACACAACATGATTATTATAGATTAGATTTTGGAAACTTCTACTATTATCAAACGAGTACGAAAATACCAAATTAAAATACTGAAACGTGAATATTACTCATACGCCGCGTAAATAACAAAGCTGGTTAGCCAAGAGAGAAGTGGTTCAGACATTGAATGGTAAATGGAAGCTTTCAATACACTTTTTCGTCAATATTTTTGTTATTTTGAATAGAATTTTAAAAGGGAATACCAATATCGAATCGGTGATCCATTTTCCTTCAATTAGCATTAAAATTACATAAAAATCTATAAATAAAATTTGGGATCGATTTTTGGCCAAAATCGTGAGTTGGTCAGGATGATTGATTGAGGATGATAGTACTCGAAAATACAAGATCGGCGGAGTTTAACATTTGCCGATCTGATAAGTATTGCCCAAGCTACGACAATTTTCCTATTCATAACCCACATAAACGCTCTGATTCATGAATATTATACTTTTTTACTTTTCCACTGTAAATCGCCTCTAAAATTGTTAAAAAAAGTGACGACAGTTTATCTTTCGGTTAACAACATATGGTCTTTTATTTTAAGACGGATTAAGAAAGTGTCCCTCCTTTTAATTCATAATAGCACCAAAACAATAAAAATCAGGGAAACTATTATTTCAGTTTATTTTATAAAGCTGTAAGTTTATTACTATGAAGTTGTCGAACTTAAATAGAACTCATCAAAAAAGCATTTAGTAGTAAATGCCTGTCTCCTCCTTAATCCATTCCAGGTATTTGGTCACACGAGTGTATCCGGCAGGACCTCCCACCTGGCAACCGTAATCGGAACTAAAAGAGGTAACTCCAATCAGCTTGTTTCCATCCAAAGTGACCAGGGGGCCACCGGAATCACCCCGGCAAGTGGACTTTCCGTCGGGAGTCTCCACACAGATGGTGTTCTCAGAGGCGGTTTCGGTTCCAAAGTAAGCTTGGCACTCGGCCACAGAAATGACTCTCAATTCCACAACCCGGAGATCTTCAACCACATTGCTGCCATCGTAGATGGCGCCCCAGCCAGCGGCCTGGGCCCAGGAGTTTTCATAGGAGTTGTACCGGTCGTCCAGGCTGGGAAGCTCGATCTTATTGATCAGGCTGTAGAAATCGACATGGGGCGTGCGGATCAGAGAGATATCCTGATCGAGACCACGGTAATCGGGATACATGATGAAGTTCTCCCGGCCGACGGTGTGCCTCAGAGAAGGCTGGTTGTAGTTGGTGGCTCCGTAGTACAGGATAGCCTCGTTTGCCCTGAAAGGTGTTTATATTGTTGCATAAAATTGGTTTGTATTTGATGATTATCCCTTCTTACTCTGCAGTACAATGGGCAGCAGTAAGGATCCAGGTGTGACCAATAATAGAGCCACCACACCACCACCAGTTTCCATTGGCATTCAAGCTTACGCCCACAATATAGGGCACCTGTCCCTCAGAAGCAAGATTTCCATTGGTAATACGACCCTGGATGCTCAGGTGCTGAATTGGAAGATCCTTAGGATGGACAACCGTGCGCGGAATGGACGATGCGCAGCAGACGGCCACTAGGGCTAGAACCAGAAGTGAACGTCCCAACATTTTCGAAGACTGAAAGCGGTGCCCTGGTGGTCGTTAGGTTTTATACCTAATTTATACCGATTTATTATCGATGCGAATCTTAAAAACGAAATCTTATCAACCATGTGCGGAAAAACTCTTCTGATTAAAATAAGTCATTTATATTAGGTGCTAGAGGGTGAGATGTACACCCTTTTAAATAAAAAGTAAAGTTCTTTCAAAAGCTGGTTTTTCTTGCTTATTAACTAATAAAACACTCCATCTAAGCAATCAAAAAATTTAATTAATAAATCAATTCGTTATCGTTATGATTGTAAATTTAATCTCTAATATAATAAATATTTGCATATTAGGGCATAAATATATTTAAAACTGCATAAAATTATGACAAACAAAAATGGTTTTCTATTTATACAAAAAAATCGTGATCCCCCTTTGAAAATTTTCGAAAATCGGGTCAAATTTAATTTAGCCAGGTTTTGATTGTGAATGACAGTACTCGAAGATACAACATCGGGAAGACCCATCATTCGTCGATCGAATAAGTATTAGCCAAGCTATGAAAATTTTTCTGGATTAAACCACATAGAGGGTCTGATTCGTTATTAGTATTTTACTTTTCCATCGTAAATAAATCGGCTCCTGAAAAAAAGGGTGGAAAGTTTTTCTTTGGGCAACACCACAACATGGCTTTCAATTTAAAGATGACTGAATTACAAGACCAATTGTTGAAATCCATAATAGTGCCAACAAAAATTAAAGGGAAAGGTAATCAGGGGAACTTTTAATGCAAAGTTTTTAATAAAGCTGCCCAACATTAACAGCATTCAATAAAAAAAAACATTTAATAGTAAATGCCTGTCTCCTCCTTAATCCATTCCAGGTATTTGGTCACACGAGTGAATCCGGCAGGTCCTCCCACCTGGCAACCGTAATCGGAAACAAAGGAGGTGACTCCAATCAGCTTGTTTCCATCCAAACTGACCAGGGGGCCACCCGAATCACCCTGGCAAGTGGCCTTTCCGTCGGGAGTCTCCACACAGATGGTGTTCTCAGAGGCGGTTTCGGTACCGTAGTAAGCTTGGCACTCGGCCACAGAAATAACTCGCAAGTCCACAACTCGGAGATCCTCAACCACATTGCTACCGTCGTAAATGGCGCCCCAGCCAGCGGCCTGGGCCCAGGAGTTATCATAGGAGTTGTACCGGTCGTCCAGGCTGGGAAGCTCGATCTTATTGATCAGGCTGTAGAAATCGACATGGGGCGTGCGGATCAGAGAGATATCCTGATCAAGACCACGGTAATCGGGATACATGATGAAGTTCTCCCGGCCGACGGTGTGTCTCAGAGAAGGCTGGTTGTAGTTGGTGGCTCCGTAGTACAGGATAGCCTCGTTTGCCCTGAAAGGTGTTTAAATTGTTGCATAATATTGGTTTGGATTTGATGATTATTTAAATTTGATGATCTTACTCTGCAGTACAATGGGCAGCAGTAAGGATCCAGGTGTGACCAATAATAGAGCCACCACACCACCACCAGTTTCCATTGGCATTCAAGCTAACGCCCACTATATAGGGCACTTGTCCCTCAGACGCCTGATTTCCATTAGTGATACGACCCTGGATGCCCAGGTGCTGAATAGGAAGATCCTTAGGATGGACTACCGTGCGGGGAATGGAGGATGCGCAGCAGACTGCCACTAGGGCTAGAACCAGAAGTGTACGTACGAACATTTTCGAAGACTGAAAGCGATCCCCTGGTGGTCGTTGTGTTTTATACCTCAAACCGATTTACTATCGATGTAAATCTTAAAAACGAAATCTTATCAAACATGTGCGGAAAAACTCTTCTGATTAAAATAAGTGTTATTTATATTAGTTGCTTGTGGTCGAGATACTATACACCTTTTGAAATAATACGTTAGGTTCATCAAGCTGGGTTTTCTTGCTTGTTAACAAATAAAATGCTTTGAGTAAAACTCCAACTGAAGAACCAAAACATTTATTTAATAAATCAAATACTTATCGTTATGATTGTAAATTTAATCGCAAATGTAAGTGGTACGTACTTGAACCAGAAAACAACTCAATAAACATAGTATTTAATGACCTGCAAAAGTTTAATTTATTTATCTCTTATATAAATATATAAATAATCATGTAAATCCTTTCATCGTTATGCTTTTTATTTAATTTTTGGTTAACCATTTTTTAAATATTTTAATAAGAAATATCGGTTTCTTGCTTAATCCACTCCAAGTAGTTAGTGACACGGGTGAAACCGGCTGGAGCTCCAACTTGGCAGCCATAGATGGATCCAAATGAAGTCACTCCAATAAGCTTGTTGCCATCTTGGGAGACCAGAGGACCACCAGAATCGCCTTGGCAAGTAGACTTGCCATCAGGAGCGGCCACGCAGATGACATTGTCCGTGGCGGTTATGGTTCCATAGTAAGCCTGGCACTCGGAAACAGAAATCACCCTCAGATCCACAACACGCAGATCCTCAACCACATTGCTTCCATCGTAAATGGCGCCCCAACCTGCGGCTTGGGCCCAGGAGTCCTGAAAAGAGTTGTACCGGTCCTCCAGACTAGGCAGCTCGATCTTGTTAATCAGACTGTAGAAGTCCACATGAGGCGTTCTGATGAGGGAGATGTCATGATCGCCTCCACGGTATTCGGGATACGTGATGAAGTTCTCTTTGCCGACAGTATGCCTCAAGGAAGGCTGGTTGTAGTTGGTGGCTCCGTAGTACAGAATTGCTTCATTGGCTCTGCAAAGATTTTAACTTATAGTTATAAGTACACTCAAAAGTAATATCCAGTTCTTACTCGACAGTACAATGGGCAGCAGTCAAGATCCAAGTGTGGCCAATAATTGACCCACCACACCACCACCAGTTGCCATTGGCGTTTAAGCTGACTCCAACAATGTAGGGCACCTGTCCCTCAGTCGCCTCATTACCATTGGTAATACGTCCCTGAATGCTCCGATGCTGGATTGGTAGATCCTTGGGATGAACGGTTTTATGGGGAATGGAGGATGCGCTGCACACTGCCACCAGGGCTAGAACCAGAAGCTTACGTCCCAACATTTTCAAAGACTGAAAATTCGCTCAGGTCGGTCGCTTTATTTTATATGTTCCTTTATCATTATCGATTCAAATCTAATTTAAATCTAATCAACCACTTGTAAATTATTTTTATTTATTTTAGCAATTTCTTCGATGGAGTATCTTCCAGATTAGAAGCAAACGAAAAATTCCTTTTTTCCAGTTTTTATTATTTCTTAATAGGTATTTAATAGTAAATACCCGTCTCTTCCTTGATCCACTCCAAGTAATTAGTCACCCGAGTCAAACCAGCAGGACCTCCTGCTTGGCAACCAAGACTGGAAACGAAAGAGGTTAAACCGATGACACCACCACCAGTTTCCATTGGCGTTAAGGCTGACTCCCACAATGGATGCGTCCACAATGGACGACCTTGGATGCTTCCATCCTGAATGTGGAGATCCTTTGAATGGACAATGGTCTGGGCAGCGACGATGCACAGCATATGCCCACTAGGGAGAGAAGGAATAGTAGTCGTCCCGACATTTTCGTAGACTAGAAATGCCCCCATGTAGCTCTTAGCATTTTATATGCCTTCATCATTAATCAATGCAAATCTTATCAAGATTGTCCCAATAAATTAGTACGATTTATGTTCTTTCTGATAAGCTGAGTACACACATTTATTGATGAATGAATTGTGTTGTTTATAATTAACTTTCTTTCATAAGATTTGAGTTTATCAAAGAAATAGTGAAAAATGAGAATTATAACACCAAAGGGTGAAAATTCTTCTTTAAACCCAGTTAAATTTGTCAACACACATAATCGAGGGTCATGTGATATCCTTGAAGAAGTCGAGGAGCACTGAGTGAGACAAAAAAGAAAATACGATTATGGCAATCAAAAGAGGAGCCCACTTTGGTGACAATGCAAGTTACATGTATGTACAAATAGTGCAATGCAGTTCTTCTTAAAGTGTGGAAAATGCCTGAAATCGGATATTGCTTCTAAGAGAAAGCCACAAACGAAGTGAGTGGGCAACCCGGCTCATTAGGAATCAACTGGGGATGTGTTATTTTTCCATTGCTGTGCTTCCACTTGACCGTAGCACTGTAGCTTCCCTTTCAAATATACTTCCCATTCAATATAGCTTTTACACTGAGGAAAACAAGAGCTATTCAATCTGGATACCTTAAATTTTATAAGTACTAGACCATTACAGAAATAAAGAATAACCAAGTTTTCTCGCGGTTTAGAGGGAAACTCACCACAGCTAGGAGAGCTATTAAAGCCGAAACACAATGAGGCGTGAGTCAGTGCGCGACACGGCGTCCTGGCGTTCAGATCTATAGCTCCAAGGATAACGCACGTGAACTCAATAAAAAAAACCGAGCGGGCCACAATACAATTAAAAGTTTTGCGCGCGTCATTTTCATAGTCCATCCCACACATATATATAAAACAGGATTCCTACAGGAAGTTCAAAACCACCAAGTGAACCCATTAATTGATTTAATTAATTTCTGGAAGTACAAAGGAGTGAGTGAAATTTTACGGTTTTAAAGGAGCAGCGCTTGTGTTTGCTCTTCTAGAAGAAGGACACCAACCAAAACAAACTAATGCCACGGTTCGCGATTAGTTGGCTAATAAGGTGGGGCTATTAAGTCACGGTTTAACACACAAATCTTGTTGCATATGTTTTTATGAGGGATGTGTCATCCATCACAGTGGAAAAAATATTTTAAAATTTTAAGGAAATGCAATTAAATGCAAAGTTTTAAAAACTTTCTTTCTGCATAAACTATTCTGTTTTCGTCAAAGTCTTTGTCTTGTTTGATTTTCACTAATGGTGCTACCTTGGTTACCTAGTATACATTGCACAAGCCCATAATTTATTTAAAGCTTTCAGAATATACAAAAATGTAATTATTTCAGTTACACCACAAAAACCGCAGTACAATTCCGGAAACAAAATGTTCCGCCCCAGCCACGCTATAAACATCCGTTTGCCTAAAACTAATTAGGCCAACTATTCAAGTTACGTTTTGTAGCTGCTCCCCCAAAAAGGACCAACAGGATGCATCAGGTACTTAGCTACGAGACGGCAGTGCGGGCCAATAGCTCCCGCGAATTCCGCGAATATGTCTCCAAGCGCACTTGTACCTCTCTGGTGCTAACGATTGCCTTTTTCATGCTAATAACAGGTGTGTCAAACGCAAAGGATACCCCCAAACATATTTACTAATGAGTTGCACTTGTTTTTTCGTACAAAAATTGCAGGATACCTGTTGGGAAATTTCGTGGCAGAACGGAAATATCACATACGTCAAATGTCAAAGGGAATAGTTAAAATACCGGATAACGAAAGATCCGTTCAGATAAATAGCGAGGAATATATCAGCTTGCAGGAACTTCAAACATACCGAAATGCCAAAAGCAAGTTGCTGGTGGCGGCCAAGTTCCTCGATAAGTTGCAGCAGCAGGACGAGAGCGAGAGGTACCTGGCCACCTCACTGAACACGGAGATTTTCAACAAGTACATATCCTGCACTCAGGATATACCGCCCAACACGAATATAGCTGCTAGTCAGTTTATCGAACAACTTATTGATAACACGGTGGCCAGACAGCGGCACTGCATGGAGATTATCCAGGTGGTGATTAATAATCACCTGGCCAATAGTCAGCTCTAAGCTGGAGTGAAGCTGGGCTAAATCTTTTGGAGCTGGATCAGTGGGCCAATGGGGCAGGATATGCCAGTATCTTGACATTATTTACATATTAATATGCTTATAGGTGTGCTCAACGTGAGTGTGTGTGTGTTCCCAGCTAATTTAAAACCAAAGTTTTGTATATCATTTTGAAAGTATTTACCATAACAACAATTTTTATATGTGTATACATTTAAAGTAAATTAAACTTGTAACATGATGTTGATTAAATTGTTTTCAATTTATTTTTTGAAATTAAAAATATGATTTTGGATATATTTGTTTGAAGATATTCTTAGTTTGAATACTCTTTAGTTTAATAACTTACAGTCTTATCAAGGTGTATCATTATTCATTGACTTAAAATTGTATTCGCGATACAAATCATTCATTCCCTTTATGGGTAAAAAGTGTCCCCTACTGTTGAAGACCCATTGATGCAAAGGAATTACATGATCGCCGGAGAACAGCAGATATAAATACTTGAGAGTGGCCCCCAAAAAGAAACTCCTTTGGACATCATCTGTTTCCGAAGAGGAGTCGAAGACATTCATAATGCCATTGTAACCTCCAGGTGTTCGACAATATTTCTCCAAAGCTCTAACTATCTCAAGTCCCCAGGTCCGATATTTGTCATCACGGGTTAGTCGGTAAAGTAACAAATAACTCTCTGCCACTTCCGGTCTAAGATTGTAGAAACCCAGCTGGTGAGCTACTATATCCTTCTGAGCTTCTTCTGAAAACCCCATTACTTCCGGTCCAAAGTGAGTAGGTGTTGCCGAAAAACTATGATAACAGGAATCTACAATGCCTATACCAATCAGCATGTATTTCTCCCAGTGCTTCATTAGGGTTTCTATAGCTCCTTGGACAAAAAGACCTCCAGAGAAGCAAGCCATCTGAGTCATTCGATGGGTATGGTTTCCGCTTTTTAGCTCAGACACGTAGGTTACTTCATCTGGAGTTATTATCACCATATTTTGCACTACAGCCAGCATGGCATCTTGAAACATTGTCAAGGTTTTAGGATCGGCTCTGGCCGATTGAATCCAAGATTTTAGCAGATAATCGTAATATCTATGCATTGAAAAGTCGGATCGTCCCCATTGGCCAGTTTTTATATTGACTGAATTCGGGTACAGGCCATTAGTTTTTGTCAAATTCGACAGAACGCTCCGAATCCCTTCCACTCGGTCCTTGTAAATGGATGAACCTGTGATTTCGCTGAGGTAAAAGAACTCCAGGTGCAGTGCTCCATACTCGCCAAGTAGGGCCCAATCGTCCAGGTATTTGTTTAGTGTACTACCTTCTTTGGGAACCACTCGGCGCCAGGGGATTCCTGTGGGAGTATCGAAGGCTGGCAGTATTTTGTTTGCAATATAAATTGCCTTGTTCTTGTAGAGATCGTCTCCAGTAAGGGAATAAAGGGTTAGCATGGGTGCTAGCAATCTGGAGGTTAATTCATAAATCGACAGAGAGTCATCTACTCGATCCAAAGTAAACTTGTGTTTGATCCAATCACGTGAACGATTTAATTCTTTGTGAAACCCCATTATGTGCAACGTGTCCATACTTTCTATGATTGTTGCTCCGAGACGATGGACGCCGAAATCGCCTCCAAGATAGGGGCGTGCTGACATTGGACGAAGTTCATTGGCGCCCCAAGTAAGGCGGGCATAATTGTCCCACGCATGCAACATCATACTCTTGATCCTCTTTCGCGTCACAGCAGGATTTTCATCTCCTATATCGTCTTGATTTGATGGATCGATGCTATCCTTTGTGAGGCTTTCTCTGCACAATAGAGAAACGTGTGCTATTATATAAATCGTCAAACAAACACTTGCAATAAATCGGATTTTAGTGGCCATATTGGACGTATGCCACTTATATTGAACCCGTCGGAAATATAAACGAAAAAAATGCATTCCGCAGTTAGCTTTCGCTTAGAGATGAAGCCGGCGAATGGTGCAAGATCTCAATAAAAGTTGACCAAACTACTTCGCTGGTGGACACTTGAATAAACATCTAAGTTACTTTTCCTATACCCTACCGTGGGTATGCATCTTTTACTGCATGGCGCATGTACATTTTTGTATAAAATAAACTCATTTAATTTATATATTTTAATAAAATAAAGAATATATATAATAAATATTTATTATCTACTGAGTAGATATTATATTGCGCATTTGACGAATAGCCGTAACAAGACGAGGCTCACATCCGCTGCTAAGGGTCAGGTATTGATCTGGAGCAGCCTTCAGGAGCGTGAGGATTTGGCTTAGTTGTAGGTTGATGGATAACCCAAGTTCTTCCAGTACATTGGATAGATATTCAATGTCTACACTCAGTTGAGTAGCCGCCGAAGGTAGCAGGGATTTAATTTGGAGAATCTGCGTCTGGTATAAAACACAGCACTGCTCGACTACTAATGACAGAAGAACATCAGCACAGGGAATGGCTTGAGTATACTTAATGTTGCAGACTTCCAAGGCCTGTTTTAGTAAGGCCGACGGCGACAACAGCAACGGTTCTAAATGCTGCGGCAACGTTAGCAAATATTGACCAATTTGTGTGATGCTTTCCTGCGGGGCAAAACTGAACGATGGCATTTCAATGCCCGACGCTGAATTGTCATCTAATGGTGGTCGAATATGAGCCAAGTGCGTCTCAATTGGCTGCAGCAATATATTTAAAGTTATATCATGGGTATCAGTAAAATGTCCCTTAAGTGTGGCATAAATCTGTGGAAAGATACCAAGGCTATCTGTAGTTTCAGACTTCTTTTGCTGATAGTCAGCGATGCTGTTTATGAGCTGAGTGCGAGCTGCGTGATCGCAGGTCTGGAATATGGTTATAGGACCGCGGTTCGAGGGTTTCGACAGATTGCTCGACAAATTGGCCATGCGGGTATGCAGATCCTGCTCGAATTGGTGTAGCTGAACCTGAAAGTCAGCTAGACATTGCAACTGGGACATGGTGTACTGCAGCAAGGACCAGTTTTCGCTCTGTGCCGCATAGCTGGAGGATCCCAAACTCAGACCAATTTGTCGCTGAATACGGCCGAAGCTCTCCAGTTGTCTTTTGAATATGCCATTCAGAAGGGTTATCAGTTTGCAAAGAGCCAAATCACTGGTAATCGAGGAGCAGCGATCGCAGGCCTCTTTTAGCCACTCGTAAAGTTTCCTTGTGCTTTCCTCCAGATGACGCACTCCATCGCTGGGCGTTGCTTGATTGGAAGATAGCCGATCCACTTGTGTTGACAGCTGGGTCTCTTCCAAGCGCGGATACTGCTGAATAAATTTATGGAAATACTCGAAAACAGCCTCTCCTAGCAAGCGATGTAGTTCTTCAGACAATTTGATGTGCGACTGCTCAAGTAGAGAGTTCAAATGCAGGACAAAGCTGTGATTAACCTGGGAAAACTGCGTAAGCATCTCTAGCCTCTCATTTGACGTCTTCAAAAGTTGCAAAATGTGTGCATCTCGCGTAGGCTGCAAGGCAGGCAACAGTTCGGCAATCACCATAAAAGGCTGTGTGCAATCCTCGCCGAATATATTCGAGCACCACTTTACTTGGCGTTGGCAGTGCTCCAACAACTGATCGTAGTACAAAGTAAGGAATTGCTGCTGCTGAGGCTGGGTTTCGGTGCCCTGAAGTTCGAGAGTTTGCTTCCATTGCTGCTGCCAAAAATTTTTCTGTACTGCTCGGTAGTATTGCTGCAGTTGGGGCAGGCGCTGAATGCTGGTGAAAATTTGAACATAATGCTGAGCCTGCTCCAGGTTACCCTCGGCAAAACATTGGACCACGCTTGGCGATGCTAGAGCCTCTAAGCGATTCTTGAAGTCCTCTACCTGGGTGACGCGCTCAGCATGTCCGGCTAGTTGTTCTTGGGCAAACAATGACTTTTGCAAAGCTATCAACTTCTCGCATACGCCCTGAAAGTAAAAAAATTACATACGAAAACCGGGAAAAATTCTCAGTTTATATTACCTTCAAATCGTTGCGTTCGAAACCATCTTCTAGTTCCGCCAGCAGGTTTCCCCAGCCATCAGACTCCTGCAACGACTCCTTGGCAACCTGCAGCCGCTGACTTTTGTTATTTAGACGTTCTAACGTGGCCATGCATTCGCCAGTTTCATTCTGCACTGCAGCCACCTCCAGGCGCATGGCACTCATCTTATCCTGAAGACGCTGGACATCAGCGTGCAGTGCAGCCGATTCCTTTGCAATGCGTGGCATGCTAGCCACCACTTGTCGGCTGGACTCTTCCACGGCATTGTTTACCTGAAAATTTATGAATGTAAATAGAGTCAAAGAATGACTACATTAACTTACGTTGAATATATACAGTTGCAACTTGGCCACGTAGCTGCGAATAAACGACGCAGCAGCGTCACTGTCATCGCGTCCGTTCTCCTCCACAAACTTTTTGTAGTTGGCATTTATCCACTCCGCAGGACTGAAGTTTTGTCCTGAAAGAGCCGACACGTCCATGGTTTTGTTATTTTCGTTTAATTATTATTGGGTGTTGCCACCTAGGCAAGGGTGCTGCCAGAATTTGGCACATTTGACAACACTGTTTGTAGCACTGTTTTACTATTAACGTAGCAGAGAATATTTGTAAATATTTAGATTTATTTGTATCTGGTTTGTAAAACATGTCACTTGGTAATGCCGATCCCTGGCAAGTAAAGAATTCAGGTATCGAGCAAGAGAGTGCAGAACCCGCCGATAACGGTGACAGATTTGAGGATAACTTTGCCTCAAACGGCCCGGAGACCAACGCCAACGGAAAGAAGGAAGGACATGAACCATTGCCGGACTCGAGTGAATATTTAAAGCTGTTGGGTGGGATTCCATTGATCTATAATATACCCAAATGCACAACTAATTGCTATTATTTCAGAACGAAAATTGACCAGAGTCCAAAAGGGTAACAAATTGCTCGATAGCCTGCGCGACAAGCGGCAGGATTGCATGCGCGGTCTCCTCGCATCAGAGGGTGTACCAGTTTCCATATTCGAGCAGTTCCTTGAACTTGAAACACCAATTGAAAGTGGCCGGCTGCATCGGCACCTGCTGCCAGTCCAAGCCGTAAACGTGGGCGAAACGGTTCACATTGTAGACCACGACGAGTTGCAGCAAAAAGAGGAGGATAATTTAGAAGAGGAAAAAACGACTCAAGAACTCTAAAAAAATCACAATGGACTCCACATTCGGCAATGTCTTCTTGTTTCTGACCGACCTCGCCTGGAAGAGCCGTCTCACCATCCCCGTCTTGGTCACCACAGCATTTCTCGTTATGGATATACGCCTACAAATAGAGATCAACATTCAGTCTGGACAATTTGTTGGTGCATTTTGGTTGAATAATCAATCTTGTGTGTAACATTTTCTATATTTTTAGAATGCCAGCGATCTAGACGATGCAGATGAAGACCCTGATGACCATTTAGGTCACGACCATGGATTCGACGATGATAGCGGCAGTGAAAGCTATATTGATGATCTCGATGAGTACAACAGCGAATACACCAATGACGAAGGAAATGTGAGTGAGGCTTCCCACTACAGCCTAGACGTTTACGATCCGTGGGGCTCCGACTGGGACGATAACGATGAAGTCGATGTCTATTCTCTCGAGATGCGGTACTAGGGCCATAAAGCACCATACAAATTTTAGGCGTAGATTTATTTTCTGTACATGTATATACTCAGTACTACCATATACCAATTTATCCATTTCATGAAGTTGTAATTAAACAGAAACACAGTGTATGAGCTGCGTTTATTTCCCATTTACATGTACAGCTTGATCAATTCGTCGCTTACGGCAGAGGGTGTCAGAATTCCAAGATCGGTGAAGAGAAGAGTAATGTAGACGGGTGGCGTGTAGTCTACGAGTGGGTGCACTTTGGACACGTCGTGCAGGTGTTTGCGGGAGTACTAAAATTACGAGGATTTATTTATAAACATACTGGTACCTGGAATAAAACATACGGTAGCTCACCTTATACTCATTGGGTAGGTCCCTCTGGTTAAGGGGATATAGTCTAGAAAACTTGAAGCTCTCTGCTAGTACGTAGAAAGGTTTCTTCATTTCACGAGCGCATAAGCCCATGGTGTAGGATCCAATTCGGTTTATAATACCGCCACTCTCCACCACTGCTTCAGCTCCAACCAACACAAAGTCCACAGATTCCATCACATAGCCAGTAGCTGAATCCAGAATCAGAGTGCAATCAATGCCAGCTGCGTTAAGTTCTCGAACCATTTCCTCGCTGATAAATTAAAAAGGATAATTTTTTTGTGTAAAAACTTCGAAAAAAGTTGTGAATCTTACCCTGGGTTGCCAGTGCCTCCCTGTGTAACGAAGACGTGAAAAGACTTTTTGTTTTGCGAGGCAGTGATAAGTGCTTTAAGGACGACTCTGGAGCGGGAGTGGGTCAGTATACGGCAGCCGTCGCTGATGAACCTTTGAGCTTGTTGGGCAATTACCTGCCGGGAGTTTAGGAGCTTCGTGAGAAATATTTTCCCCCGGTTCAGCATAATCTGCCGACACTCCTCCATGTGCTTGTCATCTAAACTGAGGGTAATAAACCGGCAGAACAGCTCTCCAGCGGACACGATGGCAGCAATTGACAGATCCGTGTTTCGCATGGCGGCTACCGCATCCCTCATCGTTGTGTGTAAAATGTGAATAGTTCCAACTATAAGATATATGCCATAGGTTAAATCAAAATCAACAGCAATTTGGTATCTTGCCACATACACTGTTTCTTCTCCAAAATCATGAGCAGTGTCCTTATAGCTGCTATACCTGATGACAGATCCTTGTCCTCATCGAGGAGCTGTAAGAAATACTTTACCACATCTAAAAATAAAAGCCACAATTAATAGAGGAAATGACTTAAAATGATTATTTATTTACCAAAATCGTGGCTAGTTTCTTTTATTTGCGGCATTCTGTTGAAATTGTGAAAATAACTTCCTGCACGTTAGACGTCAACAATCTGAACAGCTGATTTGTGGTTATCTAAGAGCCTAGCTGCACGTAGCGATTTCCCTTTATTTTGACCATTGATAAGATTTTAAAACATATTTGATTAAAAGCCAATTTTAATTTTAAGCATACCAGTAAGTTATTATAAATATATAAATTATAAATTGACTTAAATTACCTCAACATATGATATAAACACGCTCTCGGCCCAGTGCGGCTAATTTAAAGCCATTGTTTGTAACGGTTCGCGGTCACACTGGTGCCGGGGCTAAAACGTAAACAATCGAAAATTTACTGGCTATGTTTGTTTTGTTTTCTTTTTCGGCATAAAATCGAAACAAAATCCACAGCATGTAAATTGAGGAAACTCGCCGGCATAGCAGCGAAGTAAATGCAGAGTTCACATTGAGTTTGCCCGGAAGCCACCTGAAAATCAGTCCGCAGGAGCCACCAAGATGTTCAAGTTAGAGTCCTATATAACCCCCATTCTGCTCAGCTACGTGGCCAAGTACGTTAAGAACTTTCGCGACGAAGATGCCCAGGTGTCGTTGTGGGAGGGTGAGGTGACCTTTCAGAACCTGGACCTCCGACTGGAGGTCCTCGAGGAAGAGCTGAATCTGCCTGTGGAGCTGGTTTCCGGGCACATCCACGAGCTAAGCATCCAAGTGCCGTGGACCAAGCTCATGTCAGAACCCGTCAAGATCGTAATTAACACCATCGAGTTTGTAGCCAAGCTGCCGGACGGCGAGAGCAAGCAACGCAGAGCCTCTTTGCAGAGGGAGCGAGAGAAGAGGGCCTCCCTCGAGCAACCGGAACAACCTAAGGGATCCCCAGCGGCCAGCAGTTCGAGTATGGTGAATAAGATCATCAACAACATAGCGCTGCAGTGTCACAACATCATTCTAAAGTACGTTGAGGACGACATTGTGGTCTCAATGAATGTCCAATGCCTGAACTTTATGTCGGCTGGAGAGGATTGGAAGGCTGCCATGGTGGATGTGCACCCGGTGTCCGTGCTGATGAGAAAAGTGCTTCAAGTCTCGGATCTGACTATCTGCCTGGACAAACGGAATACGGCTGGTAGGATCGAGGTTTGCCAGGAGCCAGTTTTATACCGATGCACTTTGGAGTGCCGTGTTCTTCGCAAATACAATGCCAACACAAAGGACACCTCCAGCACAACCAGAATAGGCGTATTCACAAAGTCTCTCGATATCAACGTTTCATCTCTGCAGTTTCCTATGGTTATGAGGTTGCTGAAAATGCTTCTCGACCTGAAGCCGGCTGAAAAGGAAGAAGTACCCGAGAACTCCCAGGATCAGGAAGAGGCAACCGAGGGAGGTGAGGCTCAGCAAAGACAGGAACCAACTGGGCAAGGCGTCTTTGGGTGGGCATGGAATCTATTGCCAAGCTTTGATGCCCAGTCGCCCTCCCCATCGTGTGATAATCCGCCTGGACACGCTTTCGACATTGGTTTGTATGCAGAGGAGCTCAACTTTCATTTAAAGAACTCGGAGTACTTTACCGACCAAAGCATGGGTGGAATAAAGAGAATAAAGTATTCCCCAATCTTGAGGATAAGCTTGGGAGGACTCTATTTCGAGAGATCCCAGCTAAAGGAGAACGATTGGGCCAATATCAAAGCCGGACTATCCAGAATTTACATGGAACCACTAGGTGCTTATCGCAGTGAAGAACTCGTTGATCGTAACTTGATAAGTACCCAAGAGGTGTGTTAATATTAGGACTTTAAAACACTGAAGTAATCTATTCTTACTCCTTTAGGTTTCAGAAGAGCGGTCATTTATTGACAAAAGCCTTTTTGACGAGCACTACACGCTCTACGATCGCACGTGGTGCACCTTCAACTACGAAGACTACTTGGCCAGGAACACAGAGGAGTATATGCTGTTCCGGACTCCTGTTTTGGCATTCGACATCATCGAGTACCGGGTGCCCAAGACCAACAGCCATCCCTTAGCAGAGAGCCAGCTGAGGGATCTGGGAGTGCGCATCCAATACCGCCTGCTGTCCGCTGGAATCACCTTCCACTTTTCACAGTCATTTCAACAGGTTAAAAATCTAATTACCGATTTAATTCGCCCTTACGACTACCCAGGATATCATGCAGAACCGAAAAACGCTGCGACAACGCCTGAGGAGCACAATGCCTCGGGGCTAGAATTAATGACCGCGACGGATCTGGAGTACTTGGTGGGACTGGTGCCCATCTGCAATTACAAAATCGAGCTACGCAACATGGTAATCAACTTCTATCCACGTCAGCAGCAAATTGAAACTTCGGCGATCAACCAGCATCAACTTTCGACCGCCGTTAAGCAATCCCTGTTGCCCCACCTCCAGCTGAAGGTTTCTTTGGTCGAAGGAATCGTGTGTGGCCCAGTTAACCCTCAGCGTCTGGTTCAGTTCGTCGTCCCCTTGCAGGATAAGCCTCGTGAGGTGGTCAATGCTTGCTACACTTCATACACCTTTAATATGAAAAACATAACCCTGATGATAATGAATACAGCTCCAGAATGTTGTCGAGCCAAATTCCTGAATATTCCACGCATGAAGGTTAAACTGAATCGCCTCCTGCTCCCGCACATGTGGAAAAAAAATGAGACGCCTCTGGAGACGTTAGAAATCAAGTCTGAAATCATTGCTATAGAGTTTTCAAAGCGTGAATTAATTATAGCGAACAGGTTGCTACCTCTAATCACTAGTTTCAATGCCAAGGACCTCAGTGATCTTTCTCATCTTGTGACCCAAGTCAACGTCCACTCGGATGTGATAAAAATGCAAACCTTGGTCACCAAACTGAGCGCGGACTACCACAAATATCACTCCCATATGTCAGCTATGGCATCGATTCAGAAACTCAATGCAGATGCCGTTCACACGAAAATGAACGCAAGGAATGTGGTGTTGTCTACGTCCACGACGAACAGTAGCAAGTGGTTAGAGCTGCAGATGCAGCTTCCCTTGGAGGACGAGACACAGGAGAAAACAGAGAAGATACCCGGCACGGTGGTGGCTCTGTGGCTGGAACCTTTTCGAGTCACCATGGATTTATATCTTCTTCAGTTCCTGAACTTTTCTGATCACACTGGAAAACGGCACTCACATGAAACTGGTCAGTATTCAATGTATTTTAAATTATTTAAATTTCTAATGATGGTTTCTTCTAGAAGTAGAGAACGATTCAGAAATTGTCAGCCTATCAGAGCAACCTATCACGCAATCAGTTTCAAACTACTCCACGATATCAATGCCATTGAACGATTACCAACCGCGGCGGATCAGTCGAAATTTGACCCGCAAAATCTCCGTGCCCGAGGAGACAGTACATCTAAGCTCGGAAAGGGATGAACGGCACACCCAAATGGAGCCAGTGAATCCGGTGGTGAGCAGTAAGCCTGTTCCAAAAGCCTACGATTCTTCTGCATTTGTAAAGCGGCTTAACAACTTGGTGATTCTGCTTGAGATTTCTCAGTCAAAAATCGACGTGTGTGAGCATATGCAGCGAAAATCGCCAACAGAAAAGGATACGCAGTACACTTCTATACGGCTGCCTTTTGTGAAAGTAAAATCTGGCAACGGAGATCCAATATCACGAGGCAACATCAAGTCTGTAGTTTTTGTGCCATCCAAACCAGAATCCTTCAACTGGGTAATTGAGCTAAGCGAATTCCATGTATGCTATCGCCAAGCTCAGGTCACCGAAATGATTGTGGATCCAGTAAGAACATCTATAACTCTAGCTCTCTCTCATAAAGCGGACGAAAAACTTGAAAAGAAGAGGGATCAGGGAATATACTCGATCAATGTCCACGTAGATATGTCTGACATAAATATTTTTGCACAGCGGGTAAGCTTTTATCTTGAAATTTATGTATATATTTATCTAACTCGAATTTCTTCCAGGTGAAATTGCTACATGAGCATTACCAGATTATTTCCAAGGTTTTAAGTTCACTTCATCCGAATGAGCCCACTTGCAACTCATCGGAACGCAAGCCCAAGTTGGAGGTTTATACGGGCAGTTCTCAGTATTATCCCGCTATCAAAGAATTCCTGGAGCTGGATCCCAACTTTCAGGCGCCTCCAAAAGCAAAAGGTGAAAAGATATTAAATGTTCAATTACGAAATAGAGCTATAAGTATATTTTACAGCTCCCAAAAGTTCTCTTGTGGTCTTCTGCCAATGGACGATACCACGAATAAGTTTTGAAATGGAGAACGCCATGGGCTCCAAGCACAGTAAAATATCAATTATCATAGAGGATCTTCTTCTCAATATTGACAAAAACCGCGAGTTCAATAAAATCACCACCAAAATCGAAAACGTGGGAGTTAACTACTACGAAGCAAAGCAGCAAGACTGGGAAAAGGTGGAAAACATCCATGTGAAAATGCTCGGAGATAGCTCTAACCTGCCTCTCATAAGTGTGGTGGTCACAACCGTCAGTCTGGAAGATCTGTATGCCAAGATTGGAGCCAAAAACCCACACAACAAACAACGCACAATTTCGGAGGTCCTGATCGAAGTGCAGCCCATTGAGATGGTACTAGACTTGGACCAAATAACCGAGTTTGTAGTCCCTCTTTGTGAGGTGATTGAAATTGTAACAGGTTCAGGAACAGACAACAACGCAAGCTCTTCTAGTTCAACAGCTGCTAGTACGATAACGACGGTCCAGGACCTACCCATAGTGCATTTAAATAGCAAAGGTATTTTTGTTTACCTTCCACTGGCCACTGGCAAGAAGAGTTGCAGTGTTTTGTTTCTAAGGGTAGGTGTTTCAAAGAAATACATTTTATTTTTCGTATCTGATTATATTATTATTCTGTGCCGCAGCTTGAAAGTATTCAACTTACTCCAAGTCTGGAGAACCCACTTGTGCGGCAGCTCGTAAGGCAGGATATCTATCAAAAAGCTGCAGAGCTTAATATGCTCAGCACTCCAGGTGCTTTGGTGGAGGACCGCCAATATGAGTTCAGCGTTAGAAAGGTATCTTTATCAACGGGGAACTGGGAGCAAACCCAAAAATACCGAAAGGAGAAGAGCCTGGCCAGCGAGCACAACAACCCAGCCTTCGAGTGGAATAACCAGACACGTTCCCCTGAACTTGATCACATGGAGATATTCAAGGACTTTGATTTTATCATGATCTATGCTCCCGCCATCAGCTACGATCGATTTTTGGTTTCTGGTCAAAGTATAGAGTACAACTGTGTGACCGATTTCGTCGCTGCTTTAAACACCCATCAAATCACTCTTGTCAGTTGCATTATCCGGCGCTTGCAGGGATTGCAGTGCATCCTCAATAATTTCTGTAGTATTGATGGCTTGAAAGCCAAGCGAACATCGCACAGGACCATTGGAGTGGCATCAGTTCACGAAATCATTGATAACTCGTTTTATTTTTCAAGAGATTGCCAACCATGTACGAAAACCTTTTACAAAAAGAAGCTATCAGCCAAACACGAGAATTCTGACAAGTTCTTCGACGTCCGAGGTAGTAGCGACGTCTTCTACGGATCCTGCCTAAGTGATTCTGGCGTATACTTGGGTACTCGCTCAAAAGGAATCTATAGAACGCAGTCTTTTCACGGAGAAGACTTTCAGCGAAGTGGACGCGCGCCGTCTGCATTGAATTATCCTCGAAGCGTTTCTTTTGTGGCTGGTACATTTATTTTAAAGATTTATGATTTGATAGAGCTTAACGATTTGGACGGGACTGTGACGAAACCGCTGGTCCAAGTGATGATTTCTCAACCAAGTTTCATGTCCACGCAAAACCTAAAGGGATCCGTTACCCAAGCATCGATATTCAACTTTAATATAAGCGTTTTTTCTTCAAAAAAGAATCCAAACAGCGATTCATCCTTGAAGGAGTTTAATGAACCGATATTTGACACCTTGCCTGGCCAGCTCAGCAGTTCGGGGATACCACCACCGTTGCTTACCATAAAAACGCAATACGACCGGATACAGCAAATGGAATTAGATGTTGAGTTGCGGAAGCCCATTATTCTTTGGTTGGGCGAGTCGAACATAAAGCAACTGGCCAGTGACTTGATTCGAATCAACACTGTTCTTTACGAGGCTCCATGCTTTTCAGTTCGAAGTCAACGACCCGTTGAGGAGGGGTCTCAACTGCGGCAGTTGAAGGTGAATTGCTACAATGCGGATAGGCTGCACTTTTCCTGTGACCAAATCACCATAAAGTTTTACGACGACGCCCGAACCTACAAATGTAGTCTTGTTTGCCTAGACCTCAGCACTCGCATTAAGTTCAGCAATCGCCCCCAAAAGGCCGTTATTAGGTCCACCCTCGGCTCCATTTATCTTCAGGCCGGGGGTAAGATGCTGCTGCATCCTCTGACGATGCGCTTGTCGGCGGACTTGATCAGCGAACCATGGTGTGATGAGCTTCTTATTAATTCTACGCTCAAGATGAACTTCCTCCATGTTGATGCTGGAGTTCAAAGTATTTTACAATTGCAAAAAGCCAGGGACGGAGTCAATCGTATCCAGGAATTTTTCAACCAGGAGTGGCAGCAGTTTCTGTACCATCGTCCAGTTTTAGGTACTCCAGATGAAGCATCTTTAAATACTCTAATAAAATGCACTCCATCAAAGGAGTCAATTGAAAGAAGCAAAAAACCACCGAAATCCAATGCGGAATTCTACCAAGATGACCTCCGGTAAGTCTCCTCTATTTGTACTTATACATTTTTACACCCTTGCAGAGAATATTATAGTTTTAATAACATAATAATATATATATTAATAATATAATAATGAAATAATTATAATAATTGGTCAAAAGTTTGTAATGCAGTGAAGGAGACATCTCTATAAACATCCCTATAAAATATATACATATGTATATTCTTGATCAGGATCACCTCCATAAATTTGATATGCTGTACAGTTAGAGAGTTCAGATTTAGTATGGATTGTTTTTGCAAAATTTGGATTTTGTTTTTGGCAAAATAGTACGACATACGACTTTCATAAAGATCCTATAACGGAAAACACCATTTTCAATTGATTCCTAATTTGCATTATGAAAAATATAAAAAAAAAGTTGTCTCAGGATTTTGATACAGAATGGTGGCGAATCGATCCAGAAATAGTATGAGGTACTCCGCTTGAAAATCGGATCAGGATTGGGGAAGATATAGCCATCGCTGTGGGCCCTATAGAGGAAAACGCCATTTTAAAGGAATTTTCATCACGAAAAATGGACAAAAAATCTAAAAAATATTTTGTCTTGGGATTTTGATGTAGAATGGTGGCAAATCGATCCAGAAATCGTTTAAGGTACTCCGCTTGAGAATCGGATCTGGATTGGGGAAGATATAGCCATCGCTGTGGGCCCTATAGTGGAAAACCCCATTTTCAAGGGATCCCATCACGAAAAATGGACAAAAAATCCAACAAATATTTTGTCTCAGGATTTTGATGCAGAATGGTGACGAATCGATCCAGAAATCGTTTAAGGTACTCCGCTTGAGAATCGGATCAGGATTGTGGAAGATATAGCCATCGCTGTGGGCCCTATAGTGGAAAACCCCATTTTCAAGGGATCCCATCACGAAAAATGGACAAAAAATCTAAAAAATATTTTGTCTCGGGATTTTGATGCAGAATGGTGGCAAATCGATCCTATCGCATCGTATCGATCCAGAAGTCGTATCGACCTCAAAATAATTAGTTTTATACGAAACTGCTTATAAGGATAGGTTACTACCTATATGCGATATTTGGAATAAACATCCAATTTTAACCGCAAGGGTGTATCACTTCGGCTCCGCCCGAAGTTAGCTTTCCTTTCTTGTTTAAAATATTTTTTTAAACCGCAGAGCTGGCGCCTTTCAGTTTGTTTATTTAAACTCTGAGTCTGTGCTTCCGATGCCCTACCAAGTTCAGATTATCAAGAAAAACTATGGTATTATTTGCTGGCGATATCCCCAGCCGCGTCAAATGACAAGCATTCATATATATCCAGTTCCTATGCCAGTAAGTAGTATTTAATAGAACCCGATCGGTTAAAAATAAACAGGATTTTCCATTGATTTTTAAAGGTCAGCAGTCCCATACATATCAAGTGCCGCATGGAGTATTTCAGTGAGCCACATGAAGCATTTCTACATTACTGTGATTTTATGCTTTCGGAGACAGTCACCAAAGAACTGAAGCCACCGGACCGTCCTATCTGTGCCACTATTTGGAGGGTTGTTATATTGCAATCCCTTATATCTGTAGACGAAACATGCTTTGACGGAGATGAAGACGAGGACCTAATATCGGTAAGGAAATTGTAAGAATTTCGTTTATAGCATAAATTATTGAAGTTAATTTTTCAAAGATCGACGGCACTCAATTGCATCCGGAATTTAAAGCGGATGAAAATAAGGATTTTATTTTGCACCCAAAAGTTCTGGTTGGTTGCATGCGCATCGATACCGTGTTTATGGCCGAAAAAGTGCCCAAACTTCAGTTGCTGCTCCATTGCCAGGATATTGAAGTCAATTTGTTGAACCAGAACGATTCCATTGGTGAATTGCCATCCACTTTGAAGGAATACAATATTAAGGAAACGCCTGAAGTTCACCAAACGTTTTTAACCATTAACGTGGAAGATTTGCAGGTGCATTCTGCAATATTTTCCAAAAACGATTTCAGCTTGCAGACTGATCTGCGAACTCGTATAAAATGCTTGGATTATGGCTTCCTCAACATGCTGGATATTGTCGAGCCCATGAAGTTTAGCAGCTATGTTAGATTATGCAACAGTCCGCGTTCCTTGGTGGATGCGAATTTTATGGTGGATAAGCTCAGGATTAATTGTGGTCCGTACGCGATACATACGCTTCTGAGTTCCAAGCGCCACTGGCAGGAAGTTATGCAACAAAAAGAAAAGCGGTGCGTCCTGGTGCCCAAGTGCGTTGTAATTAATCGAATGCAAGTGCCCCTAATGTTCGGACAAACAGGGACAGTGGAACAAATAACTTTGGCACCTCGAGAAGCGCACTTCTATAGCTTTAGAAGCTGTTCTCATGGACAAGAACTAACACTGCTCATTTATAATCCGGAGACTAAGGAATTGGAGGCCAGCGAATCGATTTCCATATCTCTCAAGTTCGAAGAAGACCAGAAAGTAAAGCATTTACGCATTGGACAAAGCTGTATTACTCTTAAAACGGGTAAACTATCGGCTACACAGATATACGTGTTGATCAAGGGCCAAATTGAGGTGATAAGCATGGTTCCCCACGAACTCATCACCGAATTTCGTCTTGGGAGATATCCATACGACGAACAAGGATCACAGGAATATGTACTTCCCTATAAGAAATCAGCTTCGTTTTATCAAAGTATAGAGCGGGATGAACCCATTAATATGCGGTAAGCACTTATTTTGTCTTATCTAGTGGTTTGATTTATACATATTTCTTTAGGCTGAAGTTAGCAGCTGGCATCGGCAAAGGTCGTACAGGAGACATTCCGCTAAGGAACAACAATGATCTGCCCTGGCTGGTCAAGGTGCCCATCCAGTCTGAAATCGAATTTATTAGTATATGGGTGCGTGTCTTGCGCGAAGATATTCCTATAGAAGATGGGGATGCAAGCTTCCAACCCCAAAAAGTACTTGTTTGCATTTGGCCGATCTTTGAGATCTGCAACATGCTGAACTGCAGCATTGGGGTCACTGAAAGTACCTCCAATGAGAACACCCAAATTCCGGGCAAGGGCGGAAGGTGGGCACTAAGCACTCCCACCACCCATAACAGCGTCCACTTTATTACCTTCAAGTATCCGTAAGTTTTAAAAGTAGTTTCTCATTTTAACATAACTTGTTATACTGAATACTTGTATTTTTTTAGTGGGGTTCTACGAGGTACTTCCGAAAGTATGTACACGCTGATGCTAAGCAACATGGACTGGCAGAAGTTCTTCCATTACGATCCCAAGGTTTGGACCATAGAAAAGGCCCTAGATAACCTGGGAAAATCTAATAAGCCCAAGTGGCCCTTAAACGATTACGAAGAGATGCGAGTTCGCCGCAGAATGCCCACACCAGAATCGTATGATGTGAAATACCTAACGGGGCCAACCAGAGAGTTCTCGTGCACCTTTGGGTTGGAAGTTACTGCTTGGGCCATGTTCATCAATGCCATCGATCAGGATGTGTCCGTATACTTGCTTCCAGAGCAAGCGCACTATAGAATTGCAGCAAACTCCCTGGACATGCTTCCCAAAATCAGGACTGCATTTACTCTTAATGTACGCTGTGGTGCTGAATGGATTAGGTCGTCGCTTATCTGTTTCGAGGAGCTATTACAGCCTAAGAATCAAAATGCTGCTCGAACGTTGTCACTACGATGCAATTCCTTTGTGGATGTGGTTATAGTGCGGAACGAAGAGGTGCTGCGATTGGTTCTAGAATACAGGTTGGAGGCGGACGGAAGAAGGCTGTTAAAGTTGCGCTCAAAGTTTGTGGTCACTAATTTCACGGACGTTGATTTAATCGCCTTGCCCTTGGCCATGGATCACAAAGAAACGAGTACGCGAGAGGAAGTCGAGGCCTTCTCTCTAGCCAAAAAGCCTTGCAATATTCAATCGACGGATCTATCCAAGAACTGGTACGTATTTCTATCACTTTTCAAAGTAAGAACTACATTTATTTCCTTTATTTAGTACTGGTGTCACCATGGACTGTTTTTATGACCTCCATGCCCACAAAGCTAAACACAACTGTGATACTGCATTCGTGTATTTTGTTTGCTTTAATGTGGGTGGCCATCGGGACGTTTCCATACCCATTCCTTTGAGCATTCCCTTTACGAGACGTTGCTTCAGCCTGCAGGCAGGACCGGAGTCCATTCCCCTCATGATTACTTTAATAGAAAAGGACGGTATCCACTATCTGAATGTTTTCCACGACAAAGCTCCGGCGATAATAATTAGCAACAGCACCAATGTTAAGTTTATAGTTGCCCAAACCAGTGCATCTGGCAATAGCAATGTTACTTGCACGAATTCAGAATTTTTGGGCAGGAACTTTGAGTGGAATCAGTTGGTCTTACCCCAAAGCAGATGCTATTACACCCCACCGCAGATGTATGCCAATTTTCCAGATGTGGACTTCACCATGTGCAATTTATCGCTGGCCGTTTATAGCAGTGGTGAGTGTTTTTATAATCATGGATATCCTTTCCGTCTCTAATGATAATTTTTATGTTTCTACAAAGGCTGTGCCAAGAACAAGATCGGTTGGTCGAAGCCTTTGAGAACTGACAAATCGTGGAAAAAGTTCCTGCATATACCCAAGTTTGGAGACGTCAAGGTTGTTGTCTGTGATAAGCATCGTGCCATACGGGTGAACATCTACTATATAGCCCAGCAGCTAGAGTTTTCGGTCAAGGACTTGCGCTCGCGACTAAAACAGCCGGAGAACGGCGAGCTTCCAGCAGAAGAGGAAAAGGAAAGTCAAACCGACATTGCTGCGATAGATCTGCTTCCAGAAATGGAGACCTGTGTTCATTTTAGTGAAGAGTGCGAAACCAAAACCATTACCAAGGTCAAAGTGTTCATTAAGAGCTTTGTATTTAGCCTACAGACGGATGGTCGGGAGAAGGACTTCCTGAAAACGGAGGTGTGCAATGTATATGTCGATGATTCAATGATAGTTTACAACGACGATGACGACCAACGCGAGTTACTGGTGCAGCTGCCGAACTTGCAGGTTGACAATCAATTGTACTCCAGCGGGAAGTACGATTTCCCAGTCTTGCTGTGTGCCCAGCAACTTTATAAAAGACATTGTGGTCTGCCGTCCATCTACGGCTTGGATTGTGTTTACCAGAACCAAAGCCTGCGAAGCCATGTCTCGCTCTTTACTTTCAGTTTTTACCAAGATGAAATGCAACTGCAAAGTGTGAGGTGCCAGATTCCCCCGTTTAGGGTATACATCGAAGACGCCTACCTTAACCAGCTGCTGGAAACCTTGGTAGAGTGCGAACCGTCCAATTGCGTGTACAGCCATCCCGAGGATGAGGACCGAATCAAGCTATCCCTGGGTCAAACCCTGCTGCCTGAGCAAGTTGTGGCTCAATCTCTATACATATCGGAGCCCTTGCGACTAAACAGTTTCACGGTAGAGCCACTTAGTCTTCTACTTTCCGTCCATACCTCTTCCAGGCTATACATAGCCTTGGATCATTCGCCTCTCTCCTTCTCTCGTTACGAACGACAGCAGATTCTGACGGTGCCGCTGCGCTTTGGACAATCCCTGGGACTGCATTATCTTAGTGGAGCCATTTTTGGTGCCGGCTGGGTGGTGGGATCCCTGGAAATTCTGGGCAGTCCCAGCGGACTGGCTCGTTCGTTTAGCACTGGACTGAAGGACTTTGTGTCCATGCCCGTGCAAGGACTCTTTCGAGGTCCGTGGGGTTTCTTAGTGGGAGTCACCCAAGGATCCGCCTCCCTTTTGCGAAATGTTACTGCGGGTACTGTGAATTCCGTGACCAAGCTGGCCGGTTCAGTGGCTCGGAATCTGGATAGGCTAACACTGGATGCAGAACATATTGAACTGACGGAAGCCAGGCGACGTGCCAGACCCCAAGGATTTGCAGATGGACTTACTCAAGGTCTAACTGGTTTGGGAATCAGTCTTTTGGGCGCTGTTGGAGGACTTGCGCATCATACGTTGGAGGCTCGAAGTTCTGTGGGCGTCATTGCTGGACTTACCAAGGGTATTGTTGGTGCACTAACCAAGCCCATTAGTGGAGCCGCTGAAATGCTGGCCCTTACCGGCCAAGGAGTGCTGCACACTGTAGGCTTTAATGCCATGCCGCAGCAGGTGGAGCCCAGCGTGACCAGGAACTTGGCGTTGCATGGCAGTTCCAACCGCATTTGGAACTATCTTCCGGATGAATTGAGCCAAGATCAGGTGCTTTTCTTCTGTGAAATTACGCTGCTGGTTGGCTCCCAGCTACGTCCGGCCCTTCTGTTTCTTACCTCTTCTATTTTGGCGATTATGCAATCGGATAGTGAAGATCTATCGTTTGCTTCTCCAGTTTCCAAAGTGGATATAGTAGCGGATCGCGAAGACCCCAGTAAACTCTATGTAAGCCTAAAATCGGAGCAGAGGGATGATCTGGAGGGGGTAAGTAAAACGTAAAATTAAAATTTCTGCCTTTTCAGTAATATCTTTTCATTAACTAGCAAAACTACACTAACGAGCGGATTATGAAATTCCTTAACGCCTCTCGACTCCAGGGCATTGCCCACGATTCTTTAAGCGATCTGCTCCAAGTCCCTGAACAGGATGCTCTGGATCGAATGCAACGGCAATCAAAATGTATATTCTTCATAAAGCCCAATATAGGTGAACATCTGATCCACTATCTGAAGGTGATAAATCGGATACAGGATTGATACAAAATTTTTGTCTTAGCGTGTGTGGATTAGAATAAAGTATTCCTAGAATCATGTGTATTTTATGCCAAAAAAACCAATAGACATTTTTTGTTACATTTTTGCAATAAAATTAAAAAAAATTATTTATAGGTCGAACTTAAAAATATTAGATTTCCAGGAAAGTATGCATGAAGGTTTCAGAGTTTGCAAAGAAGGCGGGATGATTTTGTTTATCCGGAGGGTTCCGATAATTTCCTGGAAGAACTGTGGCATCTTATTTCACAAAAAGCAATTTCGCAAAACCACCCTCTGACCGCCAATGGAACTTAAAACTAAGTGCCACCTAACAGAACTAAAGTCCGCCGAGAAATTACAGCTCGGACGTGGATGCATTTTAATCAATGGCAGATAAATCCCGGATCCGGCTCCAAAGAAAATCCAAGCGATTGGAGGGAACTTGTAAAAATTAACTTGTCGCCCGCAAAAGCCGCCGAACGAAAGTGCCTGGCATTTTTTCGAGTTAAATATAATTTGCTTGGATGCCAGCTTTCTGCTCGGATGGCGGGATTTGGCCTTGCTTGGATGCCAGTGCCGGTGCCGGTGCCAACGCCGTGCTGCTTCGTTGCCTCGACGTGTGGGGAGAAGCGGAGAGTGCACGACCCAAAGATTCAATTATGGGTGGTTGGTGGTCGGCTCACCGCATCCGCAGGTTTGCCGTTCCAGTCGCTTATTGAGGCCCCAGGTTGGCCTTCTTTATGTGTTTGACATGACTCTGGGGGTGCAGGGGGACGGAGAAGGGCCATACCTTACCACACCTTACCGTGCCACTGAGGATAGCATTCCGTGGGCAAAAATGTACGTCTATTGTTTTATGTTTGCAAAAGGTGGGCATTTAACGACTCTACTGTGTTTCGCCCTAAAGTTGAGCCTATTGTGTCCGCTTCCGCCTTTTGTCTCAGGCTCTGGCTCAGGCCCATGCCCAGGATCGGGCCGGCCCAAGTCGGATATATGTTTGTACACATAGCTTATATCCAGCAGACACACATTAGCATTATGGGGGCGGTCGTTGCTTGCGATTTGCTCTCAAAAGTAGGCTAAGATTTTCCTGCAATTGTTGCTGCCATTAAAGTCCTGTCCTTGGCCCACAGCTCACCATCTTCAATAATGAGTCCTGACCAGTGTGTAACCCATCGGGATTTGATTGAAGCCCTCCAAACGACCTACGCTTAAAAAGCTTTTGTATCCTGAAATGAGTAGTGGCGGCATCTCATACTTAAATCCTACACTTAAATCCAATACAAACGCATTTGTACACGTGCCGAAGTGGCAACAAGGCCATCAACCAGTGCATTATGGCGACGACTTCCGCCATTTTGTTTCCGCCATGGGCTTAGCCAAGGGGGTCACTATATAATTTATGGTAATAGTTTTGGGTTATTTGGTTTTATAACCAAACATTTTCAATTAAAGATTGATCCATCCAGATTTTATCTTGCTATTTCAGTTTATGACTTATAGGGTTTAGTTTCTAAAATTAGGATCACTCATTTTTGTCTGACAATAATAATACAAATTTAACATTAAACTATCTCTAAGTTAAGTTGGCGGTTCCCTTAAACCAAATCTCTAGCTACATCTATGCCTGGAAGACCTGCAGAAAACCTGAAATGAGTTTCTGTTGCCACAACAAAAGTCTGTACTTAAATCCTTTTGAGGTAAAGTGTGTGGAAATGGGTAAAGAAGGTGTTCTAGTACTTTCTTTATATATTTGGTGAAAGTAGAAACTCATGTGACTCGCGTTAATGAAAATATATAGACGACAAAACTGCCGAGATTAAAATGGGGACATTAAATTCTATTAAAGCTACAATAATAGCATCCTCTTATTCGTAGAAAAGATATCCTTCATTCAGTAAAATGCAAAAGCCATTAATACCTACTTCAATATTGAAGAAAAATATCATTCAGCTTCACAAATATTGAGGCCACCTACATGCATACTCTCCCCAAAAGAAAAAACAGGTATAAAAAATCACCGAATTATTCATAACTTATTCGAATAAAACGGCGGGGAATTAAGTGAGTGTTGAGGGGCTTGGATTACGTATACGCCTGGGTGGTTCGGAGAAGTGAGCACATAAAATAAAATAAAAATGGCACGAAGAAAAAAAATCAAATGCAATTTTCTCTAAAATGGTTACTGATAAAAAATTGATACGCCTGCCAGCCTTTCAGCCGTCGAGGCGAGGCGAGTCAGCATAGATGACTTGTAGGCATGGGCATATAGACGCGGATACATATAAACATGTACACGGGAATAGGCATGGGCATGGGCACGGGCATTCAAATTCAGAGACTGAAAGATGAAGCCCCAGGCAGTTGGATTATTCATATTTAAATACGTTTTACACACCCTCGGCGAAGGTTTTATAGATCTGTCAGAGGGTCTGCTATTTCGGGCACTCCCTAGCCCATTTGCACTTGGCACTTCGAATATAATATGTATGGAATAGCTGAATAAACAAAGTAACAGGGCTCAGAACTCATCCTAGTACTGTTGACAGTCTTTATTTGTGCATCCGGCAATCCAATATAACTAAGCACAATGTTTTGATGGAGCAAGACGCTTTATTCGCAATAAGGTTTATATTCAGACATTTATATTTACACGTACGAGTACATATAATACAAATACATACAGCACATTCAAAGTCATTTGGTTTTGTTTTGCAACTTAAGCAAGCAGCCGTAAGCGTCTAGTAAATTATAAACTTTATATTAACATAGGAACCCATCCGAATATAATATTTACAAATGCAATTGTGGTTGAAATGGCGAACCAAAATATTGTTTGAAAAAGGGCATAACAACAATAATCTTATTCATTCTAACGAACAATGCTTATTTTAGTTTTATCATTTTTAAAATTTAACAGCATTTAAAATGATGGAAGCTGTAACCTAAATTGAAGCCAGAAAATAGATGATACTTCCCCGATAGCTATAGAAACCTGCCATATTTGATATGTTTCTATGAACAAAAAAATAAGTGAGTTAATGAAGAATAATATGTTTTTTATGGTTGGTATTTCTTACTTAGCCTTTGTTTCTTTGAGAATAAATTGAAATTAAGACTAGAGATTAGTTTTTAGTTTTTCGATTCCAATCAACACTTAGCCAAGTATAAATTCGAGACCTTAAAGTAGAGCTTAGAGCCAGGTTTTGTCATCGGCGGCATCACTTTCGGATATAGTGCCGGCTATGCCAGGATTCGAGCGTCGATAGTTTCTGTTGTACGGAGATGAGCACACAATCTGGGTTTGCATCTCCACACTCTCCGGCGGTATAATCTGGACGGCCGGCTGTCAGGAGAGCAGTTGCGTGGTGTTCGAATGACTGCTCCCATTACTGGCAGTGCCACCACTACTCTGACCAGTCCACCGCTGTTGCATCTCTTGCTGGTAGGGCATACGCTTCCTGTGACCACTACCAGCACCACCTGTCCCTCCTCCACTTCCAGTGCCATCCGATTGTAGCAGATCCGGCTGGTGGGAGCCACGCAGAAGGGTCGCATTGCGCGGTGTTCCTGCGGGTCAAATTTTCCAGGAAAAATAATTCAATTAAAAATAAGTGGGTCCATCGAAACTTGGTCTCCTATATCAGTGACTCACCGCAGTGCGAGATTCGATGGGACTTCGGTGAGCTGGGACAGGTATAAAGTATCGATTTCTGGGTATCTTTTTTTCGGTACGAATTCATTAGCGTGCAGTCCATTTTTCTACGTTTTTAAATCTTATCTTACCATTGCGCTTGATGCGGTTGTGATCCGGGGAACCGGAGCAGGAGTACCGGGACGTGAGGTTCTCCCTGCGACTGAAGGGCTCTGTGCCCACTCGAACGAACAGACACCAGCGGAAGACCATCTTGAAACCATAGCGAAATCTGCAAGGAGGAAAAAAGGATATCCAATGATGAAAAATAATCTTGGTGGCAGTGTTCAGCAATGTTTTATGCTTTAAAGCTATTCGAAAAGTGAAAAATTTCTATCCCATGCTTGTTGCTATCTTTAAGCCATCCCATAACCCTTTATCCTTCCTGGCTTAATTGACGATTTATGGATTACGACTCTGGACAAACCCTGGAACACATCAACTATCTTAATTTATGCATTGTTTTATCTATCGTCAGTAGTTCGCCTTCATGGAGAGTCGTCCTAGACAACGATTACTCACGTTAAGGGGTTATATACCTTTTTTATTTTCAAAAAATCGAAAATTTTTTTATTGCTTTATCTTAAAGAACAATTCCTTGAGAACATTTTCCCAAATTTTCATAGAGATTGGAGCAGTAGAAAAAAAGTTACAGCGCTCCTAACCGCGCGCCCCATTGCGGCCTTGAACTGAACTTGAAACTTTAAACGCGAATATCTCGAAATGGTGTTTCTTGAAAAATGACTTTGCGGTGACAATGATTGACGGAAAACTACTGAACCGATTTACTTCAAATTTTTTTAAAATGTTCGTAATGAAATTCTCTTGTGCTTGAACGATCGACTTTTCACGCGCAAACTTTTTTTTCGGCGAAATAAATTTTTTAGTGAAATTTCTAGAGACCAAAACGTTCATTTTTAGCATAAAACGCTGCCATATCCAAACAAAAACAAAAAATTTTAAAATCGATCGTTCAAGCACAAGAGATTACTCTAAACTAATGAAATTTTTTTACTTTTATGATTTAAGTTGACCTGTTTGACCAGGGGAACTGTCACCGCAAGGCTCTAAAAAAAAAAAGGCCTCTAAGGAAAACAGCCACCCCTTAAAAACTATTCAATATTTTTCACCAAATTTTGTAAAAACATTCTTAATAAAGTGTACTATTAAAATATTAAAACATCCGTGTAATTAAATAATTGCTACATACCTAAAAAAAAATTCAAACTTTCCTCTTTTTCTTCGAAAAAGAAGGTATATAACCCCTTAACTGCACGGGACGGAAGTGTTTTTTTACTGGCCACCCGGGCAGGACATTTAATATTTTTCCGTTCCCTGTGGACAGCCGGAATAAATAAAGACCTTAAACGACGTTGTCGTCATCATTTGCATATGGGACACCAGCAATTGACAGGAAGTGGCTATGATCCTGGTTGCCAGTCGCAGGTGTTGGTAAAACTTTAATTTTTTTCTGTTTTTTTTCTCTGTTCCTTTTATTTTTGTTAACGTAAAGCCCTGTCATAGCGGATCCTTTCGGTGCCAGCAGTCAGTCTTGCCACCATCAGTCAGATATCCGCTGACTGAGCGAAATTAATTGCAATCCGGTACGTTTTTCCGGACACGGGCGCGTGAACAGCAACAGCCAATTTGTACGGGTGTGTACGCATGTGCATTCCTTTGTTAAAGTGCCGGATATATGCTACAATTGCGGTTAAAAAAGTGGTACTTTTCATTTAAATTCCATTAAGAATTATGTGCTATTTTTAACATTTTTTGGATTTATTTTTGTAACTACTTTGATGCCGTTCGGATAGGTTTTAAATTTGCTTTTATTCTCTTTAATACCTGTGGTAAATATGTGTATTTCAGATCTTGGTTAAATTTTTTCCATAATCCTGAAAGGTTTAAGCGCTTTCTGTGTAATTTATTTATTTAAAAACACGTGTTTTAAGTTAAAAATATGTATTGTTTTTGAGATTAACCTATTAAAGCTCTAATTCAGAACTAGCTACGAGCTAGTTGCTGTGTCAGTAACACCACAGTCTAATGATTCCAGCCATACACACCACATGTATTTCCTGATATTAACAAGGAGTTGGGCGGAGACTATCCAATCAGCTAATCTCTCAACGGAACTCAAGCTGAGATGCTGACTGACTGGGAAGCAACCCAGTGCACTTAGAGCCCTGATGTGGCTAATTCAACCGCAAATTTACGTAATTTGTTGTGGGCATGGCGGTTGTAGTATGGGTTGTGGGATGGATGGGCCATCACTACTCACCGTGAATTCATCCAGCAGTATATAATGGGATTGTACATGGAATTGCTCATTGCCAGCCAATAGATGGCCAAGTAGAGCTCCTGGATGAAGGGGGCCTCCGTGATGGCCGGGTAGCAGGATGTGACGATGAAGTAGCTGTGGAAGGGCAGCCAGCAGATGGCGAATATCAGGACGACCACTATCATCATCTTCACCACCTAAGGAGTAAGAAGAATTTTAAATTAAACAAGGTAACTACAAATCCTGAGGCCATATTCGTTTAAAACTTTTATAGAATAATTTATTCCTTTATTATGATTGAAGTTCGAAGCGCTTCGTGGAGCAACTTCGAAGAACTATGCAAATTGATTTCAAACAAAGAAGGCAATTACTGTAGGAGAAGTTTAAATTATATGCAAAACTTTAAAACCTATTACAAGGGGTGTTTTACAAGGGAGGTTATTATCAGGTTTTTAAAAGCAATGAAGTTTAATATAAATACATGCAATTGTGATCAAATCAGTTTCTAAATTTAGCCTAAAACAATCACTTCACTCACCCGTCGCTTGCTTCGGACATTCTCAACTTGCCGGGGCGTACACTCCCCGATAGTCTTGGATCCCCAGAGCTCTATTCCCACACGGGAGTATGTGACCGTCATGGACACAATTGGCAGGACGTAAGTGAGTATCAAGATGAGTATGTTGTAGCTAAAATATTACAAGGAAAAAAAAAAAACACAATAAAAAGGGGGAGTCACCACACGCAGTAAAAATAGTAGATCAAACATGATGTTTACAAGCCTTTCAGTTAGTAATACAATGCTTTTAAAGTCCTTATCACTTCCATCGCACATTGTTGCTGGATTTGGTCTTTTGTTTTATTTTTTATTGAGCAAGTAGCAATTTGGAATGAATCTAAAATTAATGGCCTTGCATGTGGGACACAATGAATAATACGATGGCCGGGGGATTGCAGGACGAAAGGATTCCGTTTGCCGCCCCCTGCTGCTACCAATTTGCCATACAAAATGGCTGTAAAAAGCAACACGTTTTATTTGTCCCTCTTCCTGGCCTTTTTTTTTTGTGTTTCCCCCAAGCAACAATCCCTGCTTTCTGGCGTTCGTTTTTTATGCCATCGTCTTGGTTCAGTTTTGTTTGCGAACGTCCGCATTTACGACCCTGTCCACCCCGGTAATCCTCATATTTCACTATGGATCTGGCATCCGATTGTCTCTGCATGTGCATGTCAGAAGCTGCATGTCGCTGTGATTTTTTGATTTTTGCACCTCTATCTTACATTGGAAGTTCTTTAGGATTTTCAACACTCGGAGAAAGTAGTCATGGTTGTTGAAAATATTATAGACACTGAGCAGGCTTTAAATGTACTTTTTTTCTGTGCACTAGCTTCAAGCTGTCAACTTTCATCTGTAACATTCCCAGATCCCACCATTCGATAGCATACTTACATGGATTCTATAGTAGAGTGATTTGTTGGTCCATCGGGCCACTCCGGGTAGCAGACCGTGCGGGATGTATTCCCCTCCGAGGGCACTTCCTCCGTGCGGTAGAAGAGCATCATGGGGCAGGATATCAAGGAGGAGGCCAGCCAAATGACGGCGGCAATGGCCAAATTGCAGCGCTTGCTCATCCGCGGTTGCAAAGGCCGTATGATGGCCACGTACCTGAAAAAAGCCGTGGGGACAGTGGGGATAAAGTTGCCAAATTAAATCAATTCCAATAGGGGGCAGAAAGTGGAAAGTTTGGCGGCGCATAAGCTGATTACCCGAAATGCACAAGGTCACCCAAAAAAACTGAATGCATCGGCGCCCAAAACCCCGAAACTCAATTAATCTACTGAGCTGCGAGTTAATGAAAGTGAGAGCCTGCTGCTGATACGAGAATCCATTAAAAGGTTCTGTCATAAATAGGATAAGGTCCACTAAAATCTCTTAGTCCCTGAATGAACTACGACATTCAATATACAAATGCTAAAATTTTGATATTTCTTTTTCATTTCAACATGTCTGTTTTATTTTTTGTTATCTGGCAAAAATTTCGACAGTTCATTTGGCAAAAACATTATAAATAGAAATACTCCACGCAAATTGTTTACAATCAATTGTTTTGTTGTCTAGACGATTTGATTCGTTTTATCTTTTCCAGATTTCAAGTAGATTAATTTCACACACATTCCTGGGTCAGAACTTTTATAAGAAGAGTTTTTCATTTTAAACTTTGTGACAGGCCATATCACATTGTACTTTCATGCATGAAATATCCTATTAAAGTGAATGGGTTATTTTTCCTGCACTCCTTCGTGGGTGATTGATAAGGGTCTGATGAATACACATGTATATCTTGGTGTAACCGATTCCTTGTTGAGTATTCATAAGACGTCGACCCTTGAGCCCCAAAAGTCCACTTACCTGTCAATGGAGATGGCCATCAAAGTGAAGACCGATGCGCAGATGCTTAGCATGGCTATGAACTGGGATATTTTGCAGTAGAACTCCCCGAAGGGCCAGTCTCCGTCCAGCATGTAGTAGTAGTTGAAGGTAACGTTCAGACTCGAGACCATGGCGTCCGCAATTGAGAGATTCACTGATTGCAGAAATGGCAATAAAAAAAGAAGACAAATAATCACTCTTATCTACCTGTTCAGGTGGCAAAAGTAAGCAAATTATGGAAGGAAAACAAACAACAAAGAACATTTCTAATTACGCAACCCTCGTTTGAACTTGTGGACCGTTTTTATTTATGCGTTGTACATTTATAATTAGTAAGCGAAACGAAGTGCACTTTGACTGGCATTTTTCTGGGTTTTATTTATTTATTTTCTTGTATTTTGACTGGCAGCCATTTTGACTGCCATATTTGTTTGCCATCTGACAGCTGAATAGAGACAGGAAACGGAAAGAGGATCCCCTGCCTGGATGCCCCTCATTCATTACTGGGAATACATTTTATTGTATTCCATTTGCATGGGCCGATTTACATGTCAATGAATCAGCAACAGCCATGGACAATACCGGGCCAAAAAGCAACAATACAAAAAAAAAAAACTACGAAAAACAAATGAAAACCTGGACCTGAGTTCAAGAAAAAGAAAAGGAAAGTCTGCCGACTGGCCCTCCGCCTTTGTTTATTTTTCATTATCTGCTGGAGATAAGGCGACGAAAGCGCATGAAAATGACAAAAAAGAATCTCGAAACACAAAACACGAAAACCAACAGCACCTACAATAAAACAAATGTTTAGGACAGAACATTAGCCCGTGTGTCCTATAGGACATAGTCCTGGTATCAACAGCCTCCCAACATAACGCCTACGAGCCGGCTCGACGTGTCGCATTCCGGCAATCTAGCCATCTAGCAATCTCGCAATCTAACAATGTAACAATCGACTGGGAGCCTGTCGACTTGGTGACTATTCCGTGGCCCACAAGACCCGAGGCCTCGAACTGTCAGCCACGTAGCGGAATATCGATTGTGCCCCATTTTAATTAATAACCAAATGGAATTTTTTAAGAGCAGCATCTGCACATCTGGTACTCTATCGGGGATAAAAACAATATTGAAAGAAATCTACACCTTCAATATAAGGACATTGGTAAGGTACAAAAAAGAGGCCTAAAATATTTTATTTCATGTTATTAAAATTATGTATCATATTTTGTTTTATGTATATATTTTTTATGTATTCGGGTAATCCTATTCATGTTTCATCTACATGTAAATTAAATTACTAAATTTAGTTTTTATGAAAGCTATTAAATTCCAAAAATCTACATTATATTGTTTGGGGTGAATTACGCATTATATTTTTAATTAAATCAAACCGAATTAAGTGATACATACCACAAATATTTTTAAACAGATTATCTATTATATTACAAAATGTATAAGCAGCCTCCCCTTATACCTGTGCCAAGTCTTACAAATATGAAGAAAAACTTAAATATTAGACAACTTCTTAAAAAAATTTACTTTATTTAGAAGTAAATGACTTATGTTGGGAGGAACTAAATACCAAAACTAAGAGACTTTCATCCTTAAAGAATACTCTTCTCCAGCAACTCAAACAAAAGATGCAAATACGCATTGATAATGAACCTAAAGAAGATTATCATCCGGTGACTGGCTTCCACCGAAAATTCGTTCACCCAACTCAACGCCACCACCCTCTGCTCCAGATGTCTGTGATGTGAATTTGAAATTTTGGTGCCCGAAAATGATTAAAACGTCAGAACTTGTTACTAATAATGATTGCCGATGTGTATTTATAAATGCAAATTCAAAATGCCATCACAAAGCCCTTCGAGCTCGACGGGCATTTAGTTTACGTTATAATAATAATAATAATAATCATTACCAAGTTAGAGGGCACCGGGGAGCGAGTAGAATGAGAAAATTGGTCCAGGCTATTATTTAGGGCTTTTCCATTGTAATATGGAAGTCCACAGGATGCCTTCGAAGATAAGAGTAGGATTAGAAGACCACTAAGTCTCAGCTCAATTAAATACCGGCAATTATGCAATCTGGAATCTGGAATGGATTTAGTCCAGAAGCTTGACTAACCTCATTAAGGCAACGTGTTTGCAGAATTTCGGCAATGTCATTACGCTTTGAGTTGCACCAGAATTGTCCACAAAGTTTGCCAGAGTTTGAAGACTCTCAACGCTCGAATAGTGAATTATTAAAACTGTATGTTTGGCTCTTCAAGCCGACCGACTGCAAATTAAATGCACTTTGAAACGTGACTCAAGTAGATTCAATTAATAAAAGACATGCTCAGCCTTCAGTGAGCAAACTTTATAACTTGATTTTATGCCCAAAAGCTAAGGATATTAAAATTAATGCCATCAAAGCTGGCCTGTTTACAAGGGACTTTTACCTGACTTGGCAAAAAATATTGCCATATTTCAGGTTCGTCCGTGAATTTTGCAAAATTCAAACTTGTAGAATAGCCAGGTCCGAGGTGCAACAGGGCGAATGCAAATTTTTTGCCCGGGGATGGTTTTTTTTTGAATGGCTCTCGGTGTTGCTGACATAAATAGGTAAACGGTCACCGAAGCGTCGAAATTGGGAAGAGACCTCTTAAATAAGCCCTTCAGGTTGTGATTTTGTTAAAAAGAAACTGCTTTTAATTGAGGGGGAAACATTTTTTAATTACATTTATATTTCAATAGTGAATTAGCTGAAGAACTCTGTCAAAGGAGCTCGTTTGATTTTAATTAAAATATGTCGTTTTTTGAAGTCAAGTTTGCCCAATCAAGTTAGTTATTTTATTATGAACCACTTCTAGGAAAAAACGAGTTTATAGACCATAGAAATCATTTCGTGTGTAAGTTCAATTCATGGAATAGCATAAAAACACAGTAGATGACGCAATTCGTTCCACCAGTCGTATACTTGATTTTATTACGTATACGCTCGCAATAAAAGAAATGTAATAAGCACTTCGAGGTGTAGATTTTAGCATAAAAAAGGAGTAAGTTTCAAACTATAAAAAAAATATTTAACTTGTAAAATAGACTTAATCAGCAAAACATAAATTCACAAAACTTTGTCCTTTGCGGACAATACGCATACATGCCGTATGCGTATTCCAGATTGCGTATCCGCTCTGCCAGCTCACGTGGCTTTTAATCTAAAAGTCCTTAAATCTGCATATCCACTCACCTATGAAATAGTTGGTTACAGTTCGCATCCGCTTCGTTGTCATCACAATCCAGACGACAATTAGGTTACCGCCGGTAGCCACTATAACCATGCCGCCGAAGAGAATGCTCCAAAGCACCTGACGCCACCACGGAAGCACGAATGCAAACGAACCGGCCGTCTCCATGGCCCCCGCCGCATCTTTATCCGCCACGGGAGGCAGCTCTGTGGAAAGGCTAAAGGACGAGGGTTACATGGAAACAACGGGGAATTAGTGACATCGAGATTAAGTGTGTGTTATGTTTCACGGCGCCACGCCACTCCACTGCACCGCCAAAACGAGTGCCAAGTGGGTGATGTGTCTATGTAAGAATGTGAATGGGTGTCATCAGGACATGGCATTTCTTGTATGTAGATATATGTGTGTGCTTTCCGACTCCAGGATGTTGTCGCTATTAAGTGTGTGTAATTGTGCGTGCGTTGACAAATCCGTGTTTTTCTCCTACGCCGCCTGCCACATAAAACATTGGGTTTCAGCCTAGGGACGAGGCACTCCACTCACTCATCGGCGGTTGTCGTCATCTTTTTAATATTTTGTGTTATCTGGCCTGTTTATTTAGGTTCACATCAACCAGAGAGTGTTTAAACAGAGGGTCTGGGAATGTGCCAGTGTGGCGGATTTCTGTCGCGCCATCTGGATTTGGGTTTGGGGTTTCTAGTTCCTCCCCAGGTTTTTAGTCGTTAGCCGGCCTTTATTGGAAGACAGGACATTTAATATGCACACTCTGTGTGCTGAAGACGGCACTAAATTGGCTAGGTAGTCATTAGTGTTTATTCATTCTCCTTTGGAGCAATTAAAAACATGCCCACATCAGTAATTCTCACTTTACACACATACTGTGCACACCCACCCACTGCCCACTACTATTTTTCAGTACCCTTTCTCGGATGACGAACTGCCGGGATTTACATAAAATCTCTTTTGTTCGAGGGGCCTAATGCAAAGAGGATTATTGATTTGTTTTTCGTGGGTGTAGGCCCTGGCCCTACGTGGGTGGGGCTTGCAAATGATAGGCCCATGAAAAGCGCCATAAGAAATGACTGGAAAGAAGGCCCTGCCAGAGAAGAGTCAGAGCCAGAGCCAGAGCCAGAGAAACAAATTCATGCAGCCTCGGGCCAACAAGAAAATGTCATGACAAACAATACAAAAAAAATGTAGCCACTACTGCCACGGCTCTGGGCTCCCCCTTCCTTGTTGATGTTGGTATTGAGGTTTAAAGAGTGCACATTTCACTCAGAAAGGGTATATGAGTTTTGAAAATAATATGTGCTTTTGGGTTAGGATTGGAAAAATTTAGAAACTTTAAGCCAGATTTCGGAAGATTCAAACGAAAGATTTTCAATTCAAAACCCTAACACATAATACATTAAACTAATAAAACACTCAACCTTAGCCCTAATAGATACATTTCCTAAAGAAACTTAACTCAATGCCTTCAAATGGAATTTCTCAGAAATTTCTAAGAAATTTAAAATTACCTTTAAGCCCTCCTTAGTTAAACGGTTTACTAAATGTTTTCCTTTACTTTGAAATCCGAATTCTTTTGTTAACCGAAATATGGGCCAAGGACCAAGGACTAGGACCAAGCACCAAGCTCCAAGGGTATATGCGTTTCGTCCCGTCGAGTTCGACCGTTTTTTTCCATTTTATTTGCACATAAATCGGACGCAGTGTCTGTGCAAACAAATAGGCAGCTCAAAAAATACAAAAAGGGCGAAAAAAGAAGGCCACGGTTGTTGGAGTATCGGTCGTAATGGCAACAGCCAATGATAATGGGTCCTGTTGGTGTAGGATTGAGTGTCAGCCACCGCCTGAAGGATATATGGCAGCTACTCTAACAGCTGCAGAATCCGAAAAAAGAGAATGTATTTTCGATGCGTCAGTCGCAGTCGTATCATAATAATTATCCAAATACGAACCCATATGGGGTGCAGTAAATTTTGGGACATGTCTGCAAAAAGTGCCGACGCTTTTTCAGTCTCCTCGGCATAATAGAATAAAATGGAAAGACCCGCAGTTTTTCCCTATTTGTTTTTGTGTTTTGTATATGGGCTGTATCCGTGCATTAACTTTGCCGCACTCACTGTGGATGTTTGCCTTCCGTCCTTTTACATTGGAAACGGAAGCAAAAAACCAACACTGAGCCTGCTAAGCGGAAATGTTTGAATGAATGACTGAATGGCGGAATGACTGAACTGAACTGAAATGAACTGAAACTAAACTGAACTGAACGGAGACGTCATTAGAGATGCAGCGAACACAAAAGGAGCAGATGGGAGAACGACAGCCTCATCAGGACTCATCAAGAAGCCGCAAAAGTCCAGAAGTTATGGCCCAGCAGTGGCGTTAGCTAAGAGGGGCTACATCTATTCCACCAAAAACTTTGATAGACACTTTAATTAATCCAAGATTGTATAGTTACAAGTCGTACAAGTTTACTTTAATTTAGTTATTTGTGTCTAAAAAAATAATAGATCTTGATCTATTAATAAAATCCCCTTATCTACGCCACTGCTTTCATCTAAGATGATTGTTTGGGTTCGTGTGTTGGGGAGATTAATTGAGTTTGTGTCATAATTAGGCATTAGAGCGGATCCAACTCACGTTTGGCTGTGATTGAAGACTCCAGCGCTGGTACTGGCCTGGCCAAAGTCCAAGGGCGGCGAGTCGGTCAGGGGGGTGTGGTTGTTCGCCGAAAGGACACTGCTCATGGCCGTGTAGAGGATGGATGCCGGAGTACTCCAATTGCCCCAGCCAAGGTCCGAATAGTCGCCCGCCTCCAAGTCGCTGTGATTTTCCATCGTGGCTGTGGATTGTGGCAGTCCAAAATTCATCCTATTTCAAGTCCTGCCAGAGGGATTTCCAAGTTAATGTTGCGTATCCCTTTTGAGTTAGCCCTATTTGGTTTCCATTTGCCAACTCCTCGACCTGAAAAATGCAAAGGGCAGCAAAAAAATAGGAAACAAAACTCATCTAATTTCATTTCTTGGCTGTTTTATTTTATTTGGTTAGGTCTTATTTTATTTTGCGATCTTTGAGGCAGGCCGCTGGGTGGTTTTTTGTTATTTTTATAAGAAACAAAGCTTTTGATGCTCATTTTCAGTGAAAACTTTTCAGATTTCTCCTACGTGCTTATGAAGTTACCTCCAGTATTGATATCGATTTTGATTTTTTCCTGATTCCGTTTTATTTGGAAGGACGTGACTCGCCCAAGACTCATTGTCGCCCTATCTCATACCCACACTCCTGTCCAGAACTTTTCTGTGGTTTGTTTGTTAGTTCTTTTTCCATAATCTGACTTAGGAGCTCTTCTCGATTCAAAGCGAAGCAAAGTTCGGTAAGTGGGCTGCCTCTTGATGAGGACCCTAGCTGGCGGTCATTAGTGATTCCTCGGATGCCTTGGAAACATTTGAAGCGATTATTGCCAGTGATTTGTCCTTCTTTTTCTCATTAGAAAAAAAAAAATTATAATATCAAGTGTCAGAATATGAGTGAGCAATATAAATATTGTCCCCATAGACCGGAAATGTTTAACATCTGTATTAAATATTTTCTTACAAAGAAGCTTTCAAGGTTTCAAGCATTTAGGGAAAAGAGCTAATGTTTTCTGGTAGGTTACTCGCTAATTCTGCTATTATTTTACAACAATTTATGTAAATTTTGTATTCATTTTAAAAAGATATAATCTTGCCTTACAATTTCATAATTTGTTTGTTTTCTAAACATATCTCCGTTTATTGTTATCATATTTTTGCTTCTTATTCAAGAGCCTTAAGCTCCGCTACACATTTTTAATAAAAATAAATAATCCCTTGTTTTCTTTACCATTATTTGCCCTTAAATAGACTATAAGAAATTGAAATAAAAAGAACAAAGGTCGTATTCACTTTTATGCCTCCCATGAGCTAGATTATACCTCTATGTAGTATTTCTGAATAAGCAAACGATAGACAATTGTTTCAAAAAGACGTCGGCAAACCTTTTTGCTCATTTTTGGCAGTAACGATGATGAAAAGCCAGGACAAGTGGATTGTCTTTCCTGCGGAGGAAGGACCTGTGCGACCTGGTCGTCCCTTAACTATGCCTGAGATCTGGCTCTGGCAGCTCGAGATAATTGCGACGACCGGTCCCGGCGTCACTTGAAGCTTCACAAAAACGATAATCCGAGTGGCAGCTTTATTTCCTTTCGAGTTCCTTTTATTACTTTCCTGGCCACTGCCACACTTTGTTGCCGCCCTTGGTGGCATAGAAGGTGGCAAGGTAAAGTTATGTTTAATGAAAACATTCTATGCTAAAAATAACTATTTAATGTTTCTTAGTTTTGTTTAAGTCTGGAGACTTACTGAAGATGCATTATTTTAATCTAAGAATGTGAATTTTTCTGCGTGCAAAAATGAATGAGGCGGAAAAGTTTAGCTGTCCAGACAGCAGTGTGATTCAATACCCTGAGCAGCCCACTTGCCACATCGTTCTCCGTAGCGGAGACGCATTGAAAACTATTAAGCAAACACCCCACTTGGGCAATTGAAATCAATTGCCGGCATCTTGTCTGCCAAGGAAATGATTGCAAATAGACAAAACAAAGCATATGCCAATATCTAATTAATAAGTTTCCACATTCTAAATCACGATGATGGGGCCTGGCCGGGGTTGTGGCCGAGTTTTCGCTAAAATGCAGTGAGCAGCGATGACGAGACCGACTCGACGACGACGATGCAGTCTTAATGAAAAGCAAACAATCTTCAAAAAGAATGTCGGCCATAATTGGCAGATCGTTCGTAGGCGGCCACACCCTAAAAATAAACGTACAATGTGAGCAAATATTTGCCAAAGTAGCAAAATGCTTTAACGCCCCGAAACTAAACTGAAACCGAAACTGTGGGGGGACTTAGAAATTTTTGGGCGGGGGACGGAGACGACTACGTCCTTTTGACTGATGTCCGTTAAAATTGCGTTTTCTGCAATAATCGCAAAAAATTAGATTCACATTTTTTCCAGTTTTTTTTCTTTGCTTCTCTGAGCTATGGGCTTTGGGATATGGGAATTTCAGTGAACTTGAAAAATGGCCAAACTGTCACGTACCATGGGCAGCCACCGAAAGTGATGGAAAGTGCTGATACAGCGGCCAGCTTCGTTCGGTTTGGTTTTTGGTTGTTTGGGACAATGTTGCGTATACGCCATGTTGTGCCATCACACAAACGTAAACGCTGTAAACTTTAAATGAATTTGTCACACGCCGACTCACTGGGCCGGCTATTGTTTCGACTTTTTCCACTTTCTGGCTCTGACTCTGACTCTGTTAGGGGCTCTTTATTTTTAAAATCAGCAACAGTAGCTCTAGAGTGGAGTGTGTATAGTGTTCCAGACACCCGGAGGCTCTTTAAAGTGTCCAAGTAAACACTCAAGTCTGGGTGAAACTTTCTGAACTCTGCACCAGGTTCTTGAAAATGGGAAAAACTTGCAGCTTATTGCACTTACCGCAAAAATCTAAGAATTTTCAGGAAAATTATAAGCCATCTGAATGCAAGCGGAATACTATTGCCAGTTAAAAATAGTTTTGTAGAATGACAGGCAAAAAAGGGACAGAACTTTATGCAAAATGTTGTGAACGGAATTCTTGTAAATACGTGTTAAATAATACTCGCCACAGCAATTTACAACAATTCAGTTACTCAACTGGATGCCTCGAAAGCACATGCAGCGTTCATTATGACCGAGAAAAAAATAAAAGGTTCTATTCCGCACTTTTCCTCCGCACTCCTCTGGCAGTTTCACTTTTTTGTGTTTGACAAGTCAAGTACAGGGTGGGCACACACAGGGAATAAAGACAAGTTTAGTGGGGGAGTGTGTGTGTGACTCTGTGTGTGTGGGGTGTGCGGGTCTATGTGGACAGCCCATACCCTAGGGTATCCACTGATCAAAAAATACTTTTTAAATCAAAAACTATAAACCTATAAACTTCTTTTGCACGAGAGGTGCATTCAAAAGAAGCTTTATATAAGCATTTTTAGGTTTTTATTCATTTTTTAAATATTTTTAGACATTTAAGTGTCTATTAATACTCTCCAGTATTAGATTTATTGTTTACATATTTTTAAATCTAAAAATTATAAGAATCGAAATGCTTTTATTTTACAAGCCTCAGAAATGACGTTCAATTGCAAGTGCCCTAAAAACTTGTTTGAAACTAAATTAAATAATATTTGTTTCTGTGTATACATGTGTGTGTATGCTAGAAAAATATGTATGTGTGTCAAAAAGAGGGCCGCTGCCCCAGTGGCCTGAAACCCTCCGCGTAGCCCCCTCATGGAGCCCTGGCCCTGTCAGTACACTTTTGGCCAACATTCGCAGTGCTTTAACTTCCTGCCACCCGTCCAGAGTAAAAACACATACACACATGCATAGAAATACTACCAATTTATTAAAAAACAAAAATATATGTGGGTTGGAGGGCACTTTTTGTAGTATTTAGGCTGTCCGGTCGGCCATTGAGGGAACCAGAAAACGTAATAAGCAAAATTCCCGTGGTATGTAGTATGAAGAACGGGCCATATTGCTAAAGTGAACTTGAATTGTAATTACCAACGCCTTTTGCTGGCTTAAACGAGCATTTTTAATTTCCCCACAAGCACGGGGTACTCTCACACTCATGCCGAACAATTAAAAACAAAACGAGCATAAAATATATGGGCCTGCAAATTAGCCACATGTGCCTCCGGCTCCTCCTGCTGCTCCTGCTCCTCCGGCTTCTACTGGTAAAAATTCATCAAAATGATTGTTTAATGAGCTCCTTCTCCGGCCAAATTTCGGAGCGCAAATTCATTTACGAGTTGTATTTTTCTTTCGCACCTTCCGAAATCAGCCAGAACAATAACATCCACCGAAAATTAAACAATCCCCTTTAAAATATAAATAAACCGTGGGTGATAAAAGCGTACGCACATGCCTGATATCCACATGTAGATGCGAATATATATAAATAAGTACACAGAAATCGGCGGAGATATAAATGAAAATGTGCACATATTTACTTAAAATACAGAAAAGCCCCTGTGTTGAGGCAGGACAAGTCGTTCTCGCGAATTGCGATTCTATTTCTTTGAATTTAATTGTTGAAATGAATTTGGCTTGTTTGCATGTTCTTAGGAAATATTTAAAATAGGATAAGCTGGTGCAAAAAATAATAATGACTTGGTGTTCTTCAGATAACAGGAATTAGAAATATTTGCAAGTGAATCAGACTGAGCCGGAGAGAAGTATTTTTAAATTACATTTCTCCAGCCTGGGCAGAAGAATAAAAGAAATACCAGTAACAGTGCCAACCGGCATGGTTGTCCTTATCCTTGGTATTGTGAGCCATTTAGGACAATATTCCCTGACCATAAAGAAGCCGCAAAAGCTGTTGCCGTGATTGAGAGAACTACTTCTGCAGCCCTCATACGACCTGTTGTACGGCCAATTGCCTTTGTACTGCCACTCGTACCACTCTAACCGAACCATTACCAATTACCACTGCCCGTTGTGGACATAAAGAAACGGCCCAAACAGGTGAACAGAATGGTAGCAAAGGCGGCGTCAGGTATTTCAATGTCTTATCTTATCAGTCGGTGTCTATCAGCAGTAGCCACCCGAAAAAAAACCCACTCAATTCTGTTTTTCTTCGTTTTGTGCCCTGCATACCAAATCTGAAATTGACTCGACTCGACTTGGATGGGATCCCCACCAGCGCCGCCTGCAGTTCCACACTCACGCCCTTTTCCTCCTCTAGCACCCCAGATACCGGACTATCTGTACAATAAATTTTGCACCCCGGCACCCACTTAGTCAATTTATTGCAATTATGTGTAAATTGAGGAACAAAGCGGAGACAGGCGATGGCTCTTCACTCGAACAAGTGCAGAAAGGCAAGAGCTCTGCCCTGACCACTTCACTCCCATTCCTCATCTTCCCGACCAGGAATTTGCCAGTGGAGACTGATGGGGTCCAGTGGCAAAGCCGAAGGGGATTTCAAATGCTAAGACTCCGGGGAGACCAATCTTAATGGACTCCTTCAAATATGCAAAGACTTTTTCGTCCTTTCTTAACAAGCTAATATAATTGAAAATTATTCACAAATTTTAGCTCCATCTCTATATTATTTTTAACTGATTCGTTTAGTGTTCATTTAAAGTTTAATCTTGTTATGTTTATATATTTCTCTCTGGCTAGACCTCTATTTTTTAAATGGGTAATTACTAATTACCTAATAATAGGTTTCAAAAATTTAATCAGAGTTCTTAATGTTTATCCGTAGTTTCCATTAAATTCTTTTAATTGACTATTAAAAAAAAATGTTATCCCTGTGCATTCAATTGAGTCCCTGCTTTCTCCTTTAGGTATTCTTCTCTTATAAAAAATAATAGGATTAAGTGCATGTTTTTTTCATATTTGATACGCTGCAAAACCGTGAGTTTTGAAAGGATATAAAAAAAGTACACAGTGACTATTTAATACGAACTTATCCGAGCTGGCTTTATTAACATGGTTTTTATCAAAAACCTAGCTTAACATAATGAATTAACTCGTGAAAATTTGATTAAAAAATTTAATTCAAGCAGGTAATTACCGTTTAAATTATAAATATGTCATTCAAACTCCTAATTAAAACCAACTATTTTTATACATAAAGCTTATCAAATAACTAGAAGTATATTAAACTGACTTGATCTGATTTCAGGCATAAAAATATAATAGATCCTAGAAAATCGTATTTTTAGATTTGTATGATAGAACACTAAGGACCCCGGGGACATAGATGATTAGAAACCTTATCCCCTATGAAATACTTTTTGCATTCACCCCTGAGAAACAAGGACAATGCATACTAGTTCAATATATTGCTGCATAAAAGAAGGACGAACCGAACGGAGAGCCGCTAAAATATGTACATGATTCACCGACTTGTTTGGAACTGCCTTCATTTAAATTCATTGGGGGCGGAGATAGTGAACTTGTTGTCCTGCTGAAGTTACACACGTCTCCGGCGCCACTCGACCTGCCCCTCGCCTCCGGCCGGCCGGACATCTTCTCCGGGCAACAGCCCCAGTGCCGTAGGAAGACGTCAGCAATGGGGCGGATGCCGCATCGGTTTCAATTTAATTAAATGTTTTGATGCATGACAGCACAGTGGACGAGGAACAGGCACCGTAACTGGACCTGGAACTGGAACAGAAACTGGACATACGGCATTCATTTATTACTTATTCGCATTCGTTTAAAGATACCCGGTTTGTTTACGCCTGTGTGAACCTTTAAAGGAGCTCTTAACTCATTTTTGTGTGGGCCAACTATTTAGTGGCCTTTCGATTTCGTTTGCACTTCGAAGGAAGGACCAACTAATGGCCTTCGGACAGGAGCGAGAGCTCTTTGGCACCAGCTTACGCTCACCCGAACTAATGCCAGAGGGGGATCCTCCGGTCCCCCAATCCTACATACTGTCCTCTTGACCCGAAAGCAATTCGCGCTGAAAGGATTTCAGTTTGCTCAGCTGACCATTATGGCCAAAATACTCCCGAAACCAGACCAAGATGCGGATGCGTCCATTTGCCAACAAGCAGCATCCATTTATCCGGCGAAAACCACTCACATGGCAAAGTCCTCTGCCCACAACATAATACTCTGTGGCTTCACTTAATCATAGTTGACATTAAATATTTAAGGGCAGCAAAAGTTTGTGCCCCTTTCTGATTGAATTAGTGGCCAAGGTGGCAATCAGGTTTATTATGTTTTATCAAGTTACAAAAAAGTTTAAAGTAGTTTTTAACATTATATTTCTAGTTTGTGTTCATAATTCTGCAAGTCGTGACTCTGTCAGTTTGGAATTTTAACAACAACTTTCCGAAAATCCCAAAGATAAATCTTTTAGGCACTTTTAATTATTTATATTTGAAAAATGCTCGTCGAGGGCTTTGGAGAAAATGAGAATTATTTATAAAAAGTATTTTCATTCTTAAACCAAAACCAATTAAAGAACTCTCACATATGCAAACAAAAAAGCAATTAAATGTATTTATATTTTACGTATTGGAGGGATTTATGCTCTTGCCGAAGCAATTTCAAAGATACCCGAGAGCCACCGAATTAATCAGTATTCATGAGATTTGATTTTCTCGACGAAATTTATCAAATCCAAGATCGACCCTTCAATCGGGGAAAGCAATTGAGCGTGTTAATTTTTGCTTATTTCTGAACTATTTTTCGCTTCGGCGGAATCATGAAATTCGATGCTCAAATTGAGTGGAAGAATCGGATGGGAATGGGTTTTGGTCTGTCGGAGTGGGGGTCAGGTGGCATCCAGTTTGATCTTTGAAATTGGGTTTAATCGCTTGATTAAGTACCCAAAGCAATTACAAGCTTTTCCAAGTTTTTAGAACAAAGACGTCAATCAGTGGTGGCTCGTTAATTACTTTTCTAAACTCGGAAACTTGCATAAACTTTCTCTTAGGTTGCAACCGAAAGCACGAGAACAATGTTTTTAAACTATTTGAATTATACAAACAATTCGAGTCCTTTGAGTCTACCGCTTACCAACAACTGGGTTATATTCCAATTGAATTTTTTTCACCGCGCCAACGTGGCGTATGAACAATATTTGGAAAACTGCAGGCCACCGAAAAATAAGATAATTGTATTTAAAAATAAATTTTGGTTTTTGCCTCGGCTCTGCTGGTTTGGTTCGGTGGCAGTGTGTTTATGTTTATTAGTTTTAATCAAAACACCAATTTGTATATTCAATTTAACGACTAGTTTATCGTTTTTGCTATTCGATGTGGTTTTCTACTCTTTGTTTTCTACAAAATTCAATTGTGTTTCTCAATCCACGGAGTCGAATTCAATTACAATGTGGATCGAATGCCGGCGGTATTTTCCCACCGACGTACAACTCGATTTTCTGGCATTTTTTTCGAACTGGCCACGCGAATCGGAGGACACCCAAGAACCGAATAATATCCGCCGTAACCGTGTCGGGTTTGCTTCTTATTTTCGCCGAACCGTACGCGCGGGAGTCTGCCGTTGAACTGAACACTGAACAGTGAACGTTGAACACCGAATGCCGGAATGCCAATGCCGCTGATTCTGTGCCAGACCAAGGGCTAGGGCCGGGGTCGGAGAACGGGGGCTTTTGGGAGCTGGTTCGGGGTAAGAAGGAGCTCTTGGGGACTGTTTGGGCAGCTTGTTGCATATGCGGATATGTGACCCAAGGGACCAGGGGGCGTATACGATCTCCTCCCCTCATTACAGCGATCTGGCCTTGATTGTTCTTTTTGAAAAACCTTTTTTTTCGATTGAAAACCGTTGGAGCCCCAATGCAAAATCAAAATTATACCCGCCCAGTGCCGCCAGTGTTGCCGAGTTTCGGTTACTACGCCTGCGCTTTCCACCTTGCTCATTGCTCTGCCGTTTCTTCTCTCTCTTTGTTTTCATACGGCCATTCGTAAACAATATGGAGCGGCTCCAACACGTGCAGAATGCAGGTGTGCGCCCCATCCCCCCACAGCGAATTCAATCAGTAAAAACAATAAACAATAACAGCTTATGTTTAATGAAATTATGAATTTATCGTTTAATTTATTTTTTTAAAAAGATATTTCTAATTTTTTAAAAATAATAGGAGGAGGGGAGAAAACTAATAGTGTGTTTACATCTTTTGATTAAATTCAAGTCATTGAATATAGCTATTTACTTTTTTATCCTACACTCATAATTGCCTTCCACCTTTAAAGATTGTAATTTTTAACTTAAAAATCAGGGAAATGTAAAATTTTCAACATTTTCTACCATTAATTAATGGTTCTAATTTAGTCATTAAAAACAAACAAAATAATTTCACCCATATATTTACTAAAGTATTTAAAATTTGATTATAACATAAATTTATGAGTTTATATCAAGTTATATTAATAAATAAATAAGTACATATTACATAATACAGGGTAATTAAAATAGATAATCCCTATTAAAACCAATTTTTTTTTGGTGAAGATTGTGTGTGTTGATGGTATTGGCCAAATGAGTGAAATCACCCGCACCAGACAGAAGACACCTGCGGGAAGATATGCCTTGAGTAATCAATGGCCAACATAAATTGGCCAGCAGAATCTGACGGCTTAATGGGCTGCCGTAGATGGAATTTCGCAACTTCATTCCGTGGCAGAATGCAACGGCATTCAATCAATCACTCCATTTAACTTGGCCTAATGTGCAATGGGTTGCGCAGCCACAGCAGCCCAGAAGACACAGAAAAAATAAATGGTGAGATTTTTGAAAATTATATTTAAAGCATTATTACTTTGGACACTGTGTGCATTTGAGTAATGGACAGTAATGGAGGAAAATGAAACAGTTTATAGAATATTTAGACTTTATCTAGGATCTTTTTTTATAAATGCGCAGGAACATAGATATGGCGAGCATTCATTATCGTTATGATGAGCTTAGGCGAGGAGGTGGATTTCGAGGGAGTCAACATCGTGTCCACAGTTTAGAACGCAGTCCAATAAACCGACCAGCTGGCCATCATTAACTATCTGCAAGTCTCGCTCGTTACCAGAGCCTTGCCCTGCTGATGACCCTATTTAATCACGCTAAGCCCGTCTCGTCCCGTCTCGACCCGTCCTCGGGCCGCGGGGCCAAAATGATAATTTGTTTGTCAACATTATGCTGGCAAAATGTATATTTGGCTAAATACCAGCCTGCCGACAGCATGTGACAAGTGGACAGCAGGACGCGCATCACATTTGATTGATGACCCTCGTCGTGTCCTGCGCATCCTGCCGCACTGCCAATGCTGCCACGGCCGAGCTCAAAATTTAATTTTCCACAGGATATCTTGTTGCGCGTCCTGCTGTTTTTAAGTGCATGTCATTTGGCCGGGCCGGCTGTCCGCTGTAAATGTGATGGATAAATTGAAAAAACCACCGCCCAGTGATGGGTCACTCAAAGAGACCACCACATCGGTTTCTGCCTCTGCCTCTAGTCAAAGGTCCTGCTATCAGTCCGATGGTTAGCAACAAAATAAATATTGATTCAGAATTTATGTTAAACTACAACAGCTACAGCTACTGTCGTCTGCCATTCACTAATTGATCTGTTTAACACGACAAAATTTATTCTTATCGTGTGAATATGATTTAATATCATAATGACAATATAATTTATTACTTGTGATTAAGTTTATTTTTGGCTGGAAGCTTTAATGGTGAAATAGGAAGCAAAAAAATCTAGCAAGTGCTTTTTGATATAATAAATATTATTCTCTTTATAATAAAGAAGCTCAAGTATTAAACAGACTAAAATTGTTTTAACCTTATTCCATTTTATGCAATTTTATGCTCTTTTAAATATAAAAGCCGTTTAAATATCATAAAATGTATACATTTAACTATATTATCCTACAGATAAAAATGGTTAAATGTTTCCTCCGTGTGTTGGGTTCTGGAAATTCGAATTCCCTCGGGCACAGTTTGTGTCAATCAGGATAATAATGTCGGAAACTGCACCATAAAATTCCATAAGTATTTTAATAAAACCGAAGGCTCCAATCTGCTAAGATATACCAAGGTTTCTAATGATTTCCTAATAAGTGTTTCTCCCTAATTAGCAAAGTGGAAACTTTAAAATCTTATTTATCCTAGATTTGCCTTTCCTCATGTTTTTATTTCCCCTCAGAATGCCACACTTTTTCAATTACCCCTTGCCAATTGTTTTGCATACCTTTTAGTTGCATAAACCTTGGAAATTATTCCTATTTTTTGTTTTACCATTTTTTTTGCGCCATCCAAGGTCGGGCCATAAAATTTCATTGGGCTCAGGTGTCACCGAGTGAAAACGGCAGTGGAGTGGGTGGTCCGCTCTCGAATTTATGAGCAAGAAAATGCAAACATAAGTTTCATAAAGCCAAAAACTTTATTAAAATATGCGACTGCGCTGAAGACGATGACGCTGATGATGGTGGAGGTGGCCTCTAGAAGTGGATCCTGTATTTTGGCGGGGTGTTTCTGTTAGCTCAGCTTCATTAGGGCAAGTTAAATCTCCATAAAGCACAGGGAGCTGCTTTCTTTGTTTTTGTTTCGGCTACATTAGACAGCTGCTCGTAAAAGCAAAAGGAACCCCAAAGCCCAGACCATAACAAAAATATGCTGAAAAAGTCACCGAGAGAGCAGCAAATCAACTAAGAAGCGGGAAAAGCGAACCAGATTGGGCCCAAACTTTTTTACTCGCATGTGTGCATGGGATCCGGTGAAATATGAAGGTATCGCCTTCTCGTAGGCAATCAATTTTTCAGCCTATGTACGCACGAGACCTTCACGAAACATAACAGGAAAAAATATTTAACAAAGCTGAGGCATAAATTATGAGTCTATAAAAAAAAAATAGTTTTAAAAATATTCAAATTTTAAAAGTTTGTTGTAAGTTTGTTTCTACCACAGAATCAAATAAATAAATAATTGTTTACAAGAGGCTATCGAAAATCCTTAAAAAACAATTAAAGAATATATCTTTTATAATATTATAAAAAAGTAGCATTTTTTTTCCAAGTGCAAAACTTTTCCTGAAAGTTCTCCTGACCCTGATTCGATTCCTGTAACAAACGTTAATTATGAGTCTGGCTGGGCGTGAAAATTGTCGTCCAGCCCGGAGTGCTTTTTCACTTTCACTTGTTGCTCGGCTCGACTGGGGGCCCGCTTCCAATCCAATTCACTTCCAATATTCAGCAGTTGAACTTTGAACTCTTAAATCATACAACTGCCAGACACACTCACATCGTCCCTGGACTTTAAACTGCCGCCATTTATCAAGGACCCCGCCAGCTAAGCATCTAATCAACATCCCAAGAAGCCAAGGACCATGTGCCAGCCCGCCGAATCAATGAGAATCGGCTTTTGCATCAGAAGTTGGCAACTGAGACTTTGTAGCACAGGGAAAATAATTAAATATATTTTTCTTACATAAATTTAATATAAGTATTTAGTAAAATTAAATAAATAATTGAAAGAACTACTATATGTTTTAAAAGGAAAGTTTTGATTAGTTTGGTTGAAATTATAATCCCTTTCTTTAAATATTTTTTTCTGTGGCTTCGAACTGAGCAGTCAGCACCTGATGTAGCCAAAGTTTATGTAAACTCCAAGCTCTCAGTCCTAGTGCAGGATCTGGGGTAATCCCGGGTGTTTTGTTTTCCGAGAGGTGAGGAGAAACACCTTCAGACTGGAGCTCGTTATTTGCATGCATGTTCACAAATTGAAGTGCAAAGTTTGGGAATGCGAAACAGTAGTTCGTCATGGGGCCAATGGAAATGGCACTGGGAGTTCCACAGACAATAGAAGACAATAAAACAGTTTCAATTCAGTAAATAAAACAAAAAAAAAATAAAAATAAAATTATATAATCTTATCATTCAAAAACTTACAAAATAATTAGTTTAGATAATGAAATTAAAAATGTTAGTACACTTAAATTTGGTAATATACACCATTGAGAGTCTTCACTGTTTAATATACATATGTAAAACACTGTTACCATTAGGTTTATTGTTGCAAAAAAACTTTGATTTGAGTTTAGATAGAAATTCGTAGTGTTGGGTACACCTTTGGGAGCTCCAACTTGAATTGAAATCTTTGTTTGTGGAATTTTGTAATCTGGCAAAGAGAATCGTGCTTGAAGGTAATCACAACTAGCTTAAGGTCAAAGCACTTGATGCCAAATTCAAGTGTTATCCCGACATTAAGGCTGATTTAAGCCAACACTTGAAGTATTTAATTTTTCACTCGAATCGAAGACAAGTGCCTTCGAGAGGTTCAGAAAGTTGTGTCGAAAATGTGACCACTTTGGGACTTAAAAATGCCCAGGGCATCTTGAAAAGTAAGGGTAGATTTGGAATGCCCATACAAATATTTGTGTGCCATAAAAATCAGCTTTTCAATAAAAATACAACTTGTAACCACAATGGCGACAGTACACTGGGGAATACACCGGAGGAGCACCGGAGTATGGGTCGGAGCTGTATGGAAAGACAAGCTCCAATTGGCCGGC